TTGAAGTCATATAGTAGATGTATCTTTCTAGTCAAGCTCTATAACTTTTATTCTATCACTTCTTTTTTTTTTTTTCATAGAGAACTCATTTCCAAGCTACGGAGTCATTTATATTTCTGACAAATTTGGAATATAAACCATTGTTTTCGACCGTAGCACTTAACCAAATTATTAATTTGTGGAACTCACTTGAGCAAAATTTAACTTCTAAAAGAATAACTTTTTCACATGAATGCAACATTTAGCAGTTGTAGAAAAAAAATATCAAGATTTTGTTGGCTGACATAAGTTCTCTTGATGTGGGCTGTGTTAGAATTACTGTTTTACACAGACCTGATAAGAGGGAAGCCCAGACTGGCAGGAGCCGGCTGGTCAACAAGGTTTTATTTTATACCTTCTGAATTTTTTAAACCATATAATTATACAATAATAACACATCTTTGCATAATGTAGGGTTTAAAAATGGATTAAATTAGACATAGTGGGTAGCTAGAAATAGTAACATTCTACTGCTGAAAATACCCACATAGGCTAAAAAGTAGGGAAGGGTTGGAAATAAATATATAATATATATATATATATGTATATGTATAATAATAATAAGGCTTAGCGAACCCAAAGGTTCGATGCCGACACCACCAATCGCTTGTTACACACCTCCCTCCACCGTTCGCCGTCCAAGCCCAGTCCCTTCAGATCGGCTTTAATGCAATCTTCCTACCTTCGCTTCGGTCTACCCCTCGGACGCTTACCATTCGGCACAGCAAATGTTAACCTTTTAGGAATTCTCTCGTTACTAAGCCCAAGAACTTTACAAGCCCATTTGATTCGCCGCGAATGTATATGTATATATATATATATATATATATATATATATATTTATATCTTTACATAGTAATTTTGCTGCCTACATTATATAGGAAATGGTTATGTTATAGTGATAAAATTTAATATTTGATGGGCTCCTGAGAAAATTTGATCTTGGAGCCCTTGCTGGTCCCTCCACAGTCCAACTTCAACCAAAAAGGTTGATTTTACTTTTATATTAATATACACTTCCATAATTCCCACTCGAACCTTCTCATGCGATCAGTATCCTTTTTAGATCCTATTTCATATATTAAGGCTAGGGATATTAAGGCTGAGAGAGCACGACAAACTATAAGTTGGAAGGGCCATCATGCCATTTCTCAGAGTTGTCGATTACCATACACAAGCTTCCATTTTTTCATGTTCATTATAAATGAAAACTAATTTTTTTATAATAATAAAAAATTAAAAGGCTTGCTAATAAAAAATGCTAAATTTATATTAAAATCAAATTTTAATTATTTTTTCATGTTTGTTAATTTTTTACATAAAATACATCAATTACTAGTTAATGTAAACAAACAACTGGTAAGATTTAACATATGTTTCCACCAATTAAGAGCAATGGCCACCACTACTGATTGAAAGTGTTTCATTTCTATAAATATATTTTCTTTTTGAAATAGGGAAGGTAGTATAGGTAAAATAGAAAAAAAAAAAAGAAAGGCAAGGACAACATAATTTAATATAGAAATTTAACATCATTTAATTAAGATAAAATTAAAATTGTCAAAGAGTAAATTGAATAACAAATTTGTATATAATATTGATAATGGTAGAAACTAGATTATTTATCCAATCTTATAATGGATTAAGGTAAATATCCTGTCTACACTTTCGAGCTAGCAATTCAATGTAATTGCTACATATTTTTACTTCCTTCTTTTTTTTCAACCTCACTTCATTCTTAATATATAGCCTTCCTACTTCTATTTCAGCATTAGTTTCAGTAGTCCTTGATGACTCTTGATGAATTTTCCTTTTAACAATTTTGTGGATAGTTCATCACTATCTTTTTACTAGATTTAAGGACATCTCAATTCCCAAGACACTTTAATCAAATGGCAACTGAACTTGGTCTGCCGAGCAATTCTCTAAATAGATAAAGGATTCACTTATTTCTGAAAATGTTGTCTGCCAGGTCTGATATCTCTCCCTTTAATAGTAAGATTTTAAAAATGTGTATAATTTGTTTACTTCTGGTGGTAGGGAAGCTTGTATTCATGTGAAGGTTAAAAATTTTTTATAGTAGAAATCAAAAATCTCCACTCGTATTTTACATTTGGACATCAAGGAACAGATTTGGTTTTGTATCTATCTGTTTTGTTTTGTTTTTCCTCCTCTTTCTCACCTTTTAGGCTATATGGTGTTTTTCCCAGGCTAGGATAGATGGCAGGAGTTAATACCAGAGTTAAGAGTCGTCACCAGGCTTTGAGCTTGTAATCTTTCATTTATCAGGTTGCTGGGAAATGCACTTAGCCACTCTGCCCCATCTGCAATTACCCGTATGATAGGTATATAACCTACTATGATTAATCTGATGTTGATAACATTTTCAAAGATTGTGTGCAGTTATACCAAGATAATCCCATATAAATTTTATCAAATTCCATCCATAACTTCCACTTCCGGATATGTGAACATACTATGATACACTTGCATATCAAAAATGGCTGATTGGATTAAGTACAAACGAGGAAGTTAGAGATTAATGAACAAAATTATCCAATATTAAATTTATCAAATTCACTCCCGTATTTTCAATAATGGATATACAAATGTTGCGCCTATATTAAAAAAGAAAAATCTCATTAAATTTAGCCTAAAGTTGAAGGAAATTAGGAAAACAATTTACAAATGGTATGTTATTTTCTTATGTACTCGCTAAAAATAGTGAGGCAGCTATACTGATTTACTTGGAAGAGGTTTTGTTGATTTTTATAATTATGTTTTATAAATTTATAGTTAGTGCATAGACAAATTATAAATGTAGTACTTGCATAAACCTATAAAGACATGGAAAAAGTCCATATTTATTTAAGGATATAAATAAAATTGATTAATGCCATAATAATTCAGAGTCTTGAATAATTCAGACAGAAATTGGAGTGAGTAATGAGTATAAATAAAGCAATAAACTATTGAAATACAAAATTAAGCAAAATATAAGAAAGAAACGTATGAAACAAAAATTCAATTAACAATAAAGTAAAAATATATCCAATAAAAGGAAGAAATGTCAGTAGCAATTGTTGCTGGTTTGCTTATTTTATTTAAAGAACAAGTGATTAATTTTAATTTGAAAAACAAATAAACAGTAACTCATCCCGGAGGGTGCTTAAAGATAAATGATGGAGGTTGGCCAACCTGCTTGGCTGCCCTTCTGAGTATAATTAAAGTGTATTCAGTTTCCAATCTCTCCGGTTAAGAAAACAAAATTATCTTGGCTTTATTTGAACTGCTAAGAATGATAAATTAACCAACAGAATCAGGAATATAATTTAGGTTAAATTAAATCCCTTTGTGCCATAATTAAAAAGAAATGTATAAAAATTTGTATTTATTTTAATTTTAATCACAAAAGTAGAATTAATAAAATTTTAATTAAAATATAAAATGAAAAACCGTACCGTATAAACCAAAATAATTAAATATACTAAACTAAAATTTCAATATTTAATTTACTTGATTTTTTTTAGTCTTGGTTGTATCCTTAGAATAATATAGCTATGTATGTCTATAATTAAGAATAAAATATATCTCATTCCAATACTTAGTTCAGTTTAAAAAAAAAAATACATAATAAATGATGATAAACCTAAAATATTATACAATATGCCACTAATCCTGACTAGATGGAACATCCAGAACACTGATTAAATATTTAATTTAAAATGTACAAGATAAATATTTTAGTGATTTTTTTTTCTTCAAAAATAAATCTGTTTCTTCAGTGTAATTATATTGCCGATTCTACACCTTGAGCATGTATCTATTTCTATTTGAAACCTACAAACTGGCATTTATTCAACAAAAAAAGAAGTATTTTTTATTAAAACTCAAATTTAACTTAAAACTTAAAATTTATTTATTGCAAAATATTACAAAACAAACCGAGGTATATTAATGTCATAATTAAAAAGCTAATAATTTTATTAAAAAAAAAAAAAAAAAAAAAAAAATAAAAAAAAATAAAAAAAAATAAAAAAACCTGTGCCACTACAACCCATGAAGGGTCTGGGGTAAGCACTATTTAGGGAAAGCACTGTTTCTAGGTCAACGGTTGTGCAAGGAGGTGATTTGACCGAGATCACCCTCAACCACCAGATTTTCCCCCTTAATCAATTATTTAATTAAGGGTGCCCACTTTATAGAGGCTGGGTGTGCCCAAGGAGGGTCTCCCGACCCAGGGTCGCCCCACAGCCAATGAAACAGATTAATAAATTTTCTGCCATGAGCCGGGGTTCGAATCTGGGATCTTTGCATTGGAAGTTCAGTGCCCTATCACTGAGCTACCCCACTCCCCAATTTTATACAAACTGGAGCTTAAATTCTGAACAGGACTATAACCTAGAACAACATATAGTATATGATGAAAATAATAACAATTTTAAAAACAAGAAGAAAAAAACATAATTATTTTTTTAAAGTATGGTTTTTTATTGTTTTCAACATGCTTCTGTTATCTGTCTTTACTTTTGAAAAATCATAAAATAGAGTATGTGTGCCATTTTTTATCTCAGCATTTTTTTCATCATAGTTGACCGAGTAGATTAAATATCTTTAAATACTTACTGCACTCTAACTTACACTGTTATTATACTAAATAATAGTAAGTTTTTCCTTAATTTTATCTGGATGAACCAAATGTACAGATTAAGGGGCAAATAATGATGAACCTAATCCAAATATAACCAAAAATAATGTAGCTAGGACAGTAATAACATTAAGACAGTTTTTGCTAATTGTGTTCTAGCTGTTTACTTATAATGTAAAATGATAATTCAACATCGTACTTTAAAAATAAAGCTGGGAATAAAGGAAAACCAATTCTAAAAACATTTTTTAAATTTGAAGGTAAGCTAACCATAATCTCTGTTAAAATATACAGATTTATGTAAACCACTTACTGCAACCATGTCCTGAACTGCCAAAGACGACTTAGAAGCAAGCATCACCATTCCCATAGCAATGGCAGCTGCTTCACCAGTAACAGCATCATCCTGATATAAATTCATTTTTAGCTGTTCATATATGTTCATTTTATGAGTACCCATTGCAGCAAGTCCTAAACCAAGACAACCTCCATGGCGCACCATCTGGAAAGAAAAGAGACCATCAATATAAACTCAAGAAATATATTTATAGATAAGAATATAATAGCCAGTAGAGTAGCAATGAATACTGGTGATATGATACAGGAACTGGCAGGCAAAATTTTGACAAATTAACACCAAGCTAAAGCTTTTTAGGGTACAGGGTTACAAGGCCTACAGGAATAGACATCATTGGAATATGAACCCCAGTAATTGGTTACAATACACTATAAAGTCATCTTCAGAATGCCAGGGGACTACTGATACTGGTGTGGCGGCCATCATGATAGGATTTTACTGGCAAGAACAGCTTTGAGTCATTCTTGCCAACTCCTGAGAATTACCTAGAGGACATACTAACCAGAGTGGTAATGTCAAGATTCAATCCTCTGACCGAAATGGGAATCAGTTAACTAGGGGCTCCCTCACCTCAACATGCTCTCGGCCATGACAGCTGTAAAATTAGAAGTTTATCTAACAGAGCTGCAGTGAATAAAATTGGTATATTAACAATTATTATTAAAGAGTAGATTTTTTTGCAAATCTGATCAGTCAGGCTAATTTCATGTCAAAAGATTTTCATAGGGATATTGCAGTTCTGTAATTATATAATAATTTAATAAATAAATAAAATTTGTAAAAATAATTAGTCAAAAGTAGATTATATTGAAATTACAATAACAAGTTCAAGAGCTAATTACAGGGATAAAAATTTAATCTAAGAGCTAATCACATAATATTTGATATAACTGAGCTCTAAAAAAGTAAGCCTTGTTCTGCACTTCAGTGCTATAATGAAAATAATTTATGGCCAATTTTTATCAATATAACACATTATGTAGTCAAGGAAATAATTTTTTTCAAGATAATTTCTTGAAAACCTGTACCAATGTAAATCCTATATAGCAAATCATAAATTTAAGATAATTTCATAAAGATAAAACAGGAAACAAAAAGTAAGAAAGAAAGAAACATAAGTTAAAAAATGTCAAAACAAGTAGAACTATAGTTGGAAAGGCTAGTTTACTTTAGTATAATTATAAATCACAAGCATTTACAGCCCATGAAGAGACAAGAGTACAGAAGGTAGTGGAGGGTCTCATTAGTGACGTCATAGTAGTATTCTTGGGAAACGAGATGGTCAGCACCAAGTTTCAAACTTTACTGCTTACATTTTTATGACATGATTAAAGCATAGTGGCATACTCACTGATCTACCCCACTCTTGAAATTTTTACCAAAAGCCTGAAATTTTTCTTAATACAAAAAGGATGAAATTAAAAAAAAATAATAATAAATAAAAACTTCTTACTTCATTCTGTGCATCTTTTAATTGGCCAAGGAGATAGTCTATTATAGCTGCACCATGGTTTGCATGAATTAGACCGAGAGCATAGAGGCCACCACCTTCAGAGTACCCTGAAGAAGGGCCAGGTTCACTAGGTAAGTATGTCGACATGAGGGCAAGTGCCTGGCTCTCGTGACCTCGATGAATCACACCTAATGATGCAGTAGCAACCAACTTTGCCCAATTGGTAGCTCTTGCCAACCAATCTAAATTATCTCTGAAATATTATTGAATAAATTAGCCAAAGAAACGATTCCTTCATTAATAGTTATATTCACAAATAATTTCAATTCATTTTTAAAGGTATGTTAAGGTGTTGGTTAAGTACACAAACTAATAAAAATAAATGACTAAAGTTATTAACAAAATAATAAGTAATGAATACACTAATTAATAATTTTAAATAATAGAAATTACCTAAGAAATTGGTCTGAAGTAGTTCCACTGTGCATAAATGCATTGGCAATCACAGTGGCTGTATGACAAATAGAAACTCTTATAGCATCTTTGGTATTTTTCAAAATGAGCATGTCAGTATGATTTGATCTGGAAATAAAGAAAAGAAGAGGGAAAAAAATTAGACATTCACTTATGTAAACAATAATAGTAATTGTTTTATTTCAGGTTTCTTTGTGTCAGCCACATAAAAGTCAATTAAAATTATTTGAACCTTTCCATTTAATCCTGAATATTTCGGACCAGTACTTTAATTATTTTTAAAAATTAATTACTCTGTTCTTATTATATTTTCCTTAATTAGTTTATCAAAACAATATCTAAGTTTTCAACAAGAGAGAGCAAAAAGAACTTTCAGATCATAATATGAGCCTTTTTTTTGACAGAATGACTAACTCCAATTTCAACATTTTTTATTAATAATTTTAGTTACATTTCTAGTGATAAAATTTATATCTCTATTCACAGTTCTACATTCCAACACTGGAATCATCTACTCTGTAATCAACTTACTCACTGTCTGTACAGATATTATAAATTTTCCAACTAGAATTACCACTAAAATGATTTTACTCAAAAATGGTAGTCATTCTGTCAACTTAAAGGCTCATATATAACTTATTGTAAACAGTGGTGATAATTAGACTTAAACTGTTGTACTTCCCCTCCCCCTTTAAGCTTACTTACCAGCTTACGCTACCAAGGAAATATGGTCAGAATAATGCAAATACAATAATAAAATCAAATTCAGCAAAATTGGACTTACAATAGCTTCTGACATACAAATTTAAAACTTTTAACTTTATATAATCCTAACTTAATAAGTCTGCCTGAGCGTAAACCTGCCGTGAAGTTAATGTAAAATTTATTTCAACAATATAAGGTCAGTATACTAATATTAGGCATCTTTGTTTAAAGATTAATTTATACACAAAAACGCATGCATAATTTTTCTAATTTTAAGAAGTTAACTAATTGTGTAAAAGAGAAAAAAATACTTCATATTCAATTATGAATTTATTGTATTTCAAGATTATTTTGTTTTACATCAATCTCCACATATATTATTTATTACAGTAAGGCTCGAAATAGGTTTTGTAGCAAATATAAGCTCCTGTCATGCTCAAATACAATGAATGGGGTACCGTAGGATTCAGGATTTCATGGGGGTTTAGAGAATCGTACTATCCGCTTCTGTTTTTCTTTCTAGAATAAAGTCGATAAAAACATTTTGCTAGGTATCAATAATGGAACGGTGGTAAGTCTGTAGATCGATACGGGACACATTGGGCCTTTGAAGATTTTGATGCATACAGCAAGAACCGGATAGTTTCTTCGGAACTATCGGGCCCTGCATTCTTAAGCCCAAAAACATATTATTTTCCAGATAATGCAAGGCAAAGGGTTAGCATCCACACAACCTTATGTTAATTGTAGTACTGTCATGAAATACGTGTCTGATTTCAACGACTTGAGAAGTCTATGACCGAGAGAGGAGGAGTTTATTTATCAAAGGTATTTTTTGTCAGTAAGCCACATTATCGTTGATTCTTCACCAAATCCCAAGATTGGGCCACCAATTTGGAAGATTTCCTTCTCTTTCAAGTGGGCAAAATTGTCTTATCACGCTGATAATTTAGGCAAAAAAACTTATGAAAGAAAAGAAACCTTATTTGCGAAAAATTACACATTTTTCCCTTGGTTATGTCCATGGTTATATAAAAGATTTCTAAATTCTCTACAAAAGGAGAAAAAATTCATTGAAATAGATTAGAAATTTTTCCAATAGGTCTTTTTCATTTTATTATTTATCTTTTCTTATTTTCGATTAATATTCATTAGGAGAGTTCTATTATGGCCCACTTCCTTTGAAAATAACTATATATTTGGCATAAGAGCTATGGTATGCGTATGACATTGAAACAATTTGTACTGAACGAAGGAGGAAAGTGGCTTCAAATATTTTTTATGGGAAACAGAGTTGAGATTTGTATTTCCCATCTAGATAAAGACTCAAATACGAATTTTCATAGAAAAAAAAAAAATTCTTTTTTTTTCCACCAAATCGGAACTAAGCCAAACTTTTCCAGAAAAATGACATTTTCTGACTTCCCCTGGTTTACCCTGATTGTGAACATCCTGAATGCAGTTCAGAAGTGCATATATATATATATATTCACATAGAAATATTTTTTTGTTGTAATGAGACAATTAATGTTAATTAAAAAATAATAAATAAAAAATTCCAGAAATGTGCGAACATAAAAAATATCAAACTTAATGAATATTGGGGACTAAAACCAAACCATATAAGGCCTGTTACAGCTATTATTCTTAAGTTATTATATTCAGTCATACTCTGGTGGCACAGAGGAAATATTAGTAGTTATAAGATACTCTTACATGAATTTCAAAGGCTGCAAAGCAACCTTTTTCAATGATTACTATGGAAGCAATTCTAGACATCTATCCATTGCACATGGAAGTAGAAGAAAACTCCCAAAAACCTCATAGACTAGCAAATTTAAACTTGTGCAGTAGACAGGGAAAATTCTTTCAAAAGGATGGTGAGGACAGGGTTTACAATGCACTATGATACTAAAGCCAAAGAATATCTGGTGGTAGTTAGTTATCGCGCCAATATTGACACTTCAAGCCCGCAACCCAAATAATGGTATTAACTACAACACAGACAGCTCGCAGACTATGATAAGGCAGCTCAGAAGCTGGCATGTAAATAAAAGAGAGACCTAATGAAGGCATAAATATTCCTCTTTGAAAATATAAGTACTTGGCAATTACTTTACAAGATCAAAGATTATGATGCAATCCTAAATAATCTAGTTCTACACAATAATGTAACTATGGAGAGGTGGATACCAGGAGATCTTGGTACTGCAGGCAACAATAACACTCATAAATTATCCAGAAAAAACTGTTAATATTCCAATTACTCCTGGACCAATATGTGGCATAAGTCTGAGCTATGCAAAAAAGAGAATTAGGGAAATTCTTAGTGAAAAAGCTTAACAATGGTGGTATCACAAGAAATAGCTATACTCGATGCTGTTCCTTAATGTTTCCTCTTCAAGAACAAGTAACATTTTACTGAACATAAATAGGGCTTCTCTAAGCACAATAACAGCAATTTATATGGATCAGAGTAAACTGAACTACCATATGTAACACCATATACTAAATTACCATGTGTTCAAACACGAGTCAACAGTCACCTCAGTGTATATTCTGAAACCATGAAAATAAAACTGCCTATCATATCACCTTTTGGGTGTGACAGGTTCGCAGGGCTAAGGATTAGGCTATTTGGAGTAAATCAATTGATAGCAGCAAAGAAGTATGAGCTTGTCAATCCAACAAGTCTTCTAAAATTTATTAATGCTATCAAAGTAATATTTCGAAGTAAACAGCAGACAGGATTATGGTTCCCATAACTGCGTGATTAGGCTGAGGTGCATTACACCATAACAAAAAAGCTTAATGAAGGAAAACAAAATATTTCATGGCACAGGTTAAATCACGTCCCAAAAAAATAATTTATATGAAAAGTTAGACACACTAAATACAACTATACAATTAAAAGAAAATAGAACTTAAAATTAAACACTTAAAGCAAAGATAAATACAGCAAACTGTCTAGAAAATTTGGAATATTAAAATGCATTTTAAATGATAAATAATTAAATACCTGATGAGAAACTGCAAATGAAGTTCAATTGAGACCTCGCCACTCAATATTCTACTAAGATTTTCCATCCTTGTTTGGTACTTTTTTTCTTCTTCAGTCTATTAGATCAAAATATAATGATTAGAAGTAACATAATTATCAAGAATCAAAATATGCACAAATTTTTTACTATTTGAATAATTATAAAATCAATCCTTTTTCTTTCCTCTTAATGTTTTTTATCCTATCAGGCTTACCAACCATGTATTAAATATAAACATATTATTTTTCCTTCACAAAAGAAATATATATATTTAACTGAAATTCCTTTTTAATATATATATATATTTATAATAACAAACACATTAGTATTTAATATAATATATATAAATAATATTAAAAACACAAATTAATGTTTCACAAAAATCACAACTCTTTATAATTTTTTGAAAGAGAACTGGTTATTGGGAGTACAAAAGATTCATTATAAAAACTAGTTTTAAGGGGTAAAACTGGACCCCTTCAAACAACTTATCATTTAATAAATAAAATTATAATAACTGTTAAATAAAAAAATAATTTCATTATATAAATGGAATTACCAAAGAAGAAGGATCTTTCTCAGGTAACTGTAATTCTTTTATAGGGTTGCCAATCAAGCCTTCCAGTATAGAAGATGGTTCTAAAACTTTTCCTTTTGCAAGTGAAGGTATAGGAGCTGAAGCACTTAAAGACTGAACAATACTTCCAATCAACTGTTGAGTAGCAGATTCATAAATATCAAATGCTAACTGGTAGGCCATCAATGTATTTTCCTAAACAAACATAACAAAAATAAAATGATAAAATGATAAGATGCAAAAAGCATTAAAAACCAGAAGACTAAATTGGAGAAATAAAGTACTTTGGCCCATTACTATATCAAATTACAAAATAGTTTTAATAAAAATCTCAAATGTAGATAAATATGCTATACCTCACTCTCCTTGCAGAGCTTCTCCAGGACTTGGGCAATTGAGAGAGAATCATCAAGAAATATCAGGCACTGAACCATATTCACATAATCTGGAATATTAAGATTTCGATACAGGCTCACAAGACTTCTTAAAACTGTGTTTCGAAAGCCACGATTTTGAAGCAAAGCCATGGAAACTTGAAAAGCGTAGAGAAGCATTCCAGGTATGTCATCCTGATAATAAAATTAAAACTATAAAAATGAAATATTAAACCAACAACAACAGAAAAGAAAAAAACCCCATAAAATTACAGATTGCATGATGGATTTCTCAAAAACATCCATTCTCCTTGTTTCAAGTGCAATCCCAAGGGCTTGACGATACTGTCCTTCTTCAAGACATCTCTGAAACATTCTGTCCACAATGGCTTCTAAACGGGCATCAATGGGTTGTACATCATCAGGATTTTCTAGATTATGTATTCTGAGAGTTGTGTAATGATCAATGCATTTGGCTAGAAAAATAAATAAATGTAACAAAATTTATATAAAATACAATTTTTTTTTAAACATTAAATAACAAACCAAACCTATGATTGTGTCAACATATTCTGATCTAGAATTAACATCAAATAAACGTCCTGCTCCAAGAGCATACGTAAGAGAATCACTGAATGATCCTAAATGATAAAACACTTTGCTGGCAACAAGAGCTGCTAAATCATGCTGAGAAAAATTTTTGTCTTCATGTAAAACTTCACTGAAATCAATAAATATTTATATTGACTTAAGATCTATTAAGAAAGATAGTTGAAATATTATCAGCAATTGTGCAAGTAACTGTCATACAACTTACATTTTCTCAATAGCTTCAGATATTTCTGGCCAAAATTCATCAACAATTAAATTCAACTTTTTCAATGCAAAAACCTTAAGTTCAGGCATAGGCTCTTCAAGAAGGGATATAATCCCAGCTAAAAAATAAAATAACCTAATGAAAAAGTATATAAACAAAGTAAAAAATATGTAAGTGAGATGAATTTACAATAACAGCTTTGAAGCAAATTATAAAATGAGAAAATAATTGTAAAATATAAAAATATCATGAAAAGAAATGAATAAAATTAAAAGAAAACAAAGCATGACTATGTGATTTTGAAGGATGAATCAGTTTAGAAAACGTTTCATTAAATAATGTGTAGTAAAACAAGAATGAAAAGTTAAAATATATACCTGCGGATGTAATATTCATGATGTAAACCTATAATTTAAACTTTATCCAGACTTTGATAAAACACAAACTGAATTTAAAGGCAGTCAGGGAACGAGTGGCAACTGGTTTACAGAAATCCAACCTTCCCCTCCACTCCAGTGTTACCAGATAACAAATTTATTGTAACCTTAATTCTATATAGCCATTATTTATCAATTATTTTAATTGTTAAAAAATATTATAATTCAATTAATTTACAAATAGAATACACAACAGACGATGTAATAACCTTTAAAAATATTTATAAAATAACTAAAAGATAAGAGAGGTTTGTTCCTAAAAATGAAATTAAATATCATTTAGTATCTCTGATTGTTGTATGTCACTATCTCAATCCACATTTTTTTTCTAAAATATTTGTAAAATACGTTATTTATCTATGATCGATAGGTTTGATTAGGTACAATACCTCCTGATCGATTGAAATAATATCGATTATTATATTTAGTTAGGTTTGATTAATATTGTTATTTACAAATTTAAAGTTGTTATAATGTTGTCATTCAATAAAAATGTCAATACCAATTGAAAACAACTACTTAAGATTGTTAATTTTTAATAGAATGGGCAGCATTACTTCGTCAAACCAATTATTTTTCTGTAACATTTTGAAAAAAAAGCTTAAGTTGTTTTTTTATTTTAGTTTTTTGTGGTGATGGCGACAGACACTATTTGTCGCTTGTGTTCGTTGGACTGTGACAATTATGTGAAACTTTTTGAACAAGAGAGTGAAAAAGCCGATCTTGTTGAAAAAATTAAACAATGTCTTCAAATTTGGGTTTGTATATAGTGTCATTTTAACTACAAACTTAATTTTCATGTTGTTGTCAAAAGATTGTTTATTTGAACAATGTACTAATTATTTTTAATCATTGTCTAGATTTGTCCTGAAGATACACTGCCTAAAGCTATTTGTTTAGTTTGTTATGGGAAATTAGAAGAATTTTTCAATTTCTACAGCTCATGTCACCAATCACAGAGTTGTTTAATGGAAATTTTCAAGAAGAAGGATATCCATAATAACTCTTCTCCTTTTAATATTTTCCCTCTTTCTGAGAAAGGAACTGAGATTTATCAGTTAACTGTATATTCCATTGTTTGTATGTTTGGATATATGCTCATCAGTTGTTCAAAACTCATTGATCTACAATTTTTCAGGATTTTGATGAAAAAACTGACTTGGACTATGATGTCGACTGTGTATTGTTAGATGATCGAGGTATTGTGTTAAATTGTATTTAAGTAGTTTAAGATTTTGGTACTACTTCACAAGTATCACTCTAAAATGGTGGCTGGGCCAAGATCACATTTTTAATAGAACTCCGCGTGTGTCCGAAAGTTGACGGAGATGACCAACCCCCATTGGTAAGGCTCCCAGCTCAACTGAAATGGATTCAGAGTGCTGGCTTTGTGCATTTTGATATGCGAAAGCCACAATTTTATTTTTCGTTTAAAGTAGTAATCATTTAGCAATCATTAATTTTAATTCTTTTTAATATTTTTTTGTGCTATTACAATCCATGAAGGATTGTACTATGTTGGGAGGTACTGTTTCTTGGTCTACTATTGCCCAAGAAGGTGATTTGACAGAAATCACTCACAACTACCAATTTTTCCTCTTTAATTAATTCAGAGCACCCTCTTTATCTTCTTCTTCTTCTGGCACTACAGACTGAAGTGGTCCTTGACCTGCTTTAACATATATTGCCACAGAGTTCTGTCCTCCACCATCTGGATGACCGCCTATCAGATGTTCTTTTCCTTTTTCTCCTTCCATCGTGCCTTTGGTCTTTAACAAAGATTCTCCCTGTGTAGACCTTCTTCACCTGTCTGTCTTAATTTGTTCAGTTGACATGACCATACCATTTATGCCTACTAAATGGTACATTCTTATCACATTTGGCAGTCGAAGATCATTAAAAAAAACTTAAATCTCTTTATTTTTCCTACTTCCTACATCCCATTCTCATATGCACCACCAAACATTCTTTGCAGTAGCCTTCTTTCGAATCTGTCACTTATGCTATTATTTAATGTCTATGTTTCTCCATACATAACAACAGGTCTGATCAGGGTTTTATACATTTGAATTTTAACTTTGCGAGAGATAATGTTACTCATTGCTTTTTGCTTAAGTGCAAAACAAGCTCTAGTTCCTGCCAGAATACTTCTTTTAACTTCTTCTGATTCATTTGTCATTGAAGATCCAAGGTATGGGAAAGTCGACTCTAATTCTGTTTTCTCCAGCATTTTTTTTAGCTTGGTGGGTGTTGTCATCTGATTTTTTCTACGACCATTAGTGTCGTTTTTTCAATATTTAGTTGAGACCATCCCTCTTGCCTTCCGTCTTAAGGCAGCATACACCTCAATTCCTTGCTTGCTTCTTCTTAAAATCATCTGCGTATGCCATTATTTGTAGTGATTTATTTATGATAAATCCTTTGTGTTCTTCTCTACATTATCAAGCACAAGATTAAACAACATAGGGGCTAAGACATCTCCCTACGTCTGTTTATTTTGGCCACCAACCATCCTTTTGTAGTGCGGTACAAGTTGGTTGTAGAGTAGTGCAGCAAAAATCTTATATGCAATATTCAGCAGAATGATACCTCTTTAGTTGCCACATTCTGCCATATCTCCTTTCTTGTACTCCACAGTTCCAGTTTTCTGGCATGCGCTCTTTCTCCCAGATGCACTCTGTGAGACGATGCAGCTCTCTCATCATATTGTGGCCCGCAGCTTTAAAGAGTTCAGCATTAATGTTGTCTGCACCTGGTGTCTTATTTCTCTTCAGATTGCTGATCACTTCCTCCAGCTCTCAGAATGTTGGTGGGATTGATTTTTCCTATCCATATTCTGAAGGCAAGATTTCTCTATTGTGGATCACAACAGTTCAGGCGATTTCTCTGGCATCATTATTTAAATAGTACCTGGAAGTGTTCTTCCCATCTCTCAATGATGTCTTTATTTGAGATCAGAAGTATACCTTCCTTGTTTTTTTATGCAATTATTGGCCGGTATATGTCCTTTCTTGATGGCTCCTATTTTCCTGTAGAATTTCCTTTCATTTTTGTTAGCCATATCTTTGATGTTCTGTAACTGTTCCTCCAGAGCATTTTTTTCTTCTTCTTGATTATTTTTTTCAGCTGTCATCTTGCCTTATTTGATGTTGCAGGCACTTAAGGTGCACATTGTTCTTATTTTCGATAGCTTGCTTTCATTCATCGTCAAACCATCCATTTCTTTTTCTTTGTTTTATATTTCCAAGTTTCCCCAGCTGTAGTTGAGAACATCTAATCCGGTTTGTTTCATATGCCATAAATGGTTAAGCCTTTAGCCATATCTAAATGATGGACAACAATCTTCTCGTTTATATTTTCCTGAAACTGTAATGATGTTTCTTCATTCTTCAGTTTTTCGGCATTCCACTTTGTCTTGGGCACACAGAGCGATACCTTGGCTTTCTTAATTCTTTGCTTGCATTTCATCACTACTGGGTAGTGATCTGAGTCAATACCAGACCCTCTAAAGCTTCTGACATTATTATGCAACTGTGATGCCTAATATTAACACAGAAGTGGTCTATTTGGTTTATATTTTGACCATCAGGAGTGCACCATGTTTGTTTATGGATATTATTATGAGGGAATACTGTGCTTGTTATTATAGACATTTTGGAAGCTACAAACTGGATCATTCTTTCTACATTGTCATTTGTTATACTATGCAGGCTATGGTTTCCTATTTTGGGCTTAAAAACATCTTCTTTCCCAATCTTGGCATTAAAATCTGCTGTTATGAGTTAGATCTCATACTGGGAGTGTGAATCATAAAGCTTCTCAAGCTTTGTGTAGAATTCTTCTTTTGTATTTTCATATGTTGCAAATACGATTATTTACTGGTTGGAAATCCATTATACCATTTTGGAATTTTCTTTTCATTTGGCAAGCATATCCAATCTCGTGCCGATCTTTACTTCTGCTGTAATACATTTTGTAGTCATGCTTTTTAAGTATACCCACTCCTAGGCATCGTACTTCCTGAAGAGCCACTATATCAAAATAATATTAAGTTCACTCTAGTCGAAGTTCATCAAAGGCTCCAGATCTAACGAGTGTCCTCACATTCCACGAAACCTGTTTTCAAATTGTATATTGAAGATATGTCAATTTGATGTGTGTCAGGTCATGTCCATTGATCAGTCCATAATCTAAGGCTATTCTGTTAAGTTTTCTTAAAATTCTTTGTTGATTTTTTTTTTTATACAAATATAGATGGAATTGTTAGGCCCATTCCAAAACTCTCTTACTTCGCCTGTGCTTGAGACCGGCAATGCTAAGGTAGATCTTAACATAGGCAGAGTTTATAGAGGCTGGATATGCCCAAGGAGGTTCTCCCGATCCCAGGATAAATCCACAGCCGATGAAACAGAATAAATAATTTATCCGCCATCTACCAGGTTAGAATCCAATATCCTACACCCTGTTCTCCAGTTAATATTTTAGCAAACTAAAATTTCCAAGAAACATTAGGATGATGTGAGATATAATATTACACCAGTGAACAAGAATGCCAATATATCACCACTTCTAGTGATTTCTGCCTATAATGTGATCTTTACCCAGAAGCCATGTTGGCTTGGTACTAGTGATGTTTTACTGAGATATTTGTTGGTTACTTACTTCATTTGTGTTCTCTAGGTAGTGCCAATACCTTAAAAAAAAAGAGGGCTGTTAAAACTCCTAGAAAAACTTCATTTGAAGATGTTCTAACTGAGAACTTTAGGAATGAAAAAATTGAAATCAACAAGCCATCAAAATCAAGAGAAATCAAAAGTGAAAGTCAAGATGAAGAGAGAAGTGACTTAGATGATGATCTCTTTGATTTTCCTAACTCTTCTCAAAGTTTCTCATCAAAAAGTATATTATTAAAATTTATATTTCTCTAGTAATGAATAAAATTTGTTCTTTTTTGCCCTATGATTTTATTTAAACAAACACATATATAATATGTGGTAATAAGATGAGACTTTATGCTTAGTTTATGTTTATACTATTTGTTTAAATTTATTTCCTGTAGTAAGATGGAACCACGATTTGGACCCAAAATCTTTGGGTTTATAGGCTAGAGTATTTTGGTATTGACCCGCTCAACCTAGCTGTCTCACTTATTTTATTATAACTAATTAATTTATATTGGCAAAGAATGTTACTCTCAATAAGCATACCTCTCTATGCTTCTGCTTTATTCACATCTTTGTAGCCAGGATGCAAAGCATTATATTAAAAAACATACTTGAAACATTATTATTTTTTCCGGCTTATTCAATCTATTCCAAGTGAATTTTGTAGTAAATCAAATGGTTCTCCGTTCACTGTGGACTAGGTCAATTTGAAGTGGTTGACCCATTTGACTGATCTTTTACTATTATTCTGAACTTGCTACTTAGTTGAGAACTCGGTGTCATTACAAAATGTATATTAACAAAAGTTGAGCTATCACTTAAGAGGTTTCACTAATTGAAAGTTAAACATTTTTTTTTGCTCAGCCGAAAAACATTTTTAAACTTGAAATGGCATTTATTATTTTTTTGAAAGGTTTTACAAGTATTACCAAATTTGTGAAGTTTCAATAAGAAATGTCACAATGAACAAAGTGTCTTCAAAATTGTCTTCGTCATTACTATGAAGTTTGAAGGTTGATACATCTTTCTGAATTTTCACAAATTGGCATTAATTATTTTGACTTAGTGGGTTTTACTTGTAATGTAACTATATTTTAAAATTTGTCTGATATTTATTAATTCGTAATGTATATTCAATTTTTAGAAATATTTGAAGACTACGTTTGGAAATGCTCAGACTGTGACAAAGAACTCTCATCATTATCATCATTGAAATTGCATTATCAACAAGTTCATAACCAAGCACCTAACTTTAAATGTACTTATTGCAATAAAGTTTACACTCGGTACAGAAGTTTTGCAAGACATGTTAAATTACATGTTGATTCTAAAAAGTACAGGTAATATGCAGCTAGTATCTGTTTATTCTATAATAGTAACTCCTATCTTATATCATACGTAAGATGACAATTGGCTAGCGATTTATATGGATTGGTAGTTTCTGAAAGAGCATTTTTTTATTTTGAAAAATTCTGTATTTTTATTATTGGTTGACTCAATTGTAGAATCGGGCACAGTAATAAAATCGTCTTAAATTGTTATCAATAAATAAATTGTTGTGCTATGAAATGTTGATGTGCCAATATTTCCAAATTGGTTTTACTTCTGACTCAAGAATTCTAATTAATTCCTATAAGTAACGTTAATAATATAATTAACGGGAGACCATCGCAGAATAGAATGCAGGTCGGATCTTCAATTAGTATTTGCAGAATTTTGACAAAAACTTTATTTGAATGAGAGACAACCATAAAATTCATTTTAATGTGTCGTTTTCCTTATCTTAATAAATTAGACATATTAAAATGATTTTTTATAAAAGAAACTGATTATTAAATTTGTTTAGATTATATTAACTTAATAATTTAAATAAAACATTTAAAAAATATGATATGACATACAATGATATTCAAGATGTATTAGATAATGTATAATACTTATTTATCTTTATGGCACTATACTTTGGATTGGTTCTTGGTCTCCTCAGTGAATCACCTTCCAGTTCTATAGCGAATAATATAAAATGTGAAACAAATATTTGATTATGGAAAAATGTCCCAAAACGTCACATTAGGAAAGTAAAGAAGCATGAAGGCTTATTATTTAAAATGTATCTTCATTATAAAAATAAATAAATAAAAGATTTATTATGAGAAGGAGTTAGTCGAGGGTGCGGTCAAATAAATAAAAAATTAAAATATATTAATTATTTTAATTTTTGCCGACGTTTCGACCCACTTTGCAGGTCGTCTTCAGGGCTACAAAAGATACAAAAAATGTTGAAAATAAAAAATAAATATAAGTATATATAAAATAAGAAGAAGTTGTCAGATACAGAAATAAAAGATGGTATCAGAGATATAGTGGGTGACAATGTAGTTAAATATTAAGAATTATATATGTAGAAGATACAAATAAATGGAAAATAAGTAGGAATAAAAATAAAAATAAAGGAGAATATAGCATGTAATACATATTATTTTTTTCTTTCTTAAAATAAATACATCGTATTTATTTTCTTTATCGGTTAACCCACAGTTATCTAATGTAATATCTATTAGTTTTTTATACACTTATTCCTTATCTTTTATCGCAATCGGTTTACTTTTAACTTACATGCTATATTCTCCTTTATTTTTATTTTTATTCCTACTTATTTTCCATTTATTTGTATCTTCTACATATATAATTCTTAATATTTAACTACATTGTCACCCACTATATCTCTGATACCATCTTTTATTTCTGTATCTGACAACTTCTTCTTATTTTATATATACTTATATTTATTTTTTATTTTCAACATGTTTTGTATCTTTTGTAGCCCTGAAGATGACCTGCAAAGTGGGTCGAAACGTCGGCAAAAATTAAAATAATTAATATATTTTAATTTTTTATTTATTTGACTGCACCCTCGACTAACTCCTTCTCATATTATATCAACGGTCAACCATCTCTACATCATTATAAAAGATTTATTTTTTTCCTTTTTACCTTGTTTAATCTAGAGCTGTTAAGCAGTGTTCTAAATTACTTTACTTTATATTTTTTTGTCATTTTTAAAAGTTAGAGGATCTCAAACAGTGGTATAAAATAAATAAATTGTATTGGATAAAATATAAAAACATGTAATATCACAAGCCTGAAATAAACAGTTAATTGAATCCATCATGAATTACTGTCAGGGTTTACCAATTGAGTGCTACAAGTATATGCTAGACGAGTTTTGGTAACAATATGTAATATTTAAGTTCAATTTGGTAAATAAATATCCTAAAAATTCTTAAATTTATGTTTATTAAGAAAAGAATTCAAATTATAAAAAGAAATTATGTGTTTTTTTATATATTGCTCTAAAAATGGTTGAAGATTCTGTTACAACAATGCTTTAAGCATAATTACTATTTTTACTTTCACTTACATTTATATTATTTTCTCGCCTTTTAGATTATATAGGGTTTTTTCCAGTCCAGGAGATGGTTCGAGATGGGGAAAGGAGAGAGTGGGGGAATTATGTCAGCATTAAAAGTCTCGACAGCACCAGGTTTTGCACTCGTAGTCTTTAGTTTATCATCTGGTTGCAGGGCAATGCATTTATACATGCATTAACCTTCTCGGCCATCACTCTCCTCTCGACTTATTTATATATGAAATATATAGTAAAGGAAAGTTTTGCGATCTTGAACAATTTTGAATTTGAGTTTCCAACGGAAATACACTTTTTGAATTCTCCTGGGTCCAAATAACTGAGTCATGCAAAATGGTCAGTGTTTATGTGAACAGTTTAGCTCAAAAACGAAAATTCGTACAATACTGAAATAATGTATTTAAGATTTATATATTTCTGGCATGTTTCAGCATTATACATGCCACAGTAAAAACATTTAAGAACTGCTGAACTATATAATAGGCCACTACCTTTTTAGTCGTCTTTGAGGCTCACCAGGTAAGAGAGAGGAAGATAGACATAGAAAGAATGGATTTGGATGATTGAGAGTAGAAGAGTGAAATGTGTACTTGTTTTGTATGTAGGATTTTACTTTTGGTATGTTCATGTCTGTGTGTATGGTGTGATTTGAAATAAACCAAGGAGCATTGACGATTTTACGGAGTATTTTGGATTGTGTGGTTTGAATTTTGTTTATGTATGTGTGTGTTTTGCGGAACCCCTAAGTTCTGCTCCGTATGTCCAAATAGGTCTTAGTATAGTGGTGTAGATTAGTCGCTTGTTTAATAAGTTGAATGGAGATCTGTAGTCTAAAAGATGTGACAGTTACTTGTATCGTCTGGTCAGTTCTTGTTTTTTTAATTTAGTGTGAATGTTCCAGGTGAGTTTTTTGTCCAAGTATAGTCCAAGATACCAGAGGGAACTGGTTTATTGTCTATTGTCACAGCAGGACACGAGATCTTCCTCAGGGAGAAGCTAACATGAGTTGACTTGCTGGGATTGATGTTAATTCTCCATTTGTGAAACCATTTTTCAAGGTCGTGCAGGTGATTTTGAAGGGCTATTGAAGCGATAGTGGGATTTTTGTGAGAAGAAAATATTGCCGTCTCGTCAGCAAAGCTATATAGAGAATGGTGCTAGGATGCTCAGGGATATCAGATGTGTAGATAGAAATAGAAGAGGGCTTAAAACACTTCCTTGTTGTACGCCCGCAAGTTGAGGAAAGAAAGGAGAAGTAAAGAAATCTAATAGTAATACAGAAGAACCTGTCAAGATAGAAAGATTGAAGAATCAGAAAGTAAGTTGAAGGAAGGTGTGGTTTTATTTTCCACAGTAAACCTTTGTGCCAAATGCTTTCTCGATATCCAGGAATATCGCTGAGCAGAATTATTTTTTTTCGAAGGCGACTGAGATAGCGTCTACTATACGATGACACTGTTGTACAGTGGAATGGTAAGAACGAAAGCCAAATTGATTGGCTTTATTCTAAGAAGAAATAATTTTTCAAATATTTTGCCCATTATGGGTAAGAGTGCAATCGGACGATAAGAAGAAGAGTTATTGGTAAGTTTAGAAGGCTTAGGTATCATTTTTATTGTAGAAAGTTTCCAAAGGAGAGGGAAGTAAGCTGTGCGTAAGATAGCATTATAGATGTGAGTAAGAAAGATAATGGCTTTTCGGGGTAGGTGGCGAAGGATGAAAGAAGTGATAAGATCATAGCCAGGAGCTTTTTTGTTTGAAAGTCGGTTGAGTTTCTTGTAAATATCTTGTAGTCCTTGTATCTGTTATTTTTAAATGCTGACAGTTCTTGTTGGAGTTTTCGGGTTAGTCTGTTAAGAGCTGTTTTGTGTGATGGGTATCTGCTTCTTTGCCACAGAGCTCTAGTTCTGTGTTTTTCTTTTATGAGATTGCGTATAGCCTGAGGCAGGTAAGAATCAGTTTTGGTTAGTGACCTCGTTGGTGTAGTCGAATTCCAAATCGCCTTGTGTAAGGGTTCTGTAAAGTCGTTGACTGCGTTGTCAAGTTCGTCTGCTGTATTGGTGCAAGTATTTAGTATAATTTTGTTGTTCAAGTAATTTTGAAAGTCGTCCCAGTTTATGAAGCCATTAATTAAAGTCGGAGGTTTAGATTTTGCGAAAGGGTGTTTTGACAGTTCTAGTAAAATTGGGCTATGATCAGATGATAAATCAAAAAGAGAGGAAATGTTGGAGTGTGGGAGTGGTAAGGAGCGTGTAACAAAGAAGTCGAGAAGATCGGGAGATTTTGATAGAGAAGTTGGCCAGTAAGTAGTTTGTGATGGGGAAATAATAGATAGTTTAAGATCCTCAATGCATTTAAGTAATCTTTTACCTCGAGTACTTGATAGTCTAGAGCTCCACTTTAAGTTCTTAGCATTGAAGTCTCCAATGACTAAGAAATGTTTCCCCATTGGTAAGAAAAGATTCTTCATTTCATCAGTAGAGACAACTTTGTTGGGAGCAATATATACTGCAGAGACCAAAGGCTGCAGTTTTAGTGAGTTGAGAGAAATATTGGTATACTGAATGCTATTAGTTGGGGTTGCAGGAAGTATATGATGGTTTAAATATTTGTCCACAATGATTCCTGTACCTCCATGAGCCGTATGGTCTGGACGATCGGTCCTGTAACCTTGTATCTTGAATGTTTGTTTGTCAGTTAAATGAGTTTCTGTTATTAGTGCAATATTTATGTTGTGTTCTTTTAGACAGATTTCTAGTTTGTTTTTGCGTGAGAGCAGACCATTACAGTTCCACAGGAGTATTTTAAGAGAAGGTTGTGTTGGCTTAATCATTAGAAGAGTTTGAGATGAGAGCAGAGACTAATTTAGTAAGAAGTTCCAGAATTGGTGAAAGAAGGTATTTTAGGTCAGATAAAAAAGGTTCAATTGGAGATTTTATAGCCGATGAAATATCAAGTGACTATATATTTTTAACTTTATATCCCTGATCATTAAGTTCAACTGTAATGTCTTCAGTTAGAGTTGTAGGGTGGAGATTTCTAATAACTATGCGAAAATATTTTTCTTCCTGGAGTTGGTATGTATGAAATAGGGCGTTTTGTGTTTGCAATAGTTTTATAATTTTGCGATAGTCATCTGAAGTGGACGGGTAGATAGTTGTCTGATTCATGCTGCAACTGCAGTAAAATTCTCGAGGACCTACTTCAGATGCCAAGTTGTGACATAAAGTTTTAAAATTTTGGACAGATTTCACATGAATAGGAGGCTTTGAAATTATTCAAGGTTTTTCTTGATTTCTTGGTGAGTTAGTCGTGGTTCAAGATGTGGTTTCATTAGATGCGATGACTTGAATACGGATAGGTTGCAATGTTGGTTTCTCGCGGATTTCCTTCTTAGGAGGTTCTGGTTTATCTGACTTCGAAAGTTTTACAAAAGCTGGAGCTCACTTTTTAGTAGTTACAGTTTTTTGTTTTTGCATTTTGGTCATCCTACACGTCTTAAGGTGACTTGTAAGTTGATGATTGATCTCTTTTACTTGAAGTTAGTCGACGACTTTGTCTAACCATCTATATATTATTCTTACAGATATCTAACCTTTTGTTTTCAAAAGTAGTATTCCTTTTCAAAAAAAAAACTCTTCAAGGTTTGCCTTTCAACACTTCCGTCTTAAAGTTTAAATGCTCTTCTAGTCTTTTATTGGTAAGAAAATCCGGTTTAAATATTGATTAAATTTTTATGTTGATTAACTTTTCAATCGATCATATGTTATCATATATAATAGAGAACTAAATAAAATAAAAATATCAAATTGGTACTTAATGGCCTGTTTTCAAACAAATTAATAGAATTGTGGATTATTGGTTGACTGTAGTAAATAGTTGAAGACAAGAATGGTTGGGGTGATCAGTCTAAAACTGATCATGCCAACCATTCTTCTTTCCAATTATATTAATATAAATAGCAGATAGACATATTTATCTTTGTGGCATACTTACATATCTCCAATAGGAGTTCAAAACTGAAATCAATAAGCGAGCAGGCAATTTTGTTGTTGGCAATCGGTATTGTGAAATATTACCTAAATAATATAGAGTGTAATAATATAATATAATATAATACTCAAACCATAATTTTAGTTTATTTCTATTTCAGTTGTGATATATGTGGCAAATGTTTTTCTCAAAAAACAGTACTTCAATCACATAGTACTGTACACAGTGAAGAAAGGCCCCATGTTTGTCCTCAGTGTGGCAAAGCATTTAAACAGTTCAGTTCATTATATCTCCATAGTAAATGTCATCTGCCAGAACAAGCTAAACCAAAGTATCCTTGTTCTGTCTGCTTGAAAGTGTAAGTATTTGGTATAGACTTAATAAATAACACATTATCATTTTATAAGAAAAAGTACCAAATGGTACAGAAAATAATTTTTTTTCCATTTGATTCTGTTGTTCCAGGTTTTCCTCTAAACATACTGTTGAAACTCATATGAAACTTCATACAGGAGAAAGGAATTTTATTTGTGATATTTGTGGGAAACGTTTTATTTCTAAAGGTAGTTTGGACTACCACATTTTAGCTCACAATGATGCAAAACCTCATTCATGTCAAGTTTGTGGCAAATGGTTTGTTATTCCTAACTACTAATAATTTCAAATATATTGTTATTATACAACTTATTTCATAAGGCATTTTATATTTCTAGTTTTAAAACTGCTAGACTTTTAGCAAAACATTCAACTGTTCATACTGGAGTTAAACCACATCAGTGTGATGTATGTGGCAAACAATTCCGAGAAAGAGGTGCTCTGAAGGAGCACAATAGAATACATACTGGAGCCATGCCTTACTCATGTGAATATTGTGGCAAAAATTTTAGGTTTAAAGGAATCTTAACTGTGAGTGGAAATTTTATTTATGTAATATGAAAGAAATACTTAGTAGTTGGATTAAACAGAAAAAAATGTTGAATTTTTCTATCACATTGAAATTCTTTTCACCATTCCAATCAGCTTGCATAAATGATGCTGTTCCAACATATAAAATCTAGTATATTAAATTCCAGTATATATACTATAAAAGCATTTAAAATTCTATTATATAAAATACTGTATTTTAAATGTTTTACTGCTCTTGAGTAGTTAGTAATTATGCTGCTTATACGTGTTATAAACCACACACTAATCCAGTAAATAATTTCTTTTAGACTCCTAAATTTTGTGCTTGCAGTTCAGGTATACATGTCCAAACAGTTCACCTAAACATTTTTCATAATTCACCTATCAATTAGAACAGTTTTAAAGGGGCAAAACCTTATTAAAGATTATTGCTAAGGTCGTTTAACCTTATTACTCTAAAGAGTACATTTTAATTTCATAGTAATATTATATAGTTATTTGTGAATCCTGGACCTTGAAATGCTTTTTAACTTGTACATAACTGTGGTTTTATGGTTCAAGACTGAACTAGACAAATCTAGTACTAAGGTTCACTGTTTTAAAAAAAATTGAAGCCGTAGCTTATACCAGTTCCTATGCTTTGATTGCACTAAAAACTTGGTTGATTACCTCATATTCAAATTTATTTAGCACATAGAAGTTTTTTTAAATTACATTATATGGAAGAAATTCTATATTTACATTCTGATCTTTGGTTTCAAAACAACAAGAATTATTCCTTTTCTTTTTTTACTTATCGATAGTTCCTGTTTTTAATTCCTTTTAGTTTAAGTTTCATTTGCCTTCGATTTTTATTCATGAGTTGAAATTTTAAATTAATATTTAATGACCTAACTAAAGGTTTCTCTTACAGCAATCTTTATTTTAAATAAATGTTTTTTTGAAAATTCTCTTTTGTTCTTAATACTCGCCCCTGCATAAAAAAGTAACTAATACTTTATCTTTAATACCTTTAAAGTAGGTTAATATGTTTGTATTGAACCCATTTTGGGATGGTTAGGGATTAGTAGGATAAATATTGATTATAAGAGTCACTGTCATTTTTAGAAAGAAGTGAAAAAGTCAATTTTTATTTTATAGGTCCAACTCACACTGTTCCTGATTATTGTATTTAAGAATGTTCAAGTTGAATTATGAATAGGAATCATTAGAATTGCTTTAAATTGAAGCGATGGCTTTTTCTCAACTTTTTAAAAATGACAGATGTCCGTCTTTGATATGAGGCCACTCATAAGTCTATTTTTCATATTGACAAGATCCTCGTGTTTTTTTATCTGTTCATGATATGAATATTGATAAATTTAAAAATATTATTATTAAACATTTGTGATGTTTGGAATAACAATGTTCCGGTTTTATTTTTTCTGCTTGATCAAAACAGGATTTACATTTTATTTTTTATTAGGTCCATAGACGACAACATACTGGAGAAAGGCCTTATAGTTGTGGAGAATGTCGCCGGGAGTTTACGAATTGGGCTAACTATAATAAACACATGAAGCGTAGGCATAAAAGTCGACCGTCTCCAGTAATGAATGCATCAGAAATGATCCCTGTAGGCCAGGATACTTCTTTGGTCTCTCCTCCACCACCTCCTCCTCCTCCTCCCTACATAGAATGTGCACCACCTCAACCCCCACCTCCTCCTTATAAGTTGCCGGAGGATGGTACCTTCAGAGTTCAGCCTCCACCCTCTTATCCAAGCCCTCCGATACACATGGCCTATTATTTACACCCACTTCATGGAATTTTGCAGAGGACTGACTAAATAATGTAAGCTTTTCAATTATTATTTTTGTTTTTGCATGATAGGTAAGAATTTTGATTAATTTTACTTAAATTTTATATATGTATACAGCTAAAGTTGTGTGGTGCATACCTGTGATACCATTAATCCTTATTTATCGATAAAAAAACTGACCACTTGTCAGTCATCAAAATAATGGCAAGTTCCTAAAGCCAGTACTCATTCAATGGCATTGTTTTCCCCATTTAAGAGTTGGATTCTATGCCGTCAGTTTACTCTGTGCTGAGTTTAGGAGCTTCTCCTAATAATCTGTTTTGCCGAAAATTGCCTAAATACATGATAATGCTCCCCAGTCAGTGCATTTAAGAACTTCTTTGCCTCTACCATTAATAAAATGAAGTGGAAAATGATCAGAATTTCTCGTCTATTTGTGGGATCACAATTACAAACATGTAGACAAATCACAGTACTATTTTGCATTGAATTTCTGGAAATAAGTTTTCTTCTATTATATAAGAGGTTTTTATTTATAAACTATATCAAACCATGCCTATTCAAGATATATGGATTGGCTGAAACAACAGGCTTCCTGAACTATGTACTTGGCTTCTTTTACTATCTATTATCAGGCCAATTTGTATGACTTTCCTATTAGGGATGATGTGATCTGTGATGTCATACCTTTGTGTGATGCAATCTATTTGTTTTAATCTGGAAAAGGATTTATCCTATTATCTATGAAAAAACAATAACCATTAGTAGGTTTAAGTTTGACATGTAGGGTGGTCTTGACTTGGTGCCACAGATAAAAGTTTTAGTCTGTGTGGTATAGACCTCTTTTTATTAAAATATTAGTATCTGCCTAAAACTTCATCTCGTCGTAACTTACAACTTTTTTATTTACCAAAATTCTTGGAATTGGGGTGTTTTCCATCTGAAGGTCACCAAACTTTGTCTATTTATATGTTACAAAAAATTCATTGAACACACATTTGCTTTTTGCACTTGAATCATAAGATAATTTGATCGAAAAAAGAAAAAAAAAATATTGGGCCGTTTAGAATGACCTACACCCCAACATTTCAAAATAACGAGGTTCTATAGTTAAAACGGCCCAAAATATTTGTAGGCCACCATTTCTTTTGATTTTGTGGTCAAGTTATCTTACAATTGAAATAGGAATTAAATGGAGTTTTTAATACCTCATTAACTTAATTAATTTAATGAAAAAATGCCATATTTCTGAGTAAATATTTGTAGATAAAAATTTTCTAGGTTACAATAAGATGATACCATTCACAAATTTTTAAGCAGATATTAATAATTTGATAAAAAGGAGTTTTTACCATGGACTATTACATACTAGGATGTATAGTTAGGCTCATAATCAGTTTCTTCCTTATGGACACATATTGTTATACTCTACTAGAATTTGGTTGACTGCCCTAGAGGCACTACTATTGGCATAGTTTAGAACTTTTACTAAACAACCGAAAAGATAAGCTTTGAAGAATTCACAATTGCCGATTCTGAAGCTGCTCGGGATAATTCCATCTTTTTTTTTTTTTTTTTTGTGCTGATGTAATTTTGAAGGTTGAATTTTTCCATCCTCATTCTATTATGCTGTTGTTGAAAGATTTCACTTATCACTCACTCCCAGTCTTCTTGTAGAGTTAATGCATGTTATCAGGCAGCACTGCTAAGCTGTTGTAAACAAAGGCAGATTGGCTTGGGTGAGGTTACCCAGACAGGAGTAGTCCTTTGTTCCTGATAGTGTGATGTATAAGTAGAGCAATAAAAATGTTCATTTGTTTTCTGAAGTGATTTCCTGACATGACATAGTGGCATCCCTTGTGTGGAAAATTAAGGATAATGAGTGCTGAAAAGTTGAAAACTGTCAAATAGTTAACAAAGCCTCATTTGTTTCCTGAAGTAATTTCCTAATATTAAATTTCTCTTAAAATACAATCTAAGGTTTTTAATTGACTGTTGTTGCCCTTTCAAGCTGAGATGCAATTTGAAATCTATATCAATGCCTTATTTTTAAATTTCTCATAGAGCTTCAAAATTTCCAATATTGCAGCATACTTAGACCTTCGATTCCTAATTACAAGTAGTATAATCGTTTAATCGGGGATAATAACTGACTTTTAAACAAAATATTTGAGCAACTTTCCAATCCTAATATTACAAGAAAGAATCAGCAGAAGATTTCTCTCAGGAGTTTCTAATTAGTATATTTTTTGACCTTAGGAAGTCATATGACACCATGTGGAGAGAAGTAGAATTGAAAACATTAATCTTTGAGTGACAATGAGTGGGAAGGACGGAGTGGCATTGAGAATGGTATTTGGTGACACTTCTCTGCTCATGGCACTTTTCATCACCTCTACTGTTCACTTTAGCGTTTTTATATAGGGCATATTTTCAAGATGCAAAATGCCCATAATCTCCAGCCATAGAAAAATTACCTAATGCCTCACAGATAGGTTGCAAGATAGTTTAATAGTAGAATTCATCACTGAGAACCCCATCGTTTAATTGAGAAAGAGTCCAACTGGCTCCTGACTCATATGAGAATCTACCGTCACCTGGGCATGGTCCCATCTCGACTCATATATGAATACACTGTCGTCTGAGTCCGGTTTCCTCTAGATTCGTTTATGAATCCACTGCCATTAAAGGGTTAACGGCTTAGAAAATTAATTAAATTATTAACAGATATGTAAAAGAACTTGTTGTAATTTTATATTCGTTTAACTTTTAAATTGTATTGCTATATTAATTATTAACATCAAAATCTATGATGTGGGTGTCATGGTGTAGTTGAACAGGTATAGAATGACCTTTGGATATATACCAGTACTTATTGAAGTAAATTTTAATCTTGTTTTTCTTTCGACAGTATTTATTTTAGTAGTTTTTCAGGATCAGAAACTATGAGCACTTTAAGATAGAACTATAATTGTCATATATCAATCATCCACAGCCTGCCATCCTTTTTCTTGTCTGACACTTATAGTCTCGTTAAATTTTAATAATTATGTCAGATATAAAATATATGTTTATTTTTAGGGTATGGCAATTTAAGATTTTTAAACATATTAATCAGAGCTAAATATATTTTACCATCCCCTTGTCCATTACCATAAATTTATAAATATTCATAAACAATAAGTATCTGATAATTTTTTCTTATATTGCTTTTTTATTTTATTTTTTTACAGATTAATATTCTTGCTATATTAAAACCAATTGCTCTGTGCAAATATCTTCTTTGATTATCAAGAGTATGGTTTCTGTTCTCTTAAACACCTAGCTTTAAGTTATTAAAAAAAATAAATCAAAATTAAATATTTTAAGTTAAGTTCTATATAAGTAACTTTTTCATAGATATATTTAATATTTATTGTAAATAATATAATTTATTCTAAGCATATGTTGTATTTCAACTGTGGTAATTTAATATAGATTCTTCAGCAATTAGACAAGCAAGATGACATTGAAGGTAGTTGATAATTTGCCTACTAATATGTTATAGTGGAACTTCTCTTAAACAGACATACTAAAGAATTATAATTTGATTGCTAATTAATATCTGCTTGTAAGAAAAGACTGTTTAATGTACCAACCTTGTTAAAATCTAAAACTGCATAAGAAATACAAATATCCGCTTGTGAAAAAGAATGTTCAATGTACAAAGCTGGCTAAAATCTAAAAATAGATAAAAAATACAAAGGAAGTTGTAGTTGGAAAAAGCAGCAAATAATATCAAATGTTTTTTTGTGATTTTATTTTTTATAAACATACATATGCCTACGGGTGCAGATGCGCTCTTAGAGTGATTTGGTTGTACCAGTGGCAATGTTGAAATAAAACAAGAAATTAAAGAAAATAAATAGGAAGTTATTTACTCCTTTTTAAAACTAATTTTTGCAAATTAGTTTATGAATATTACAAATGTGTATCTGTATGGTAAATTTCGAAACAAGGTTCCATACAGTCTGAACACATGTAACATGACCTCTTTCCTTTTTTTTTTTTTTTTTTTTTTTTTTTTTTTTTTTTTTTTTTTTTTTTTTTTTTTTTTTTTTTTTTTTGTACCTCACAATCTCGCATATGCCCTTCAGGGCTTTTTTGGGGGAGAAGTGCTGACTTGTCAATCTGATTTTTGATGTTATGCTTTCTCATGACTGCTGTTTTTTGTTTTTTTTTCATGGTATTTATTTACCAATTCCCTTACCAACTCCAGTTGAAACTTAACAAACGGATTTTTTTTTTTTTGTTTAAAGCTTGATAAATTATGTGGCTGTTACAAACACATATATCTATCAAATGGAAAAAATTATTGTCTGTACCATTGGTACTTTTTCTTATTGTTGCTGCTGCACTGAGCACGTCTGTTTTATCAACAACTCCCATCTTGTGCTTATAGTCTATAACAACAGTAGGTTTTATAACTTTTTCCTCTGTTCTGTAATCCACTTCTTTTTTTTCTGCAGTTTCAGCCTTGTGTTGAGTTTAAAGCATCCAGACTTCTTTCTTGTCCTGCCATTTAATTGCTACAATTTTTTCAGAAGAAAATCTTTATGTGAAATTCCCTCTTTTTAGTTTCTCCTCCATCAGAGGCATTGGTACATTTTTTGTGCAGCCACATAAATAATTCTGGGCTTGTGTACCAGTTGTCATCATATAAGGAGTGACCCTGGTCCAGATAGGGCTAGAACAAAGTCACCAGATACTCCTAACCCATACTGTTTGAGGTCAGTAGATACACCTGTGTACACAATACAATCCATTATGTAGCATAGAATTTCACTGTTTTATTGTTGCATAGAAGAAACAATTTTATTCCAAAGCGACATCTCTTTGATTTGATGGTGTATATTGTTTGAATGAAAGCTGGCCCTTGAATAAAATTAAGCTCTCATTAATGCACAGATTTCAGTAGGGCTTTAACAATTTACGAAAAGTGTCTCTAAGGTGACTTATAATACTTCTAATCTTCAAAAGATGATCACCTTTGATAATGCTATTGTTCAAAAAATGTATGTGGCGTAAAATAAGAAAAAGCCTGTCTCGTGACATTACATTTCAGAAAACTAGTGCTTCAATAAGATTACCGTGAGACCAATATTCTACTAGTTAGAATTTTTTAACTTTGGCCATTAATATAATAGGGTTTATAAAAAAAAGACCGCTTTTCAACCAAATATTTGTATTATTATTTCTTTAACATAAAATACAATTAATACTCAAAGTTTAGTCCATTGTTATCTACAGTCTTTAGCCACTGCTAGCCAATTCCTTGATCCTATGTTGATATCATTCTTTGGAATGGCTATTAAAAAAACTCTTGTAACTTCATTGCAACTTCTGCAAAATTATCAATTTTTTTCCCTTGAAAAAAATGGACTATGGAGATCTAAATAAATAGTAATCCGATGCTGCGAGTTCTGGACTATATGGTGGATGATTTGTTATAGGAAATATCTGTTACAAGATGTTCTTTATAATACTTTATTTATTTATTTTTATTATGATTTCACCGCCTCAATGTTTTGCAATTGCAAATGTCTCCGTACCAGAAAAAGGTTGCGAACTCCTGGTGTACAGCATATGTACCTAAATCCAATGTGATACTTTCTGGTTGCTTTATTAGTTCAACTTGTCCTTTCAAAGTTAAAAAACAGTTATTTAATATCATTTTAATAAATTCTTTCCATTTTTTAAACACGTGATACATCAAAGTATCACTAGCACACTTGATATACTTATTTATTAACTTTCATGATAACTAAATTAAAATTGTTTTAAAAAAGACTGAAGGGAAATAGAAAAAGTTTTTTTAAAACAATAATGATTTGATTACATATAAAAAGTGCATTAGGGAGGGGAGTAAGCACACCAGTGATGGACATAGCTAAGGAAATTTCTGTATTTTTTTGCTAATGCCGCCTGGTGGGATATAATTAAATTATTATATTGATAAACTTCTCTATTAGACATTTAGAATCTCTAGGTCTCCGTTATCTATTTAACACCTTAAAATTGAAAAAATGTTCAGTTATGCAGATATTTTAAAAAAATTTGCACTATTGATGGACAATCCGAAATTCAGTTGTTCTAGTAATGGACAGGGGGTTGTATCAGTTATAGACATGCCTCAGATAGATTCTAAAATCTTCATTTAACTATAAAGATAAGATAAGATAAATGTTCAACTCACTCTTAGCAAAACTGCTAGTAGGAAGGAATGATCTCAAGAGCACTCTAGAAACGATGATAGGCATTTTAAAATTTTCTTTTGGGAACTTTGTGTTCATACAGTTGTCAATAGAGGGCATTGTTCTTCAATCTAGAAAAAACTAGAACCTTTAAATCAACAAGGAATTTTATTATTTACATTTAAAGTCCAACCTGTCCATCACTGGGTTCCCTGTCCATAACTGGTGTGTTTATCAAAATATAGAAAAATATTTAAAACCTATAACCACCTGCCGTTCAAAAAAATAAGCCTTGCTTTTCCTGCTGTCTGTTTTGGAGAAACTTTTTTGAAACAAAAATTAATAGATCCATTATTAAAAGATCTGGTTAATAGAAGTGCAAACAATATAAATTAAATAATATAATGAAATTGTACAGAATTAACCGTTTATGTAAGAATTATTAGAAGTGTCTGTTAGGAGAAGATCCATTGTAAATAGTTGTTTATCTTACTATAAGATTTTCATTTGGCTTTGACTGAATTTTTATTGTTATATTAATAATTCTAGACTAAGTTTTAAACATAATGAAAATCATTTAAGTGAATGATAAATTATAACATATAAAATATTTAAAAAGGAATTAAGTACTCTTTCCTGGTTATTTCGTTTCGGTATAGTAATTAACTTTAATGAACATCATTTTTCATTCAGTGAATATCAAAACCACAAATCATCACGATAGTTTCTTAAGTTTATCTCTTGATGTGGGTTGTTGGATAAATATAATGTTGAGTATAAAAAGAATCTTCATATAGTTGTGCTCTATAATCAGATTCCAGATTTTTATGAAATAAATATGCTAATAATTGTAAGTTTTAAAAAAAACTTTTTCTATTATCAGAAAGAAAACAAAAGTAAGGATTATTTTTTCATTATTTGTGAAAACTGATTTGAAAATCTTTAGCAGCCCATAAAGAGATCATTTCACATGTATTGCGTGACTCTCATCAAACATGTAAACAAAATATTCTAGTTCATCTTGTTACACGTTCACAACAGGGTCATGTTATTAAGAAAGAATTAATATGCCCCAACTTGCAGTGCACTGACTTGAAAATGTTTAGTTTTTCATCGATTAGTGATATTATTTATAAAAAGCTATGGCATCACTAATGACTATTTCCCAAGAAACATGATTATATTTTCAGTTAATTACTTATTCTAACAGCAATACTGCAGAATGCAGTTACCAGCTGCCATGGTGATTGCTTTTACAGGGTTAGGATACGCAGGCACTGAGTTGAGGAACTCTGAACTAGTCTGTGACAACCATATATCGAAATAAACTATCCTTGACATTATCTTATTTTTCAGGTTCGGTGCCATTTTTTATGTTCAAGGTCTAAGTTCACCAATAATAAACGTTTTAACTTTATTTATTTATTATTCAACGTTTCAGCTTCTTGAGCAATTTTAAAGATTCTGCAAAAAATTTTAATTTAGTTATTTTTCTTTAAAATATATCATTGTAAAACATATAATAATTCATAACCAGTCTGTTACATATATAGTCATTATTCTATATTTTATTTTAGAAAAAAAATTATTATACAATATAACAATTTTTTTATATTGTGGTTTGGAATTAATGCAAACATTATCTACCTACCATGCACTGTTTCATATAAATTTTTAAAATATATCATAGTAATATAATTCGTCAGTTGATCATTCCCTTATTTCATTGAATGTCACTTTTATTTCTAAAAGTTATATATAAATAATTAAAATATAATGTTAAATTTTAATAAAACAATTTTAATTAAAATATAATGTTAAATTTTAATAAAACAAAACAAAAAGAATATAATTTTATCTTAAAATATGTTCCTCCTTATTAGAAGATATTAAATCTGATGTTCCTTTAATGCATTCATTCAAGACTGGATTTGTTTTATATAGGAGTGGGGTGGAGGGGTTAGAGATCAGTTGTTTTATTTTAAGTCATATTTTGAATATAAATTATTATATATCCTCGAGATATAATGTAAAGGGACTGTTTTAGTTTTAAAGAGCGATAATTAACTTAATTGTATACATCATATTGGCGTTCCAACAAAGGTTGCCTTTTCATGTCAGGGTTGACCTCCAGAGGTCACGGTCAAGCCAATCTCCATCCAATCCTGAAGACCCAGACCAATCATCTCTTCCACTTCATGTATCCACCTTTTTCTGGGTCATCCTCACCTCCCTTTCCGGGTGGTTGCCAATCAAGAATTTGATTAGACCATTGCTCGGTAGACATTCTTCTTAATTGTTTATAAAATTATTAATACAAAAGAAATTATTTCATAGCATAATAAAGTTCGTTTTATATTAATTATTTTAACTAAATTCATTCAAATGTTCATTTCAGTAAAGTTTCTCCATTAAGACAGGTTTTACTGTTTACACTTTCATAAAAAAATATTTCAAATCAAAGTTTATTTATTACATTTAAATTAAGTTTATACAATAATTTTTATAGCTGAGCAAATTTACGTCAGAGATCTAAATAATTAAATTAAAGTCGAAAAATTACCAAAATTAGTTGTTTAATTATTCATTGTGTTGAGATGGTCAGACCGCAGAACTTATTTTGGCTATTTTTCTATGATTTCTGTGACTGCCTATATGTTTCACAAAAATCTGGTTTTCGATTGTAATCAACATATTTTTTGTGATTCATCAGTTGCATATAATATAAACTAATTTATTTTACAGAAACCAATTTCTCCTTTTTAAGATTTAGCTTAGAATTTGAAAGATCAAATTATCTGGAAAAGACACTACTTATAACCTTAGTATCTACAATTTTAATTATTATTTATTTTAACTATATTTGGTATTAAGTAAAATAAAGCTGGTTCATATTTTTGCTTTTTTATTTTGGGAGAGCTTGACCTATTTTTATGTTGGTTCTAAACTAAAGCTTGTTTGCTTATTTATGTGAGGGCCTGCTGGTGGTTCATAAATTTTTCTTTAACATCCTAGGATAGTTTTTTTTTTATTATTATTTATCATATCTATTAATTGCGTTTGCTAATATATCTATGAACTGGCCAGTCATTATATGGTAGAATTTCTGTATATCGAACACAAAGATTTCTTAGAAGAAGTTTTCTAGGCAACTTTTATGATTAAATATCTTTCCATCTCCTCAATAGCTTTCTGAATTTTTAATAATAGTCATATTGATGTGCCCTGAAGATATAGTATATAATAATTTAGTAACTAAGAAACAAATTTTAATAGCTCAAAATTGTAGAAGATTGGCTTCTTGAACAAATACAAAAATGCGACAGGATGTCCTTTACCTCTTAAGTACAGAATTGCTGATACCATACTTGTTGCATATTTTTCGATATATAGAGATTCAACTGTATTTAAAATTTTATCTGTGAAGTAAATGCAAATCATTCTTTACAATTCATCAAATTTAAGGATTTTGTTAAATTTTCCCCTATGTATATATAAGATGTTCTCCATTCTCTACATAAAATGATGTAATGTAGATAATTATTATTTGTAGCAATATTAATATTAACCAGAAGTGCCTGATAGTGATTCTGTAACTGTGATCTATCTTAGTAGTTATAATAAGTTTTGCAAGGTTGATTTCTTGTTTTTCTTTGCAAGCATGACCTCACTTAAAGGAAACTTAGTATTCATTAAAAGTTAATATAAATACTTATTAAAAACATTTGAACAGCCTTAGTTGTTTATTAGAAATAATTAAGATATTTGAAAAAAGTTTTAAAAATAATTCATTATATTGATTCACCAATTTTTAATTGAAAATTAATTTTGTTATATCACTTGTATAATAGCAGAAAACATTTGTTGACTGTCTATTAGAGAACTCCAGTAATCTGCTAAATCACAAACTAATCTTATAGTGGTATCTTTCAAGATTTCCCTCCTATGTTTTGATTTAGAGCTCTGCTAGTTTTTGAAGTGTTTTCCTCAGCTAACATTTCAATAATAAAAATCTCTGCCCGTAATCATTAATTTCCTTAAGCATTCACTGAATTCTATTGGAAGATAAACTTATACAATTCAGCAAAACTTACTATCAATGCTATTTTAATTATAAATTGGCAAAATTGCTGATTAATGAAATATTTTTAAAATTATTCATAAATTAATAAGTTATTGTGAGTGGGGTGTAGCTAAATGCACATTTTACTATACTTTTAATAGTTAAATATTTTATCTTGTAACCTTTGTTATATCCTCTCACATACAAAAGTATTATTAATGTATATATTTTTTTATCCAATTATAAGGCGTTAATTTATTCAAATATATTTTATTGCAAAAAAATATGTAGCTGTGGTATTTATATTTTATATAATATGTATAAGTTGATGTTTCTTTACGAGTTCTGTGATTAATTTCCATTCTCTGGATTTAACCACTTATATATAATGGTCTATTTGTTATTGGCTTGTTGGTAAAATTCACCAAGTATAACCGTCAAAATGTTATGTTGAGCTCAATTATTAATAAATCATTGGTTATAAGTCATTAATAAAAAAATTCTACAGGAAAAATTTACAAATTTTAGTATAACTCAATTTTTGTTTACCATTCTTATTCTGACATTTCCGTAATATGTAATTATAAAAGTGATTTTTACTTCCAAGCTGACAATATACTTCCGTACTTAGTATTAACAAATTGTAATTATCTATTAGCTTGAATCTCAAAAGTTTTTACTAATTGTACTTGTCTGTTACTTGAACTGACTGATAATTGTGTACTATGTACACCTATATATATATATCTGCTATGTCAGAGGGCAAATATTATGTTTATTTGTTTGTTTTTTTCTGATAAAAGTTCATTTTAAATATTAAATATAATTGTTATATTTTTTCATGCAATTTACGAATTAAAATATTTACAGTTGTTTATTGTAATAAATTGTATTAACCTTTGATGAGTCTGCTTATTTCACCACTATAAACTAGTGAAGGATAAAAGGTCAACGTTCCAAAATGAATGAGCTGTTTTAAAATATCAATTAAAACTATCTGTTTATTTGAACATTTAAAGCATTACAAAAGGAAATTTGATTTTCCACATAAACTTTCTAAAATGTATGAACTTTTGGGATAAAAGTGGTGGGTGTTGTTAACTGACAAATTATTAAATACAAACATTAACAAAAAAAAAAAAAAAATCAATGAAAACATTCTTCTTAAAACACAATCTCAAACTATCGCAGTGAGAGTTGTTCTATAGATGCTGTTTTAAGATGCAACAGTCGTCAATGACCATTCTATCTTGCCAGTAATTTAAAACATAGGTAAATTTGACCTAATGTCTACGTAATATAGAATCATACAATGAAAACTGGGAGACAGCTATAATATAGAATAGTAATTAATACATATTTCTTTTTTCAAAATCCTCTCTCAGACGAATCTTGGATTTTTCATTATTATTTCTTCTTGTTTCATTTTCTTATATCATATAAATATCCCACAAAGATGTCCGCCCGTCTGCAGCTTTACAAGGCATAGATTTTGACAAAGAAGAAATTATTTTTTATTATAGATAAACAATCTGTATACAGTTAAAATATTATAAAAGATGAAATAAAATCATAAAATACATACTGAAATTTATAAATACATAGAAACAAGTGAGAAGAAAAACTATTATGATGTTCTTTTTTTTTTTTTTTTTAAATTGTTGCAAACTGTCTTATTGGAGCCTAAAATCAATACTTCTACCCCAGATAAGGCACTTGCAATATATATATTTATTATATATATCCTAATAATGATAAAATATTAGCAGATCATTTTAACAGCTAATACATTGTAAGTAGTTTCAGTTCGAATTTTATTTATATACAAAAATAAAACTAGAACAAAAAAAAATAATAATAATAAAATAAAGAAAAAGAATAATCAATTCAGTTTAAACTAGAGATTGAGTCTCTGATGTTCAATCCCTCCATTACAAGCACTCCTTGAGCGAAACTAATAATAAATAATTCTGAATGTTAGATGCATTTATTAGCTCTTCATTTACTCAAAAGGAAAATATTTGTACACAATTAATCATTTAACTTTTTCCCAAGTTAGATCATGGGCACTAACTTATGATAGTTGTCATTTATATATACAAAAATTATTTGTCGTCCCTTAAAAAAATTACATTTAACTCAACATTTTTTTCTCAATTTACTTTCTTAAACTGAAGACTGGAGTGCCATTTCTAGTTGTGGCACATATTTCTGTGATATATATACATATAAATAAACGGGTATATGCATCGGATAGCCTTAAAGCTGTGCTAAAGACCAAATCTTTTAAGGGGTCCTTAACTGGAGAATCTTTGGTTATGTCCTCCCCAAAGCAATCCGATCGTTGTCAGCCTTCATAATGATCCTATAAAAGGCCTACCAATATGTATATATACAATCACATAATGACTTTATTAAATATATTCAGTAAGAATAAAATCACAGTGTTAATGCCCCTAACTTATTAAAAATACACATACTGAATTTTTAATATTCTTTAGGCGTATAAACATTGAGTTGTATGGGATCATATATAATATTTACACATCTATATAAGTACATACAACATTATATAACCAGTTGTGTATACGCCCATATGTGCATAGTTGTAGTTTGTGGCTAGGCTGAAGAAGAGCGGGGGCGAGATCGATTGGCTGAGAGAGGCAGGGAATACGGTGAGAGAATTATTGCCCCCACCAATCGGGGTCGGAGGAGCTGTTGTTCTGGTTGGATGAATAAGAACCACCATAGCCTGCGTTGCCGCTACCCCCTCCGTAGTAACCTACAAAATCACATTCATTAATTACAAATATAATACAAATTAAAAGCTTTATAACATTATTCATGTTATTTAAAATTTTTAAGTAAATAACTTCATTAACTTTTGATGTACTGTTTTGGTGTAAAACGTAACATTTTATCTGGAATGAATTCCAAAGAAGCAGCCAGTTCTCTAGAAGATCATATTCACAACAAACAATCCTGTTTAGGTTATAAGATATTTAGGTTGTTCTTAATAATAAAAACAATTAATAATTTTTATTAACAATTAATAAACACTCTTTATCTTTTCTAGTAACAACCATTTTGCTGTGTAAAGAAACCCTTTAAAAACATTATCACTTAAGTCACACTTTAAAATTTAAACAAAAATTTCAGATAATAAATCTGTCGGGTATCTTCAACTCCGTTCCGATGAAGGAACACTCCTCACAGACACCCAAAGAAACCTTCTTTCTAATACTCTAAAAAAAGTATTCAAACATCTTCAAAGAAAAGGGAGACCAAACACCTTTTATCAAGCATTCAATACAACTTGAGGAAGAACACACTCCTTCTGCAGTACCTCCCTACACAATGAGTCGTGCAAAATAAGATATTTTAAGCACAGAAATTGATAATATGTTATCAAACAATATTATCGAAGAATGCGATACCCCATTTGCCGCCCTTGTCGTTATGGTTCCTAAACCTAATGGTAGCATAAGGGTAAGGGTATACATTGATTACCGAAAACTTAACGCCATATTCAAGCAAAAGATACATTCATTCCTGAATTTATTCCTTTTCTACTTAACTCAGGTAAGACTCTCGAAATGTCAAGAACAAAAACAAACAAATCTCAAAACAGACAGAACACTTATGCCAACCGAAAAAGACGAGTAGCAACCGAATGCCTTCCAGGTCAATATGTATGGGTAAATACTTACCAATTAACAAATTTAAACAAAGAAGTAACAAACAAGTTACCACAACGGGGCGGTCCCTGTATCATAAAAAGAAGTTCAGGAGACAACACATACGAAATAACGGACCCAAGAAGAAATGGCCTAGTCTTAGGTCGATGGCACTTATCTCATTCAGCCATAACAGTTGGTATTTTGATCAAAATGAATTGTAAAGTTTGGGAAACAAGGATTAATGTTTATAATGCTATGTTAAAAAACATACTCCTGTACGACCCAAATATGGTCTCTAGAGGTATTATCTATTTCACTGGTACTGCCCTCTGCTGGCAGTTGATCACTGCTTTAGTGGAATAGAAAGGAGGGAGTCTATTTTTTGGTACTGTTCGTCAGTCTAGGTATGACATCATATCTATACTGCTTCTTTCTGATTGCTTCTGAAGCAAGTAAGGTGCCATTACAGTGGTTATAGGTTATGTTACCATATTGGAGCATTGTTTTGACAATAACAGTCACCTTGATAAGTTTCATTTTCTGTTTGTTTTTTTCATTAAGTCAGGCAAAATTTAATGAAATATTGTTAAAAATTCAAACAAATCTATAGTAAAACATTTTTTAAAGGTTGAAGTAACAAGATTATTCATTTATTCCACTAAAAGTATTTCACAGAGAAATTCAAATATACCTAAATCCAAACAGCATTAAAAAAATTAAATAGTCCAACAAATTTTAACGTGAGGTAAATACTAAAAAATTCAAACATTGAAAAAATCAATTTGTTTTTATAATTGAAGTACTGATTTACTATTAATAAAACTACAAAACATTGCCTGCTGTAATTTCATTACATATAAATATATATATATATATATATATATATATATATACTATTAATCAATTATATAATAATTACTATTACTAATCAAACTAACAATTAGTAATAAATTTAAAATCAGAGATACATCCCCAGTTCTTCAAATAACACTATATCATCTTATTAATACCATGAATGCTTATATTTTATATTCAAAATATTACAAGAAACCATCATTTTGTGAAAGGGCATTAATATGTAGATAATTATTAACATCTTATAGTACAGACATAACCTAAACTTTGATATTTAACTTCAACTCCCAGAAAAAATTACATGTATTAATTAAATAAGATCGAAACTCCATTATCATATGTATAGCTGTCCTTCCGATAGAAATGAAAACCATTAAATTTTAACATTTTTAATAAAATTATTTCAAACTAGGATGCTAAATTGAGAGGATCAAGTCCGGAGAGTGAGTAGTTTTAGCGAAATAGACAAGCATTAATGGTTGGCACTATGGAATGGCAGTCGCTGCCGTGAGCAGTACCTTAAGATATCTCAATGAATTAGAAATGGCAAAAGTTTATTTCATCAAGCTTTATAATTCTAGAAATACTCCCGGATACATTAACAGATTTGACTCAGGTTTAACACATATATCTTATTCCATTATAAAACAAGTTATTAAATGAGCAACAAAGACTTTAAAAATGAACAGCAATAGATTACCAAAGGAATACTTCAAAATACTAATTGGATTGGATCGTTCAAATTTTTCATCGTTCATGTTTAGTCAGAAGCATACTTATAGGGACAATATTATAAGCTGTACAATAATTTTATCCCTTTACACATAAGGCTCAGCAGTACCTTACAACTGGCCTACCTGATCATGTTCAAAGAATTATCATGCTGTTACACACTGCCAATGATTATAATTTTAAAGTATATGTAAACAAAACTGTAATCAAATTTGTTCGTAAATGCTATGGCTGATTTTCTAAATTCAAATGTGGTAATTTTGATCTTTCTGACTCGTATCGATCAGGAAAACCATAAATGTTAGACAATGACGTGTAAAGGGCGGAAGTGGAAGCAAATACTAGTCAAATAATCGAAGATTGTCAAACAGCCTTAACCAACCTTGATTGACTATCCACCATAAGCAACTTATTGCTTCAACAGAAGCATAAAATGCAAAAGGCAGTGGATCTCTCCAAATGAATAGACACGAAGTACTGCTAAGCCATAGTTACACCACAAAAATGCTCTTATATGTTTTTGGTGAAGTATTGGCAGAACTGTTCATTTTTAAGTGCTAAATCCTGGAGAGATGTTAATGCAGACCTTTACTGTGAACAATTAGATCGTGTAAATCAATCTTGAAAAGATTGATCTTCTCGCTGATTAGAGGAATAAATTTCTGAATTAAGTGAGCTTCAATACGTTGTCATGGATCTGTTTAATGATAATATTATCAGATTTGAGAATGCCCGACCGAGCATTAAGTTTTTGTTACTTTTTAGACTTAAATGATGCCAGGATCCAATATTATATTGTCGGGGAAACTTTTCAAGAAAATACTTTCGGATTTGAAATTGTGCAACCACGTTACTTTTTGGATTTAATAGATATTAAAATCAGATAGTATTGACATAAAAAGGCACCACCGACAACACAATAGAGGACTCTAATATCGATTAAATCCTAAAGATTACAAAAATGTGATGTACAATTTGGGAATCTCAAATCTGAAAGTATTTCCATAAAAAGTGCTCCTGACAACATAATATTGGACCCTAATATCATTTAAATCCAAAAAGTTACAAAAACATGATGCGAAGTTGCGCATTCTCTAATCCGATAATATATTAAAATATTTAAGATAATATAAATATAATAAAAACCGCCCCCGACAACATAATAGTGGACCCTAAAATCGATTAAGTGGGTCTTACATAGCCCCAACATGGACACCATTATGGAAGGAATTAAAAGAAAGTATCTATACTCATAATAGAGATCTAGTAGTTGAAAAATAAAAAGTACTCAAAGGAGTTTGGCTGAGATATTTCTGTAATCGGATATAACACTGCGAGTATTTCCTGTTGCTGACGCCAATATGTGATTATTTTTATTTATTTCCACCATATATATATATATATATATATCATAATATGGGGTGTTAATTTTATTTTGTCCATAAATGTCACCTAGATAATTTATTTAATTTAGTTTTTTTGTTTCCATTTATACAACATTAAATATTTTGCATCCGAGACGTCCCAGCGATGATGTTTTCAGCCACTTCCGGGACTCCCCACATCTCATCATGACACTTGTTTTATTTTTGCACCAGCGAAGTGCAAAAATAAAACATTACGAAATTCAGTATGGCTGCTGGTTGCACTACGTTACGAACTGCCTCCATGAGGTTCTCAGTCCTGCTCCCGTCAGCTGCATCAGTGAGGTTAAAACACTTGGTATGACCGGCCAGCTGGAGGTTATGTTTTATTTTAATTTATGAACAATTTAAAGGTGAGTGGCGCCCCTTTAAAAGACATTAAAACAACTCATAGTAAGGCAAGGTGACTTGATCACTGCTCCGTGCTGAATTTTATAAGTGAAATTGTAGAGTAGTGGCTAGCATACTGTTCTGTTATGGTAAAGGTCCCCAGTTCAATTTTGGTACCACCTCTATTCCTTTTTTTTTTTTCTCTTTTATTGTATAAAAATATTAATTTAAAATTATACATTTATATAATTTTTTTCTGTACCATCTCAAATCTGTTCATTTATTTTAACATTTTTATTAAATAATAATTAATTAGATCGCATACATAGATATAGTAAATTTAATTTATCAATTTGAGATTGTTTTATTTCTTTCGTTTAATGCTTTAATACAATTTTGTTTCTCTAATTATTTTATTATTATTATTATTATTATTAAGAGAAATATTATTCATTTATTCAATCATGAATTTTGTAGCATGTTCATTTCATTTGTTTATTATTTTCAATATATATAGATTTTCTGCTATTCGGCATTTCATCTTTTATACATATTTATCCTCAATGGATTTCATTATTTTAACATAAGTTAATTAATAAGGCTATAGTGCCTATGGATTAGGTTGTGCAGAATTGGCTGTTCACACTTGAACGCCTGCTGCCACCACGCCTGTACTTAACTAATGTATGATTATGATTAATGCTGCGTGAGTACTCTCAGTACTCGCCGAAGTCGAGCATGGCTGAGTATAGAAACTACTTGTTACTTTTTCTTAATAAATCATGTAAGTTATAGAGTACTGCCCATCTCTGCCCTGTTCCAATAACAAAAATGTACATCTTTCTTTGGGTAATTTTCCTGTTTTGAAAATACGTTAAGGTTTCATTTTATTTGATTAATAATTCTGATATTTTGTGAGAACTAAAAATAACACAGTTCACAGATACTGATTTAAGCAATGCCTGATTCCATTTAAAATTACTACATGATAAACCAATTATAAAGGGAATTGATGACAATAATTTGCAAAACTTACTGTTAGAACTTGAGTATCCACCATATCCAGACGATCCTCCCCCAGACCTCGAAGGATTTCTTGAAGGTCCACCACCTCCGCCGCCACCACTGCTTCCTCCCTGTTGACGGTAGTCCCGTGCTCCAAATCCACTGGAGAATCTACCGCCGCTGAATTCATTAATATTGTTTGCATACAATATCCACACTTAATGACAATGGACCTTTATTTTACTGATAAGTTTTGATAACTGTTGAACCATATACTGATCTGCTTTTTTTATTGACATTGAAGTGTGGAAAATTATATAAAATGCAATTTTATTTATTAAAAACAAAATCATGCTGAGTACATCAAACTGTTATAGATATAATAAACACAATTTTCCTTATTTAAAAAAAGTGTAAACGTTGTGAGTGATGACTAATTTTATCATTTAGTTACCCTTACACCAATTAAAAAAGTTTTGGAGTGTCTGTGAATAAAGCTTAAATTGATTTAAGAGTTCAAGTTAAGGATCCAATATTATATTTATACATTCGCTTTTTTTAAATAAGGAATATCAAGAATTTAGTATACATAAATAAATTAAACTGAGGCTTTAAATTTGATTTCATTACCAATCTTTTGCACTACAATTAATTAATCAAATCAAACTACATTAAAATAAGTTTTCAATTAACGGGCAACTGAAAACTTAACTTATTATGAACAGCATCTCAAATATTTAATAATATACTGACAACTCTTTATGGTATAATAAGACAGCATATGCCAAGAAACAAATATATGAGATGTGCAAAATAAAATTAAGCGTACTCACCCGAAGTACGTAGAAAATAAGACTAATACCTCATAATGAAAGACCAAGGTAGGATGATAGCTCTGGATAAACCCTTGGAGGTTTTAAAGGTGTGATCATGGTCAATGGTCAAAAAGGAAGAGACAAGAAGTTCCCTAACTGCTAAATATAAGGGATTGGGGAAAAAGATGATTCATAATGTGGATAAAGAGAATTGGAATCCTGAAAACAGCCTCGCTAACATTATTGGATCATTTGCTATCAATTATCTAATATATAATTAATAACAAAAGTTAAAAAATATAAAATTAATCCATGCAACAAATCCTTGGTGTGAAAAAATATTGAACAATACATTAATTGCCTATATATGAAACATATCAATAAAATACAACCTAGAATCAACTATTTACTTTTTTTTTTTTTTTTTTTTTTTTTACATTTCTAACTTCCTTAAATCATTATTATAGAATATTATTTATGTACAATGTGATTAGCTTCCTTTAAAATATAATTTTAAGATATTTGGTTGCCTTTTTGAAGCTTTAAAAATAATATGAATGCTGATGTTGCAGCAGCACGTGTACCTAGCAAATACTAAGGCGACACACTACATCATTATCTTCTTGTGGAGCCACTGTCTACACTCACTACTTTCATAAAGAAAATAGACTCCTTTCTTACTTCAATACAATAAAGTCAAGTAAGAAAGGATGTACCATCCTCCAACCTTAAGTGTTCAGACAACAGACCCTTCCATAGGAAAACCTGGGCAAAGGAAGAAGAATACTCCAAAAGAGTTAATCCAAATCATCCACACATTTAAGTCAAGTGGAATCATAAGATTCATGCCTTGTCATAAATCACACCTCTAGCACTGTCCTTTAAACACGTTTGTGTCCATGATAAGCATTAAAACTTATGACTGGGTCCGGTGCCCTGGCCTCCTCCAGTAGTTTTTGCCAGTTCTTTCGATTTAGTGCAGCTGTCTTCTTAATTCAAACACCAGTAAGATTCCTCAAACCTTCTTTTACATCATCTGAGCATTATTATCTGGGAGAGCCTCTCAATAGTGTTCCAGATGGTTTATTATAGATTAGATCCAATTTCACACTTAAGCAAGCATGTGTTTTTTCTTGACTAGATAGTCCTGTGCTTCACAGATCCTTCCATAGATTTCATTTTAATATACTATATTGTCTTTATCAGGCAACTTTTTTAAAACAGAGCAGTTGAGTTTCCCTCATTAAATGGTTTGTTAAAATCATGAATAGGGAACATAAATCTAGAAACAACTTAGAAATAGAACTCACGTAACCATAAAAAAATAACATTTAAACAATAACATATCTACCAATAATTCTTATCGGCTAATTTATGACAGATAAGATCTATCAGGGTGGCTACCAAACAGTTAAAATAAAATTCCCTGACATTTTCCTATTTAATGATAGATTTCTCTGACCAATATGTCTGTGGACATAAATATTAAAAATGTATAATTTATAACTAAATTTATTTATTATACATGAAAGGAAATTGACTATAAAATGATTTGAGTAAAAAAAACAAAAAAAAAAAACATTCTTTTAAATAACAAATATAATGTTTTAGAGGAATTATTTTTTAAGCTTGATTAGGATTTTTATTTTAGAAAACTAAACATTTAGTAATTTATTTTTATCGCCTTTATTTTATTTTCATGAACTGAGAGAGGGTAAAAGTTGATGCTTAACACATAAAGCTCTATTATAAAATAAAGTGAGCTACAGGGGATTCTGATATTAATCTAGTTTCTTTATTACTATAAACAGCACAATAATTATCCATATTACACCAACTATTCAACTTCTGGTTAAGAAATGCTCTTTGGGGCACCACGGGTCGAACGAATGATTGATGGCCAGCGAGATCTTGATACAGATGTGTACATAAATAATGAATAGTATTTGTATGTTTTTTTTTTTTGTTTTTTTTAAATACTGTTTTAAGTACATTTTGTTCGAATTTCATTCATTACCTTTGTTTGATATCAATATAATGACCAGTGCCATTATTGACGGTCAAAAGTGGATTAATATAGCGATCACGGTCGTTTATAACGTTTATATATAATGAAGTTGAAGACCATTCAAGGTCGAGTTTGCCCCATAAACGATATCCACTTTATATTTATTTCCAATTTCAAAAAAAAAAAATTTCCAATTTAAAAAAAAAAAAAAAAAAAAAACATCGACATACTAAAAAAAAAAATTCCTTGACTTTAACAATTTTCCCCTGACTTCTCCCTGTTTTAAAAATTCGCTGATTTTTCAAAATTTTTTTTGTTATTTGGAAAATGAATTTTCCAGGTCGGTCACCACCCTGTTTATTCATAGTTTAATTCTTCTTTGGAGTTAAGAAATAAAATGAAAACAAGCACGCCTCTTACACAAATTTGATCCAAACAAGATTAACAACTAACCTACATTTTTTTCTAAAGAAAAACTAGAAAACAGTGAAACAAGATAAATCATGCCACCAAGTAATGTAATTTCCTCATATTTATAATAACTGAACTGTTTTACATCCTTGGCTCATGAATCATCTGATACAGTAAAAATTAAAAACTTCATAAAAAACAAAACATCAATATATATAATAATCCAGATATTTAAATCTAAAAATTACACAAAAATGAATATAACCAAGATAATATATTTTAAAAGGCAAACAATATTCTTTAATTTAAATAGCTGATTCTGATGATTCTAAAGTGATATATAAATAAATGTTTTATACAAGTTGTTAACAAAAATAACAGCATTCACACCACAGAACTAACTAGTTTTTAGCAGTTTATAGATTAACAATAACCAAATAAGTGAACCTTTCAAAATTCTAGAAGAATTTAGGATCAACAAACAAGAGTAAAACTTAAGTTCGGGGTTTAAAGAGAGTATCTAAGAGATAAGTAATCCTAAGCTGGGAGCGCAATAACATTTTACTTAACAATAAACCATAAACAAAATTAAATTCCACCTTACTCAAAAGAATTCATTATGTGAATGAATATCAATAGAGCTAAAAGTATACCTCTTAAGCAAATAACACATTTAGTGAAAGCATGAAATCTTAATTCCTTAAAACCTTTGGAAAATAATAAGTTAGAAAAATTGGTAGAATAACTTCTAAAAAGTAAGTTGATTTGAAGAATGATTTACCCTTTGCCGCCTCGGCGAGATGAAAGAGGCTGCTTAGTTTCCGCAGCCATTCTCTGCATCCATGAAGGCATTGTTTGCTTCGTTTCTTGTATAAGATCAAACAGATCCCTAACTAAATTCCTATTCTTATCATTGAAGAAAGATGTTGCCAAACCTGGAGGACAAGCATTTTAATTTTTTAAAAAATGTTTTATCATGTTGATATTATTTACTGGGTGTAGATAAGTTATGTTACGAGCTACCCCTATCTATTATATATTTAAATTTATAAATTGTAATCATCAACACATAGAGTTAAAATTAAAAGCTTACCTAAATTGCCCATACGGCCTGTACGACCAATTCTATGAACATATTCTTCAACATCATTCGGTAAATCAAAATTGATGACATGTTTCACGTGGGGAATGTCCAAACCCCTTGCAGCTACCTACAATAAACATAATCAAGCTATAATGAAAATAAAGAAACTTTACATACTTAAATATAGAGCCTTACTACCTAAAAGAATAATGAAAATTTGGTGTGGTGCCGCATCACGCAACTTTCACTTACCACCCTCTTTTTAGCAGAAATAAGTATTTCCAGACAAAGGAGAAGTGAAAATAAAAATTGTAAACGATCTATTGATATAAATTTCATTGTGAGTATTTTTATTTATATAAGCACCCTTACAAATACAAATTTTAATATTTATATCGCTGCAATCTATACAATTAAATATTAAATAATACCAACAGTAGCATTTATGAAAACCAAATATGTATAATTACATAATATTGTCGGAGCCCTTATTATATTAAGCTCATGTTACATATGGAAGCGTGCACTCATCTTTTGGAAGAGCTCAAGTGCGCTCGTATTCCTTTGGTTCCTAAATTACAACTATTTTCCGTTACTATCTCTTATTTCCCCTTTAGTTAATTATGAAATTCTTTCATATTTTATATTTAACTATCTTAAATATAACATAATTAAATATATAATAGATAATTAAATTAAGATAATTAAATGGTCGATTGTTTCAAATAAAAAAAAATTGAAGGTACTTTAGGGGAAGCTAATATTGAAAATTAGCCATTTAAGCCCTGATAGAGAACATCAATCACAATAAAACCTACATTTTATTTAAAACTGCTTAATTTTACACTGATATAATGAATTTAATCAAAATTATTAGAGCCGTTTTCGAGAAAATCATAAAAAATGTGCTTAGTCTATATATACAGTACCACTTCCGGTTAAGTGATTTTAACGAAAAAGTTTATGTAACATCCGAAGCACATAAAAACCTTAAATATGCAATTTCATCTTCGTACGATTTTCTAGCTAGACTGTTAAGAAACACAGACCATTTTGCAGGATCTGGTTATTCAGACTCAGAGGACCTCAAAATGTGTATTTCCCTTGAAAACTGAGATACGAACATTTCCAAAATCGCAATACTTTCTCTTACTATAAATTTCATATACAGGGTAAGTGAAAGTAAAAACAGCAAGTCTATTAAGATTGATTTAAAGTTAAGTTATAAAATCTTTAATTATGCTAAATTAGTTTTGAATTGGAATGGGAGTGGAGTGGAGTAGCTCAACGGTAGGATGGTGCGCTTTCACTGATCAAGATCCCAGCTCATGGCAGATAATTTATTTATTCTGTTTCATCAACCATTGGTAGACCCTGGGGCACACCCAGCCTCTATAAAGTGGGTACTCTTGATTAAATAATTAATTGAGGATTAAAACCTGGTGGTTGAGTCTGATCTCAGCCAAGTCACCTCCTTACAGAACCATTGACCCAGAAACAGTACTTTCCCTAAATTACTATTTGATTAGTACTCTGACCATAAGAGCCTTCATGGGTTATAGTGGTACAGGTAATTGAAGTTTCAAATTGGAAGAAATAATATGATAATAAGGTAATCAATAGCATATTTACAGCAGTCGCTACAAGAACAGGTGTTTGGCCTGTTCGAAAGTTTCTCAGAGCTTCTTCTCTTTCCTTTTGTGTCCTATCTCCATGAATGGAAGTCACAGGGTACCCAACACCGTAGAGAAAATCTTCAAGTGAGTCTGCACCTTTCTTGGTTTCAACAAATACCAATGTTAATGAACCTTCTTCAGCTGAAACAAAAAATAATAGGTTTAAATAACCAAAATTTGTTTTATTAATATAATTGTTTTATTGTTAATATAATTGTATGAATATCATGATTTATGAAGTACTGTACCATTTTTCGAAGCGTTAAGAAGGTCCAATAAAAACCCTCTTTTATCATGCTCTTCCACCCAGATGATTTGTTGGGTAATATTTTCTGAGGTAGATCCAACACGGCCAATGGCCAAAAATATGTAGTCATTCAAGAAATCTAATGCCAGTATCTAAAACAGATTTATTATTAAGCACCCAATTCTTAAAATTTTAGATAAGAAATATTTGTTTACAAAAAAAATTTATTGATAGATAATCTTATAGTTGATTGTTGCAATACATAAAAAAAAAGTGATTTACTTGATGTTAACTAAAAGTAAATAAATAAAATTATACTGTAGTATTGACCTGAATTTCTTTAGGAAAAGTAGCTGAAAACATCAAAGTTTGCCTTTCCCCAGTTGGAGGCATAGAATTCTTTTCAACGATTCTTCTGATTTGGGGTTCAAAACCCATATCCAACATTCTGTCAGCTTCATCAAGCACTAAGTACCTAAAAACCATTATTCGAAATAATATATTTTCAACACAAGAGAGTTTAAGATAGTAAACAAAGGTTAAGGGATTAGGTCTGGAATAGACTTGTAAGGAGAAAATGAGAGCAGCTAAAACATGAGCAAATGAAAATGAAGGTTCAAATGAAAAAATGAAGGAGGATTAGATGAATAACAAAACCTCATATGGACATTACAAACTGATCCATCAATCTGTTGCATATCAATACATATAATCTATTATTAGTCATGGATAGAAAATTTTTAAAAAAATAATTAGAAACTGAATTAATATTTTGAATGAATATAATGGATATTATAAAACAATTTGTTTCACCATATTAAGATGAACAGTATGATCAAACCTTTCTTTAAGATAAAATGAACTAACCCTCTTTGCTAAGCACAGTGGATAGCTAGACTTAATAGAAAAGATCTATCAGATTAAACACTAATGTTGGAGTTTGTGGGAAGTTAAGACAAGCCAAGCAGAGATTTATTTGGCCTTTTCAATGCTAACAAACAAATCCTCATCGCAGTTTCACAATTTTTAGACAACATTCTTTGAAAAAGTATTAATCAATGAAAACAATCACAATTACCAATTAAGATGAAAATATACAACAGACAAGAGCGTAGCCAATTGGGCCTAACAGATGTTTTCGTGAATGGCCACAAAACCAACCATTTTAGAATTTTTCTTGTTGCCGACGTTTTAACGGAGTACTTGAACACTTTTAGTGCTGGTAAAATGGCGTGATGATGACCCACATACCTGTGTTAAAACATCGGCAACAATAGAAATCTTAAATTGACTGCATCTTGACTATTTATCGTCCATAGAATATTGTCACTTTATTGTGAAAAGTAGGATTTTTAAAAAATTAAAGATTTTAAAAAATTGAATCACTGCGTAACTTGATGAATTTTTCCTCTTTGAAATCAAAACAGTGTGCACATTGACTGACTTTATATTTTAGATATAGAATAGATTATGTTATTTTTATAAACTTAGTGAGTTTTTGTAATGACAAATACCATCGAAATTCACAAATATAAACTTGAAAGTCTAGCTCTGTTTTTGAACAAAAACTTGTTCAATCTTGATTCTCTCACCCTAATCCCCCCTCCTATCACATTACTGGAGTGTTCAGACAAGTAAAGTTCGGATTTATAATATTACACTGAATTTTATTAGCAAACAATGGCAGTTAGAAGTTCATATAACCTATATACTTATAATATAAGTATATAAGTGTAAAGTGCTTCCTAATGAAATATATAACCTAGTGGTGGCTTGAAGTATTTATTAATCTGTCAAAAATGTTTTTGTTTTTTTTGCTAAATGGTAAAACATGGGCAAGAGATGTTCCATTAGGAGTTATAAGTGACTGAATAGTGAAATACTTCTTTTTTTTGTCCTTTCCTTCCTCGTCTCTCAGATTATACAGATTTTTTATAACAAGTAAGTTGGCAGGAAATTAATGCCAGAGTTAAAAGTTTCCCTGACAACGGAACACGAACTCATAATTATTTTATTAGGTTATCTTCACTTTAACAACGTTGCTAGGCAACACACGCATTAGTCAACTTGACCACTTCGCCCCCCTAGTAAAAAAAACCTATTCCAGAATACCTCATGAAGAGCATAGGAAGACCTGGCAGTTAGGCATGATATATCCTGTTTTGAGTGATATGGAGTAACTTCTCACCCAACAAATGTCTTGAAAACTTCCTTCTTGATGGGAGGAGAAGTTTTAATTCAAATGGTAAAGTAAAAAATTTACCTGCAATTTTCCAAGCCTATTCTTCCTCTGGCAAGCATGTCGACTAAACGTCCAGGTGTAGCAACTAATAAATGACACCCACGCTCAAGATCTCTCATTTGTTCAGCAACATGAGCACCTCCATACCTGAAAAAAATTAACAGACGATTAATAAAAACTACTAATATCTCAATCACAATGCAAACCATTTAAAACTAACTAGTAGGGTTTAGGTTGGCCAAATCATATAATTTACAAATTTTCATAAAATGATATTTAAAACAGAGGGATCTGGAAGTTTGGCAATTTCATTGCCTGCATTAGGATGTGAAATAAAGAAAATTTTGAATTGAAAGCATGAATCGAAGACAAAGTTAACAGAGACCACTGAATTTGTTCTTACTGAAAATAACTTTAAAAAGTTCGATAGATTCATATTTGAGTAAAATATTAAATAATTTTTAACAGGCAATAATGGCAATGTAATTATTTTTTAGATAAATATTTATTATTAACTTTAGAATTGAGAATATGAATTTATCATTATAACCTCTGTCTGTACTATGAAAGAGAACTAGAAAAGAAAATTAACAAAAGGAACAGAAAACTAATTAACTAAACTTAAATCATTAAACTTACACAACACATGGCCGAAGGCGAGATCTATACGCAAATTTGCGAGATTCATCATAAATCTGTGTAGCTAATTCCCTTGTAGGTGCTAGGACAAGACCCATTGGGAACTGCTTACGTTTTCCTGGGAACTGGTAAAAAGACAATAAAAATCTAAAAACATTTTTAATTACAGATATAAATAGCTTAAAACAGTTATTAAAATACAAATTTAAGGCCTTTTGTGCCAATACAGCTTAAACTCTAGTTACCTAATATCAACTATTTGGGTTATAGAATTATAGCAACACTGCATATCTGAAGGTATTTTTATTCGGATTATTGCATCAGCCACTTCAATGTACAGTTGATATACATGTTCTTCAAAAGTAACGTAGAAATACTATCACATTTCTTTACAAATCCTGCTGCTTCACCAGAGCGACAAAACAGATGTGAAACTATTCTACTAATGTGAGAGGACACTAATCTAAGATGATTAGCCATTTATACTTCAAAAAGACAAGGACACATTCTCATATAAATAAAATATAATAACTCCGAGTAATTAATTGTAATACAAAAACTTTTGAAATTTCAAATGTAATTAAATCATGTGCAACTATTAATAAAGTATTTACAAATTAAAACCTACCAACAAGTTGTTTTTAATTTTCAAATAATTTTTTTTTGCTGTTTTTTAACATCACTTCGACTGCCATGACCATTAGCTAACATCATTCTTCTTAAATACAATTTCTTAATTTTATTTGTTTGATGTACTTCAGCGTTCTTTCGACTCCACTGATTTCTTTTTATGGAGAGCTATATCTTCAATTTTGAATTCTATTCATAGTTTACAGTGATGTGAACACTGAATGTGTTCTACAGTCAGGTTACTGCTCTCACATTATTGGCTGGTTAGTCGATGTAGACCAAGAAGTAGGTGGAGATGGGTCAGCTTGGTGTGTCTAATTCTCTTAATGATAATGATGCAGCAACATTCTTTCGATGTTAGGTGTTTATTTCATGTGATAAGATATTTAATCAATTAAGAGTTTGAACTGCGCTGATGTGATTATACCAAAGAGATATAAAGTAAATAATAGACTAATTAACACATAATAAAATACAATGATGTGAATTTAAGTTACTGGAAAGACAGTAAGAGTAAAGAAGTGAAATACAATTTTTTAATGATAACTACCTTTGGATTTTGGGGTCCCCTTTCAAGAATTTGATTAAGAATAGGAATGAGGAAAGCAGCTGTTTTGCCACTTCCCGTCTGGGCACAAGCCATCAAGTCCCTTTTGGACATGATGATAGGTATAGCATTTTTCTGCACTGGGGTTGGTTTATCATAGCGTGCTAAACGAATATTATTCGATATTATTTCATTCATCTGCAAATCGTCGAACTAAAAACAAAGAAGAACATCTTATAGTTTAAAGACATTAATTAAATTTTACTTAAAATCAAACAAAAATATAAAAAAAATAAAACCATATTTTTCATGAACTTATCATTATTTAAAAAGCTAAATATAGTTACAGTTAAATTTGAAATAGTAAATAGTATTTATACATAGTCACACTCATATTCATTCAATTAATAAAAATAAACACTAACAACTTTTATAAATTCATGACATAATTGATATAAATAAGTTTAACCATGAAGTTCTCACCGTTTGAATTTGGGGTGGTACTTGGACACCAGTAGCTTCGACAGGAATATCCTCATACTTATTAAAGTTAATACCAGTATTGGCATTGCCAAATAGCTCAAATTCAAGTCTCTCGTCCCTGGGGAGAAGTGTGGTCCAGCCAGCTGAGGAACCTTGGGGCTTCTCTTGCCATCTATCATTGCCTGTGTTACCTGAAGTGGGAGTATTTCCACCTCTTCTACTGCCCCAATCATCACGATCACGTTCCCTATCTCTTTCTCTGTAAACAACCAAACAGAAATAATTCACCAACGGCATAATAAAAAAAATAAATTTTGTCATAAATAATGATCTAATTAAAATCTATCATTTCAATAATATTCATGCAGTTATTGAAAAAAACTCATTAACCTATTCGTTACAGAATAAACTAATGGAATGTAAAATGGGATTCGCTCACTGACAAGTGACATCGCAGAATGTTTTCGACTAAGTATTCGACTGAGCTTCTGCAATCCACTGCACATGTTACCAAAAAAGAGGTTAAACTAAGAAGTTTTTCCAGCATTATTTCAAACAATTTTTAACAAATCATGCCAAATTCTAGCCTATGACGATGATCTGGATGTCGGATGGAGGAGAGCACCTTTCTAAATCTATCAGATATTGCATCAGATATTAAAAGTTGGATTGCAGGAGAACGGGTCCAATATAAGTTATATGCTCAGAAATCCTAAAAGAGGAGAATATCTAGGAGGAAGAGTAAAAATTAGAGACTTAAATTTTGTATGTGTCGAAGAATTTATTAACCTTAGAACACTGTTGAACTTGACTATTAATACGCAACCATAAATTCAATGATGGATTATTGCAGCCAATAGATGCTATTATGGGCTTTAGGGGCATCTTAAAAGCCAATCTCTCTAAGACCATCAAGATATATATTAAGTTTTAATAAGACCATAATCAAGCCTCTTCTCACATATTCGCCAGTGATGTGCGCTGACAAAAGCACTTGAACCATTTCTACTGAAATTTTAAAGACAATTTTTGTAGATGATCATGGAACCTGTGTTTTAACGGTGTATGAAGATTAAAAAAAAAAAAAAAAAAAAAAAAAAAACGCTGATTTAATGAATCTTAACAATGACCTGATATCAATCATTTAATAAAGATGGGCAGGACCTATTAGCCGTATGAATAATAATGAAGTCCCCAAAATACTCCTAGAAATAAAAAGTATTCGGAGGAAGAAGGATCGGGAGACATTGCCTGTGCTGGGTGGATTGTGTAGTAGTAATGATCAAAAACTATAAAGAATAAGAAATTGGAAGGCAGCAGCACAAAACAGCTCCGAATGAGTGGCCTTGACTCTTTATGAGTAGTAGAAGAATTTATGAACAGACTGATTATTTAAACAAAATAAATAAAACATAGTTTTATTAAGTTAAATAGAAAATACCTGCTGCTTCGGAATGAAGAGCCTCCTCTATCACCCCAAGATCGGTCTCCATTCTGTGAGTCATAATCACCATTTCTCCTACTCCCTCCTCTGAAGTTATCACTCCTGCCACTGCCACCTCCGCCTCCACCTCCACTTCCACCTCCAGCACTACCACCACCACCACTACGAAATCCACCACCGCTACCTCCTCTGCTTGGATAGTCACGACTGTCGTTGAATGAAGAGAAGTTAGATGAGGGTGGTTGTTCTCCACGAGATTCTGTAATTACCAATGTTATCTACATTATCAATTATCTAGATTCTTTTTATGGTATTTTAATTTAATAAAAATAAAATTAAATCTATCAATAGTCAGATTAAACTATAAATAAAAATATTACTGAATAATTTGGCATAAAGCAACTTTAAATCCCAAAGTTCACTTTAATTCCATTGGTTTTGTTGCATTTATTTTTTTGATGATCAATCAATAACTGATTTAATGATTAGTTTAATACTATAAACTATAAACACGCAAAACTACATAAATCTATGTCTACATAAATTAGCAGTTTACTTTGTGACAGCTGGTTTATAAACAGATATTAATATTAAATAAATTAAGAGTTAAAATTCTAGTTGCAGATCTATATTTCATAATTAAGAGATATACAGAAATGTATTTGTCTTTTAGCACTAAATTTATTAAAAGAAAAAGTTAATTTAAGTTAAGAAAAAGATAAAACTTATTATCCTTCTTAAGCTAATTAATTTCCAAACTTCCTAGATGAAGCAACTATGACATCTTTCTAAAAAATTATTATTTATATGTATTTCAAGCTATTTATTTTATTTTCCTCCCTACCCTGCCTTTAAGACAATACGGGAGTTTGCAGCAGTGACTTGATACACATTGTATAACAAATCACTGTTGCAAGTTTTTTTTTTTTTTACATTTTTAAATTTAGAGTGCTACCATTGGGTAGTTACTCAGCAAGTGTATTCATGTCATTATATCAATTATGTCCAAATTTACTTGATGTATTTATGTAATACAGTTGTAAATGTCATAAAGAAATAAAAAAAAATAAAAAAAAACATTTTTAAATTGCTGTGCACACAGCCTGCTTGATAATTTTGTCACTTAGTTTATTGTCCTCCATCTTCTTCTCCTGTCCTAATCAGCGGCCTTCCAGGTACTGCTTCTTCACGCCTTCCCAAAGAGAAGTGGGTTGGGCCCACAGTTTTTTTCCAGCCGCATACAAAACTTTTAAAGTGCGGGTAGTTTTGTTCAGACATTAGTTGGGGTAATTGTCTTTCTGTTAGAACGAAAAGCCCTGTATCACTCATTAATTTGGCCCTCAGTGCCTCATAGCTGGTGCAGGCTACAAGGATGTGCTCAGTGGTTTCAGGTACTCCACAAGTGGGGCATAAGGGATCGATATTTTTGCTGGATATCTAAGGCCCCAAAAGGCTCCCCCTATGCGACTGAGACCATTAAGGGCTAAGGTTATCCTATTTCTTAAATAATCCAAGTGAGGCGTCACGTTGAATTTTTTCTCAGTCCTAATTCCAAGATAGGTGACTATCTCACTTGGACATATTCTTGAACCTTGTATCACCAAGGTTATGGGGTGTGCCCTATCGGTCGAACCTCTCAAAAGGATGGCCTGAGTCTTGGAACCAGCCATCCTTAACTTCTTTCTCTCGCACCATTCTTCTACAAGGTTGGCACAACGTTCAGCTTCATATTATAATCTGGCCCTGCTATTCGAGGACACTACAACAGCCAGGTCATCTCTACATATGCAGTGGCGGGGAACCGCTTCTGTTCTAGCACTCCCAGCAACTCGTCAAAGACCAGTTTCCATAGGGCAGGGCCAAGGACAGAGCCCTGTGGACAACCCCTTTCCACTGCATCTTCTACTTCATAGAAGCTACCTTTAATCTTCAATGTCCTATCGTGGAGATAGCTTCTGATCAAGCCATACAAGTTGCTGAGAGAATGTATTTCAAGCTAACAGATATAACACAAATAGTGGAAGAAAAATAGTACTATATATTATTTACATTTTTTCATCTACACTACACAATTCATGAGCGACACGACACCATTCGTTTAAATTTAAGTGCAGTCAGATTACTTTAATGGGGAAAAGTCCTACTACCTTGACAATATTTTTCAGTTTTGTACTTTCTCTTGAGCACAACATGCAGGCTTTACACTTTTCAAGTCACTAACATTTTTTTGAGACTACAATTATTGCCACAACCCCCTACCTCCTAGTTGCTTCAGTTGCCATAGGAATTATCACATGTCTCACCTTAGTTTAGTTTTTTTGATAACTTAAAAACTAATTACCTCTCACAGTTTAGATGCTTTTTTGAAAAACTATTTTTGTACACTAAGCTTAACACACACAAAAATATAATAAAATTAAGTTAATACAGGCGAACAATTTATAAGAAGAGCTTTTCCTCAAGACACATCAGACACTTTTTATATATATAACTATTTGGAAATAATAAACTATTGTGTAATGATTTGCAGGGTTTTTCTATTGTTTGTTAAAAAAAAAGAAAAGTCATTATTGGCTTTGAAAAAGTTTCATAACACTCTAGGTCTGAATAGTCCTTTTAGAAGAAAACTGTGGTCTTTCACCACGGCTGGGTAGTCCTTAGGAAAGGATGCTCTATCTTCCCTATCCCTTTGAATTCCAGAGGCTATGAGGTAAGAATAGACTATGTCTACTCCTGTCAGTGACAGTTGCCTTCAAGCTTTAAAGGGCTTATTATTTTTTTTAAATCAGCCGTCAAGATGTCGTTTAGTGAATTTTTACAAAACAAAACTTCTTAAATTTTATGAGAATTTGCATCAACAAAGATGCAATAGAGCTTTCCACAGATGAATTGAAAGAAATAGCCTAAGACAGGCAAAGATGGAGAAGGCTTGTTAAGGTGGCAAAAGATCTACATGGTCTGTAATGCCAGCAGGAAAAAAAATGGAACCCATACCAAAAGTATTAATAAAATAGCTTGAAGAATTTAGAAAAAAATATCATTTCTTTATCCAAAAAATCTATAAATACACAGTAATATGTGTCACATAATGAGGATGATAATACTTTTAAAGAAGGGGGGGGGAGACGACTTAAGAGCCAAGCTGCTACAACTAATCCAGAAAATATGGGAAGAGAAAAGGATACCTGAGGCTAGGAATACAAGCTTAATCTGTCCTATCCTAAAGACAGGCTCCATAAGAGTGGAGTAATTACAGAGGCATAGCACTCCTTCCGGTTTCTTACAAGATACAGACCAATATCCTACTAAACCGGATATATCCATATTACGAAAATATAATTGGTGACCACCAAGCTGGATTCCGAAAAAGGAGAAGCACGCTAGACCAGATCTTCATTCTGAAACAAATATTCAAAAAACGATGGAAAGTAGCTCAGAATATCCAAGCCCTATTTGTCAATTTCAAAGCAGCCTATGATTCTGTGGACAGGAACTGTCTTTGGAAAACCATGATTGAACTGGGAGTTTCCGGTAAGTTGGTGAGATTGACAAAGGCGTGTACAAATGAAACCAAATGTAGAGTCCTAATACAAAGAGAAGTATTTGAAGTTTTCAAAGTTCAAACAGGCTTATGGCAGAGAGATGTACTATCACTGATGTTCAAATCAGCCGTGGAGAAGTTTATAAGAACAACATCAAAGGAAAATGGAGAAGTCCACATCAGAATGAATCATAAGATCCTTGGATATGCAGATGATATAACTGTCCTTGCAAGTAATCAAGAGGACATTGAAAAAACTTGCTAAGACTCTGATAAGAGAGGTAGGGTACTTTGTGTCTAGAGGTCCGTTTTGAAACCTCACTTCTTATCTATCTTATCTAACGTCACGTCACATAAACTCCCTCTTCTTATCCCGCCAAACTTTTGAGTTATTGCGTATTAGTTTCAGTTTTCACTTATTGCTTTGAGTATGCGTTATTAGTTCAGTTTCACTTATTAAATTGTTTACTTTTGGCCCATTTGTGTTAATTTTTCATTATTTTTAGTTTTTGGCCGTTTGTGTTTATTTAAAATTTTTTTTTTTAGTTTGTGGCTTCTTTGTGTTTATTTTCATTTTTTTTTCTGTTTATTTTTGTCATATTACGGATCTTCTTAGAATATGGGATTTACCGTCTTCAGAAGAACAGGCAATTCAGTATTTTCAAAATGTTGGGGTACTTGCCGACGTGAAATTGGGTGAATGAGGTCATCGAATTATTGACGAGGAATCTTACGTCATATTACGAGGAATCTTCTGTCATATTACGGATCTTCTTAGAATATGGGATTTACCGTCTTCAGAAGAACAGGCAATTCAGTATTTTCAAAATGTTGGGGTACTTGCCGACGTGAAATTGGGTGAATGAGGTCATCGAATTATTGACGAGGAATCTAATAATTGACAGAAAGGCAACAACTTTATTACAAGTCATTAAAGAAAATATAGAAGAGGGAATGACCATTTATTCGGACTGTTGGAAAGGATACAACATCCGACAACTGAACGAAACAAACTATGACCATTTCCAAGTGAATCACCGGTATAATTTTGTCAATCCATCAACTGGGGTTCATACTCAACACATAAAACGGCTATAGGGTGGTTAGGGTAAAAAAGTTAAATATGTTTTTTTATTATTTCATTTTGATGTTTTATATGTACATATCTTCTTAAAGTGTCTTTTTATTATTTCATTAATATAGGTGTCGCCAAATAAAAGTATTTTTTTTGTTATTACATTTGTTTTTGTATCTGTTCATACTTTCAATAATACGAATTTAATACAATAATACGAAGATATGAAGTAGGAGGAGGCTTATCACTGCTTTACAGGAGTTATCAGTGTTCAGGTTATAAACATTGGCAGATAGCAATCAGGAGCGGCCCTCTGGACACAAAGTACCGAGAGGTAGATCAGATCGGCCTACAAATAAATGAAGAAAAAATAAAATATATTGAAATAAACTGAAAATTCTACCCTAACAACAGGATCTGCAAAGAAAGAAAACCATACCTGAGGGTAGAGAAATTCAAATACCTCGGCTCCACAATAATCTCAATGAATGACCAATGGGCAGAAATAGCTCAGTGTATGACTAGCGCAAACAGAGCCTTCTTCTTCCTTCTAAAGATATTAAAATCCCAAGAAAATCTCAAATTAAGGGTTTGTACAATGCTATGATAAAGCCAGTTCTAATATATGGCTATAACATCTGGACACTAACCAGCACTCTAGAAAAAAAGTGTTGAAAGATTTGAGGGAAAAATCCTCTGCACGATAACCGGAGCAATCTGGGAACAGAGTACAAACACATGTAGAAGAAAACTAATAAAGAACTGCTTACAAAAACGGGTCAATCAATATTCCATGATATGAAGAAGCGGAGGTTAAGATGGGCGGGCATGTAGCTCCTACCAATCCAACTGGAAGCCTCTACGTAACAACGAATACCTCAATAGAAGGCAATAAACCACGTGTAAGGACAAAATGCAGATAGATAGAATCAGCAAAAATGTAGTAGAGCTACGTGCAGATAAATGAAAAGAAATAGGACAAGGCAGTAAAAGTAAAGCAAAGTATTGTAATCGGGTCAAATTTCCGATACGCGGTTTTCGACGGATCAATAAGTTTCAGAGCCCCCTGAGTCACACAGTTTTAGCATGTTTTTTTTTTAAGGTGATGAAATTCCCTACAAAACTATACATAAATCATTCATTTCGGACAACTATTAGTGAAGTTACAGTTATTCAATTTCCAATGTAAGATTACGGGTTCATGTCCTGGTGTCTGAAAGGGATGAATGAGAGAAAAAATAAAAATAAATAAGTGAAAATCACTATTTCCTCTACTTTTAATAAAAATTATTTTTTGACAAAATTAGGCTATGGCAAAAAGTTTTTGACCAGCAATATTAAAGGGCATTGAAATTTTTTCACTGATCTGGCCCAATGACAATAAAAAAATATAAAAAATCTGGTGTGGTGCGCGCAACTCACATCTTTCACTTACCATCTTCCTCTTAGCGGAAAAAAGTATTTTCAGATAAAGGGGAAGTGAAAGTAAAAATTTTTGACATGCCATATGTAAATTTATTTTGACAGATAGTGATTCTCAATCACACTAGCGAATTGACGTCGATTCTCCTAGTTTGTAAAATTTTTTAACTTTTGGGTTTTCTTGTTAACAATTTTATGATCATTCTAGATTCAAAGATTTTCTGACATTATCAGGTCTGGTAGATACGCTGTATCAGTCCAGAATTATATATAGAAAATAATATTAGTGGAGGAAAAATATAACATTGGTTCAAAAATACGACAATTAAGCCAAGATAAAATAACTAAAAATTAGATATGATGTAAGAAAGACAACTATAAGGCTAGAAGGATTAAGAGTTTCATACTAGGTAAGATAATACTATTTCATATCAATGGTCAATTCTTTACAGAACATCAGTCAACTTATCCACCACATCGATATACCCACCCTGTTCTCTCCTGTTTATAGAATAAATTTTAAAAAAGTGATGTTCAACCTACATATTGCTATTGACTGAATATATGTAGTCTGAGAGCCTCAGCCTGTGGGAAAAGTTTTTAACTTATATATATTGGTTTGAACATGTAAAAAACAAAATTGCTAACACATGTCAGCAAGGGAAAACGTTTTAGAGCCAAAAAAAGACAGATTTTTTCAATCTTTATTCATCTACTACTCCTAAGCAGTGCTATGTCAAGCAAGAAATTGATGAATGCTAAATTACGAGTGCTGATTTTTACCAAATTTGTCATTAACTGAGAGAAATTACTATTAATGGCTCTGTAGCTTGGAAATGAGTTCTCTAAGAACAAAAAAAACTCAAATAAAAGGTAGTGAACATACAATTCCACATCCACAGGATACCGACAGTTTTAATGATAACCTAAAATCATGATGATAAAAAATTAATTAAAAGATGAAAAAGAATTAATGAGACACAATTATAAAAGGTGATGTGAGGTCAGTATACAGCTTAAATGACAAGATTTATTCTTTTTAACAAAATCAAGGGTCAGATTAAATGTAAAGATTATTTTATTATCAAATAAGGACGTGGCAAGGTTGGCGGAGAATATAATCCTTGACTCCCTGGGAATCATCCACCACCATGTGCATGGGAGCGGATAGGGGGAGAGTTTGCTTGCGGGGGGAGGCATGCGTGTGTTACAGCATTTTTATATTATTATTTATTGAACACGTCCACTGTACTTAATGTATTTTTTTATGTATTAGGTTAGAAATAGAGAGGAGAGAATGTGAGGAGTGGGAACATGTATAGGGGGAGAGAAGGAAGAGAAAGGGTACAGAATGATAATAAATGAATGAAAGAAATAGTAAAAATTATAAAATAAAAAAAAAAAGAGAAAAAAAAAGGAAAAAAAAAATAATAATATATATATATATATATATATATATATATATATACGTATAAAATATTGTATACTATGCTTATACATATTGTTGTTCCTATATAATTGTATAATAATTTTAAATAATGTCTGTAGTGATTAATAAGTATGCTGTGTTGTTAGCAACCCAATATAATTGGGCAGCACCATTTTATTCTATTTTATGATAATAAAGTGATTCTCTCTCTAGAATATCAAGAACTTTAATAAAAAAGGAAATTTCGAAAAGGAAAATTTTGGAAAAATATTTAAAAATGTCTTACATATTTTTTTTTGCCATAGAAGTTTTTATGATAGGTAACAATAACCTGTCACTTTATTTATAAACATTATTAGTAAATCAGTAAATGTTTTAAGCAGCCACTGATAAGATAAGTATAGAAAAGATAAGAAGGAGGTTACCCTGACTGTTGTCAATACTTCTATCAAGACTAAACAGGAAGCGACAATCGCTAACTGAACCACAACAGTGAGCTTGTGGTAAAATAGGAAATAAATAGATAGATCTAAAACATCATTAACCTTAACCACACTTATAAAGAATAACTGTAAATTGGTAATTGAATAATCAGAATTTCAATTCAGTTTTCCAAACTGTATTAATACTTCTTAAGATAACAAATCATTAAGATTACAGTTTTTTTCCCATAAACATAGTAGTTTTTTTTTTATACAAAACCAAAAAAATATCTAGAAATATATAACAAAAATTAAACTTTTTATGAATGATGGAAGTTCTCTCCTAAACCACATTAACAGACTAAAAGTGGTTTTAGAGCTTGTTCTTAAATGTATTATGGATGTTTTGTCATACCAAGACTATATTTCAAGTTAATATAAAAACTTGAGAGTAAAAATGGAAGATATTACTCGATGGAAAAATGAATTATCCAAATATCATAAAATGCCAATAAAACAAATAAAAAAGATATATATTACAAGATCGCTATGCACAAACTATCCCAGGAAAAATAAGGTAATAAGAGTAATTTTGACTATTAAATCCAAAGAATAAGGAGAATCTGCTGAGAAAATTTTTATCTTTAAGTAATTAATATAAAATGAGATGTAATAAACTACTTAAAAAATAAAGTTAAACAATGGATTTATAAGACAGTTGGACAAAATTAAAGCGCAGAAAGGAAAGATGTACAAGTATCGAAAACTCTGTATGTACTTCATACAAAGTCAATAAACAATTTTAAGTAGGTCGAGATGTAAATCAATATTAACTTGAAATTACTACTAATATACAAATATATGATTAAAAAAAATAAATGACCCTTTTTAAAACACAAACTAACTTAAGCATTTTTTGTGAGTGATAACTCTGAATTACAAATCTAAAACTATTCTTTATCCTAAACAGACAATTTATACACACTCTAATGCTGATATCAGTTTATGATATAAGCTGCAAACAGTATATTAAATTATATCATAAATCACTTGAAGTTATAACTTAAACAACTTACCTCCAGCCTGTTTGTTTCGGAGATGGGGAGGAATGTAGGGGCCGGTTTCTTTACGGCCACCCTCCAAGTCCAGACCAGCAAACTTAAAAGTAAGCAAAATAATTAAATCCTATAACTGATTTTCAAAGCAAATTTTACTGTCTAAAAATTAAGAAAAACCAACATCAATTAGTCAACTAGCCAATAGCAACACATAGAAATTTGTTTTTTAAAAAAACCCAATATTTGCATAAAAATAACAAGGTTAAAACTAAAACCATTATTTAGTAAACAAACACATTTTAAATGTTATAATATATTTATATAAAATCATAATAATAACTAGTCCAACTACAGAACTGCAAGTAAGATGACCCACTTATTAACTCAAGACATATTATTGCTAATATCATTGAAATCAAACACACACAATATTAAATACTTAAACTGAAGTATCTAGTTACTCATACCAAAAGAGACAACTTTATATTTATTCAGAAACAATCAATGACGAAATATAAATAATCACTATATAACTATCAAAAATTCAGAAAACTAATTGATAAGGAAAATTGGCATTCGTTTAAAAAAAGCGTTATCTATTAAAAACATAGGACACAATTAAACCATACAGATGACTTAACTTGAGTACATGAAGAATTGATTATTAGAATGGAAATTTCTATAGAAATATATTAGTTTAATATAATTTTAGAACAACGATTAATATAACTATAAAGGTATAATTGACACAATACTTTACGTCAACTTGAAGCTTTAACCCACTCGAAAAATTATAAAACAACGCAAGAACTACAAATGAATATAGGTCCAGTATTTCAAAGAGATTCTGTTACATTGGTGTTTAACAACTGAAGTATAAATAGAAGAACAATGACAAAAATTGTAAACTAAATGATTTCATAAACATGAAGCACTACTGTTTAAGATTACAATCTGATGTAAGAAAAAAATATATATGATACCTTCGACAATGGAATTGATTAACACTATTAATAATGAAAGTAATTGCGATTGGTAATAGTTATATTATTTACAATGACGCAATACAAACTCATCTTTTGACCAGCGAAAGTTAACAGTTCTTGATTCTAGCCTTAACACCATAGACCACTCGCAAAATTCAAATAAATATTCCAAACCTACTCAAATACTAATAATCATTACAATACTTATCATAAACTTTAAAAATACTTATTCAGTTTATTGGAATAGAAACTCGTTAAAAATCGTGGATGTATTATCCATGAAAAGTAAAACGTAAAACAAAAAACATTACTTACTCGCTGCTCTAGACCTGATCCATTTTGGTTGGGTACATTACTCATATTACTATAAATCAGTACTTTAAAAGTAAGCCCTTTCAAGTGCTTTTCCAATAAAAGTAAAACACAAAGAGAACTGGTATGATGTACACGGGATTATACGGAGGACATGTACACTAAGCATCGATAAGTCGATTTTACCGGAAGCTTTCGATTATGTCAACAACCCCTCCAAGGCCAATAAATAATTCTTACTTAAAATTTGTTCCTTTCTAGAATATTTTTCTTATAAGAAAACAGTAATTTTTTGTAAAACTATATGTAAATATCTTTATTCAAATGTTTGATATCTATAAAATTGGATTTGGTGAAATTGTTATGATATCATTATTGATATAATTTGTTTAAGAATTAAAAATGGACTTTATTTTGTTGTAATTTTTTTTTGTTTGGGAAATAGTTGATAATCATATATTTTACTTTTAGTCATATTAATCACATGCTGAATTTTATGGCCGTAATTGAACAAAAAGGAGGGTTAACTATAGTTTTAATAAAAAGGTTCACTTATTTCAAGTAGGCGGTAATTAGCATATTGGAATTTTCTCTAAGAATAAATATTCTTGATTTTAAAAATATTTCTGTAATTTATGTCATATGTGAATGAATCAGTTCAGCTCTTGGCTTGTTTTTGGATAAGCCAATCAGGTGCTTGCACTTGTATATTCTTTGGCCGGTTCAGTTTGATATGTCGTACGAGGTTAGAAGTGTTGAGAAGTGGAATTGTTAATTAGTTTTTATATTTCATTTATAATGGTTTGATTTTTTTATTTGACTTAATCTGAAAAGTATAACTAGGTAAATCATTTGCACCTGTATAATCCTCTGACTTAATTTAATATTCCTGTAGTAAATTAGTTTAATTAAATTATTTCGCTTAGTGCTGATGGTACTTTTATGATTTTAGGGAAATGGAGTTGCTCAAGATAATTGTACTGTTGTTAGTCACCTCATTAGATTATGTACTATGTAAAAAGAAGCCCAAATCTGTATCAACTGTAATAGATGCTAAATGGGATTCAACTCCTTTAGTTCTTGAAATGGCAGAATTTTTGGCTGATGAAAATGAATCTTTTTTCTGGGATTACATTGATTCGATCTCTTCCTTAAATCCATCCTTGGTTGAAGCTGGTTTGTTTCAAGATTTGAATATTATGGCGTAAATTTGTGCTCCTGAATTACTAATTCTTTTATTTATTTATTTTCTCCAACAGGAACTGATAAGGAGTATTATGATAGAGCATTAAATGTTTCAAAAAAGTATTTGTCTACTACTCAAGTATCACTTTTGGAATTTGCCTTGAGTCTTCATGTTTATTCACCAAGAGTGGAAATGTTTAATCAGATTGCCAAAGAAAAAGAAATCAGCTGTCAGACAGCTGTAGACATAGGTGGAACTGTTATCTGTGACTGTGATAAAATCCTTGATAACATCAATGAAGTTAGGGTTAGTGATTATATTTTTATTAATATGTTTATGTAAAGTATGACACTACTTCAAAGTTGTCAAATTTGGTTGACAGGTGAATTAAAATCACACTGTACATGAAATAGAGAAAGTAGTTTAGTGTGTTTAAAAGTATATGGATTTGAATTCCCTTTAAAATTAATTATGGAAGCTATTTTATGAAGTATTGTTGTGGACCTATACCCTCTGACTTTTACCACAGCTTGCTAAAGCCACAACCTCAACTAAAATAGACTAATTTGGGCATGTGGATCTCTTAGGCCGAACCTTACCATGAGCATAGTAGTCCTGAATGAAGATCAAAATTTCATCAGCAGAAATGATGTGATCTTGATCCTCTTGTCATGCAGACTTCAACTTGTGACTAATACCCGGATAACATTTGAATCATATGTTTCAAAAACTTATTGCTTTAGTGCTCTTACTCTCACACCTTTTACTAGCTTATAATACCAGTAAGTTAGTAAGATAAAAGTGCTGGGACCTTTATACTCTAATTTTATTTTCAATATAAAGTTTTTATACATTTTTTTTTTTTTTTTTTTGGATCCTCTCTTAACAATAGCTAAGTAACCTATTAAGATTTGGGAATAGTCCTTCTGGCATAGATATTAATGCAACAATTTCATATTGGTTTAAAGGTTTGGAGGTTTGTCATGACAATGACAGTAAGACGCTTTTTCTCCTTATATGTTATAATATGCGGTTTTTAGCTCTTTGAATTGTTTCAAACATTATATCATGCCATTTAGACACTTTTATCCTTAACAATATATTTTGTTGTAGATATTCTGAATCTCCAATTGTAATCTTCCTAAACTACTTTTCATAAATTCTAGTTTTCACCTACTTTAAATAAGAATAAAACTATTTTCTCCCAAATATCCAAAAGTTTTATACTCTCTTTAATGAGAAATGTTTGCTGTATATTATCATTTATTATTTTATTTATAAATCATGGAGCTTCAGTTTTGTAAATCATACATAGTGATAGCTCCTTGTTAAATATTAATGTAATATATACCTAATTAATATAATAGATCTACATTTTTCTATTGATGTTCCTTTAATTTTTTAATGAATGTAGTTATGTGACTGATTTTCTTAATATTATTATAAACCAAACTTTTTTTTGTTATAGGCTAGTTCTGAAGTAAACAGTGAAGAAGTGTTAAGAGTAGACCATAAGTATTCTAATAGTGATGGTATAGTGGTAATTTTATATGGTGAATTAGGCACATTACAATTTAGTCGTTTTCATAAAATATTAAAGGAAGAAGCCGAGAAGGGCCATATCACATATATTATTAGACATTGGATTCAGGTTTTTATAATTCTCCTCTTGCTTTATTAGTCAAGTTTGTTTTTATTCCAACTCAAATTAAATTTTAGAAATCAAGTAATAAAAAGTTGCGGTTATCTGGTTATGGTGTTGAACTTCAAATGAAATCTACTGAGTATAAAGTTCAGGATGATACGAAAGTTGAGGGAAATGCAGCAGAAGAGAGCGAGGAAGAGGAGGAGGAAGTTGAAGGTTTAAATTTTCATCGTTTAAAGTGAGTAACTCCAGATAAATCATAATTATGAATCAGGTTTATCATGTATTAATATAATAATTTTGTTATCATTATACAACCTTTATGTAATTATGGTTTTAGGCAGTTATATCCTGATAGGATAGAGAACTTTGATAAATTGCGACAAAACTTACTTGAAACATCAAGTGAATTAGCTCCCTTAAAAGTATGGCAGTTTCAAGAACTTAGCCTACAAGCAGCTCAAAGAATAATGTCTGCACCAAAAGAAGAAGTGTTGCATGTTTTAACATACATTAGCTCCAATTTCCCAACTCAGGTTCCTATCTATTTATTTCTTTTATTTTATTTTTTAATTTCAATGCTTTTCCATAAGCACCTCTTTCACAGCAAATAAGCTCTTCCAATATTCAGATCATCAGTAACCCCTAGTTATTATATTTATATATATATATATATATATATATATAAAATATAGATCCACCAAACTGAATCCCTACAATTCTGGTAGTATTCAGAAACTAAATTCCTTTTAAAAAATACTCATAAACATTAATCCTTCTACCTGTAACATTAAAAGTATCTGAAAACATTTTGGAAATTTTTACATTTAATATTAATACAATTCGAAGTTATTTTTTAAAATTAATGTCCTATTTTTACCATAAAAACAATAATTTTAGTAAATATTTATTGAAATATTCGGTAATTTAGGGATTTATTAAAAATAATCTGTTGTCTGTCTTCAGGCCAGATCACTTGTCAAAACTGTAGTAAGCCAAGAACTGAAAACAGAAATGAGACTAAACCAGGATAAGTTTTCGACATCACTTCACTTACAGCCTTCTGATACAGCTCTGTTCATCAATGGAATGTATTTTGATCTTGAAACTCAAGACATTTTTACAATATTGGAATATATCAGAGAAGAACTGCGGGTTATGGAAAGCCTTCACATTATTGGTATTTTATGTTTTGATTATAAAATAAGTTAAGCAATATTTGTTGTCTTATCTGTACTATATCCACAAAAGGTACAATTACGTTAATCCTGTATATGCAATTTTATTCAACAGCCTTTGTCCTAAATATTTTGGTATCAGTGGTGTTCTATCCTCAAAATGATAAAAGCAATCAAATTTAAATGAATACCATGTGAATTTGCATGATTATGACTATTTGAAATACCACCAAATTGAAACTTTTTTTTTTCTTTTAACTCCATTTTTTCATCCACCCACACCTGTCATAAGCAATGACAATCAGCGGCTCTGCTGTTGGTAACAGTACAGGTTGTGGCTTGATCTGCGTGATGGAGAGGAGTGCCCAGGGGCATCCCTTCCTGTCTTGAATTTAGTATCTTTTTAAGCGAGGAAATCCCTCATCCAGCTGCTTTTGAGCCTCCTCAGTGTTTTTGGACATGTTAAATTTAGCCATACTTTGTATAAGTGAGTTAGTATGTTCATGTAAGTTATAGTGAAATGGCTTGTAGTTTGTCCGTATGTGATCGTTAACTGTTGGCATTTAAAGGTCTTTATGTAATGTAATGTTTGTGATGTACCATGGAGCTTTAGTTATGGTCCTGAAAGTTTTGGACTGAAAAGTTTGTAGTTTTCGCATGTGGGTCGTTTTGGCTGTCCAGTAAATTTGTGAAGTATAGGTTCATATGGGCTTAATTAGATAATCGTAAGTGTTCAGTTTTTGTTTTAAGTTTAATTTTGAGCGTCTTCAGAGAAGTGAGTATAACATGGGCATAGGGCGTAATATAAGTCGTCTGAGGTTTAAAGTTTTTTTTTTTTGTTGATATGTGGGTCCCGTGTCATTCTTCTGCCGAATGTCAGTCCAAGATATTGTATTTTATCTGTTTGAGGAATTTCGGAATTGCCAAGATAAATAGGAGGGCATGTTTTATGTCCAAGAGTGAAAGTGATGTGTTGTGATTTTTCTTGGTGGAGTTGAATTTTCCAGAGTTTTGCACCAATCGTTTAGTTCTGTTAGACGATGTTGTAAAGTATGTGAGGCGTGTGTTGGATTTTATTTGTAAGTCGCTACAATAGTTCTGGTGCAGTTAGGCATGTCGTGTGTGTATATGATGTATAAAAGCCGAGCGAGTACTGACCCCTGAGGAACTCCTGCTGGGGTTGGTCTGATTGAACAAAGTTCTGAGCCTTGATAGAAAGAAAAATCTGTCCAAAAGAAAGTATTGAAGGATAAGATAGTAGGTAAGAGGGACTATCGTCTTAAGTTTGAAGAGAAGACCCTTATGCCAGACTCTATCGAATGCTTAAGCGACATCTAGAAATACTCCAGTTACATACAGTTTTTGCTCCAGTGCTGTTGCAATGTTGCAATATATTGTGGGATAATTCTCTTCTGTCTACGTTCAATTTTTACTTTCGTATAGTATAGAAATCCTATATCAAAATTTTTTCATTGAAGGTTGCCTTTGATATATCAATGAAAAACATAAGTAACGGCTTCTTAAACCGTGGAATTACGTTCACAGCGTTAGTGACTTCATAACCATGACATTGTAGCCCATATTTAATTGTCTCTACTGGTGTTGCATGGTGAAGATTTTTCAACACTAATCTGCGGCTTCGATCTTCTGGTAGTTGGTATGTGTGAAAATTAGCACCACCCTGCCTTAAACTAGTCACTAGTAGACGGTATATATAAGCATTTTTGGGATATACACTGACTCCTTTTGTTGTTGTTTTGAGTTTGAAACTATTGACACTGCCTACAGTTCTGAGTAATTCTTAACATCATTTAAATGTATGGGAGGAGGATCTATACGAGCAGGTTGTGTTATTTTATGTTCTGATTCTTCTCTAACGTTGCTTAAAACTTTGTTGTTTTCTCGGGTCCCTTTCGTTGGCTGTAATTGACCTTTTTCTTCCGATGACCAACTTCCATGCGTTGTCTCTCACCTCGTTTGGTCCTAAAGTGTCCATTATAATTGGTAAGCTGTCAGAGGACAACGGCGTAGCCATTGTTGGTTCCGGAACTGCTGTACCCAACAGCAAGGATTCTATCACTTAAAACTGCTGCTCTTTTCAATTCCAAACATGTAATTGAAACATAGTATGTGAATAATTAGAAGTAGAAATCTGAAACATACTGTGAATGGAAATGTGTTTATTTCCGATGTGTCTCAATAGTATTAAAGAATATATTAAATAGCTTTAAAAATTCTATGTAATTTTAATAATTTTTATGAAATTTATGTTATTCACTTGTTTTGTAGTATTCCTCTACCTTCAGGATTGCTTCTACAATCACTCACATTATTTTCTGTGAATCATTTCCATATTCATTACATTCTATAAAGAAAATTTTGTAATAATAACTAAAAATGATTAGTGCTCAAATGAAAAATTTAAAGAATAATCATTATAGTTACTAGATTCATTCCTTAAAGATTTCTATTGTTTTAAATGGTTATATTTATCAACAGTGGTTCATCAAATTATATTTTGTTAGTAATGTTGGCTTGTCTTTAATATTATTTATTGTATATTTAAGATAATATTAAAGTATAGTTACTTATTTCATTTTGCAGGATTAACTGACAAGAAGTTATCTAAGTCATTGTTAGCATTAGACTTAAATGGTGGTGGTGTCGATTTCGCTTTAGATATACGTGACTCTGCTGTTGTATGGATCAATGATATTGAATTAGATAAACAATACCGTCGTTGGTCATCTTCTCTTCTTGATCTTCTTCGTCCCACCTTCCCTGGAATGCTCCGTTCTGTTCGCAAAAACCTTTATAATTTGGTATGATCACTTATAATAGAAATAGTGTTATTGATTAGCCATATTTAATAATCTTATATATTCATAAGAAATTAGAATAGTTGATGTAAGACAAAATTGATCAAATGATAAAAGATTTTATAAACTTATTAATGCAAATTCATATTTTTCCTAAATTAATTTTTTTTTTTCATTAAATTTACTTATTTTCTATGATGTTGCTAATCTCAATGCCTTTAAAAGAATTTTATGATCTTAAGTCGATTAAAAATTTAACTAAGAGACATGAGCTGATAATAAAGAACTATATTGCTAAAAATTAAGTTAAATTGCTGAAGACATATATGAGCTCCATGTAAAGAAAGTCTCTGCTAAAGTTCAATAATTAATAAAGACAATGGCTGAATCAGGACAAAATTATCCTTTTTACTTACCATTCTTGGACCTTAATTTTGAATGAAAATAACTATTTGATATTGCCACTTTACTGCTCCTTATTTTTGGATTCTAGCAATCTCATCTAATATATCTTCATTGATTATAATGATTTATGAAAGGAAAAATAACAGTATGAAAATGTTAGGACAGCATTATTGAATGTAATAGTTAAAGTAAAATACAGTTATAGCAATTAAATTTCCTCTATATTCCTAAATAATTGTCATATATGCATTAAAGAATTACTCTTAATGAAAAATATTTTATTTTGTTAACAGAATGAAATTTTATTTTAAAGTTAATATATATACATATTTTATGCAGATATGCATAATCTCTTCAATAGTTGTTGGCCCAGGGGTTAAATTAAATGCCAATTAACTACTGCTGTATTGACAACAGAAAAATTTCAAAAATATATGAAATCATTTGTAAATGGAGTGATCCTTAATTTATTTTGAATATGTAATTAATGCTTCAGGTAGTAATTGGAGATCCTTCTAAAAAAGAAGTGGTACCCTTGATAAAATTGCTTCAATCTTTTTTGATACACAATGCACCCTTGCATCTTGGTATTGTTTTTTCTGTCGATGAAACTAAAAATGGATATGAAGATAGTGGAATCGCAATGCTCAATGCCTTCAACTACGTGTCAGAAATTAAAGATGTCTCACAGGCACTTAACTTCATAACTGATGTAAGCAAAATTTAATTTATTTTTAATTTTAAATAATTTTTTTTAAGATAACTAATTATTTGTCATTTTTAGGTTTATGCATCTGTTGCAAATAACGACATTGCACCTGCAGATATACATAAATTATTGAAGTCTAAATTCCCAGGATTTAAGCAAGATGAAGTATTTGGTCCAGAATCTGACTACAATACTGGTATTAAACTTTCAATTGATTTCATTTCTAAATCTGGTCTTCGTAATTTACCTCAGGTATATTTTCTACTTTTAAGATTATTATTGATATTATGCTAATATTAATTTACTCTAAGTTCTATTTTTTATCCAATCTATTCAAACCCAAACTATTGTATAATACATACATAAACAAAAGCGCAACAACTCGTCACAGAGTCCAAGTAGCCTTCGCCAGTTGGCCCTATCCTGTACAGCAGTCCTCCAGTTCCGGACGCCTAGAAGAGTCCTTGCATCCTCAGTCACATCATCCATCCACCTTACGTTCGGTCGTCCCACTCTCCTCGTCCCTAAAATCTCTTCTGTGTCCACTTTCTTCGGAATCTCACCATTGGCCATTCTAGCTAGATGGCCAGCCCATCGAAGCCTTCCCAGTTTTATGACTTTGGATATCTCGATATCTTCAAAGAGCCTGTATAATTTTTGGTTCTTTTGTCTTTTCCATGTCTCACCTACTTTGATGGGTTCATACATATATCCTCCTCAATATCCCCCTTTCGAACACCAAGAGCCGTTTTTCATCCGCCTTCGATCCATAAATTAGTACTAGACTATAGATTTGTACAGGCTGATTTTTGTCTTTCTTGAAAGATACTGGCTTCTGAAGTTTTTGGATAAGCACCCGTTAGCGGTTATTATCCTATGCTTAATTTTTTTATTTCTTGGGAGATTTTTTTTTTCTTTTTTTGTGTCCTCCCCTTCCTCATCTTTAAGGCTATACTGGGTTTTCCTGGGCCAGGGAGTGAGGACAGTGGTCTATTTGGTTGGCCACTTTTCCATCCAATGATGTCCAAGTTTGCTTGTGATCTTTCTTCCTTGGATCAGCGGGCTTCCTACAATTAGTTCATGCTCGGCAGTAAAGCTTACTAGTCGGTGCCCATTGTCTTGTTGCTTATTTTGGGCCATGTTTCCCGAGAATGGGCTGATATACCTGCTTTTGGCTGACTTGGGTATTGAAGTCTTTTTGACGTCTTTTGAAGTTTTTGAAGTCTTTCTTGGGTAGTGAAGTCCAAGGATCAACTTCACATCTCGGTGAGGGCATTTGTTTTTGAACTTTAACAAGGTCTTTGTAAAAAAGGTCTTTATCCTCTTCTGTGGCAATCTCAGTTGGTGCATGTCAATTTATGATGGAATAATTAAAGGATTTTCCTTTGAGTCTGATGTAGCATAGACTATTGTATAATAATATCCTAAAACTGAGTAGAAAATCTTAAGACAACTCTCAAGTCATTGTTACCAAATATATTTCTAAAAGCATCTTGTTTTCCTAAACTAGCCATTGTTATAAAAAACTGACCCATTTTTTATAATATTCTAGTATCATTAAGAGTAAGTATCATCGTCCTGTACTTAGGAATCTGTAATGTCTGTGATGTTAAATAAATCCCAAAATTTGATAAACGTTAGACATATATTTAGGCAGGCAATACTAAATTATATTCTTAAAAATTATTTTGCATGGCTTTATTCTATGCTATGCATTGATTTTGTGAAGTTCTAATAATTTTTATCTGAAAATTAGGTTCTGCTTAACGGAGTTGCTTTACCTGAAAAAAGTTTAAATGCTGATGAATTTGAAGAAGCTGTCCTTAATGAAATAATGGTTCAAACACCAAATCTTCAGAAAGCTGTGTATAAAGGAGAATTGACTGACAAGGATAATGTAATTGACTATATCATGAGTCAACCAAATGTTATGCCAAGGTTTGATTTTATTTTTTAATGATTTCATAGCTTTATAAGTAGTAATTAACATGGTGTTATATAAATTCTAACTCTACCTAACTCAGTTTTTTACTAAAATGAGTTCAGTAGCTAACTGGAAGAATTTCTTCACAGCCGTTCATACGGGAACCATGAAAACTTCAAATATATGTTTTCAAGACTTTTTGTGCTTCAAATATAAGTTAAAAGAAGTAGCTCACTAGGAGTCAGTTTCTTTCAGCCTCTTGTAAAGTTTTAAGAAATTTAAATTAAGCGGTTTTAGAATTTACATGGTGATACATTAACCCAATTATTTATTGGTCATAGTTTGTTTTACAATTATAAAGTTTATAACAATTGAGCAGTTATAAAATAAAATAATGACAAGTTTCCAGGTGGGAGGGGAGTTAACTCTGCCATTAATCCCGGGCCCTTGAAAATCCAGTATAGCCTAAACGACAAGGAAGAGGAGGACCAAAATAAAAGTGATAAGAATATCATATGAAAATGGAAGGGCATCCATCGGGATGAATCATAAAATCCTTGGATATGCAGGTGCTAGTTATCCTTGAAAGAACTCAAGGAGATTTGCTAAGACTCTGATAAGGGAAGCAGAGCAAATTGGGCTACAACTAATTAAAGACATACTAAAATACATGATAATATGTCAAAAAATCTACTCCAATAACAAGATATGATATGCATAGAAGAGATGTCATTCCTGAAAATAGACATGTTCAAATATTTCGGCTCTAAAATAACCTCTATAAATGACTAATGGTCAGAAATAGACCTGTGATAACAAATGTAAACAGATCTTTCTTCTTTCTTTCAAAGGTATTAAAATCCATAAAATGTTTAGAATTCTCAGAATACGGATGTACACTGCTCCGATGAAGTCAGTTCTGATATAAAACTGCGAGAGCTGGATAGTAACCAACATCTTATAAAGAAATATTGAAAGAAAAATCCTCCACACAATAACGGGAGCTGTCTGGGATGAGAGTACTAATGAAGGACCAAGAATTGCAAAGAGGTTAACATATTAAGACCGAACATATAGTTGATCAGAGCAATCCATTAGGAAACCATAATAAAACAATAAATGACTGAAAATTTGGCTTGTGACCACATCAGAGGCAAAATACAAGATAGTCATAGATACTTAAAATCAACAACGATGCTGTGAGTCTTGAAGAAAACTGGAAAGCCATAGCCTAAGATCTACAAGTTCTGTAAAGCAAACAGGAAAAAAGAAAATGTATATATAACTATTGAAGTTAAGTGTTTAGAATTAATATAATATTTACTAAGTGCGAGCTATATTGAGCTATAAATTTTCTATCTGACAATTAATATTATATTTTAGGTTAAATGAGAGAGTACTTTCTTCAACAAGAAGTCACTACTTACCACTTCCTAAATTCACAAATAAGCTTACTCTCGATATGATTGATTCAGGGATATCTTATTTGTCGAGTAAATCTTCAAAACAAGGAATACATTTGTTAACTAACTGGATAGTTTGTGATCTCAGAGATGAAGATGGAAGATCTGTTCTTCAGAATGCAATTGAACAAATGGTAAGTTCCAAGTTATGTAAATAGTTTTGCCATAAGTTGTATTACAGAGAAAAGTTAAAAAAAACTATCACGTATTGAATTTTGACTGAAATTTATTTTTATTTATATATCTTATGCATAAAAAATAATTAAATTATTCAAAATACCAATATATGGCTCTATAAATAGTATTCTAGTCCATTAGGTTAGTCGTCTATAGCACTTTTGACTTGTTACTTCTTGTGAAAAATTTTCAACTGATTTTACCAATCATTTAATGAGCAGAATTAAATTCATAATTCATTTCAAGGTGGAACAAAAAAACCATCAGTGACAGTTTCATTCATTCATTCATGTATGGCACAACATCCCGTCACCGAGACTGGGCCTCCTCCAAGAGCCTCCGCCAGTTGGCTCTATCTTCTGCTGCAGCTCTCCAATTCCGCACACCAAGCAGGGTTCTCGCATCATAGGCCACGTTGTCCAACCATCTCGTCCTCGGCCTTCCTACCCGTCTTACGAGGTGCAGCTCCTCCATCATTATTTTTTTTGGTATTTCAAGGGTGCTCATTCTGGCCACATGCCCTGCCCACCTTAGTCTGGCCAGTTTAATATACGTGACTACGTCGATGTCTGCATGTTCAGTGACAGTTTAAGGGACTGGAATTCACTTTTATAGTACCACTAAACTTTTGAATTGCAAATATTAGATCAAACATCAAGCTAGAAGCTATGATGAATTATAGAATGTGTAGTGAACCCCCTAAATAGCACTTTCTGTTAACACTGGGTTTTCAAGCTAGTTTTAATCCCCGCCCGCAAGGCTCGATCAACTCAGCTTTGGTTGAAGTAGAAAGTCCCTGAGTTCTATGTTTGAGACTGGTCCTTGGGACGTCCTCATTCGAACCCTCTAGATTTCCAGCTTGGATCCCATCTGGAGTTATTGGCTTGCCACAGGAAATAAACTAGTTTCTTCAAGCTCAACAGCTTGAAAATACACTGGTGTAGGCAGTTTACAATTATCCTAATGAAGTATTGTGTGTTATAGTAGATTACTGGTCATTCAGATTACAAGCCTGTGTGGCAGGTCTACTTAAAATAATGTAAATTTTATTTATTTGTAAAAATGAAATCAATAATCCATTTTTCCAATTTTTTTTGTGATACAAATATTTGGCTTATTTATTTCTTTGTTATTCAATGCCCTAACAGTTCTTGTAAAACAGCAGTAGATATGAACCACACTAAATCTGAATAAAATGGTTCTTTTTTAAAATTATAAATTTTAGTGTTATCTCTAATAAAAAGTTGATCTGATTTTTTTTTTTTCTCCCTTCTAAGAATCATTTACTTACTCTGTTTTTAATTTACTAGGAAGGAAGTGGAAAAATAAGGATTGGTCTAATAATTAATGAAAGGGAGACTAAAAGTCCTAGTTGCGATATAAACAGGATTGCACTTGCTGTTCTGAGGCAACTTCCTTCTGATAAAGCTCTGGAGAAAGTGAAAGATATATTACAAGACTTCCCTGCTATAGAGGCTGGTATCAGAACCTTCAGTGACTACGGTGTCTCTGTTAGTAGCAACTTTTATTATACATAGCAATGCCTGTTATTATCACTAAATAATAATTATTAACAAAATAATTGATTGTCGCTGTTGACCAGCCAGACCAGGAGGAAATAGAAACTGCGATCCAGTTACACAGGCAGTTTTCAAAAGAGATCCTCAATTTTGATAGAGGTGTGAGGGGAATAGTCAACAATGGTAGGCTTATCGGTCCATTGCAGGCTGGTGAAGACTTTACTGTGGATGACTTCTCTCTTCTTGAAAGGTTCTCTTTGTCTACATATGTTGACAAAATATATACTGCTATTGCAGCAAATTCTGTGGGTTAGTTATTTTTCACTAATTATTATATAAATTAAATTCTACTTTGCAGCTCTTTTTTTTTTTTTTTTTTTTTTATTATTATTATGGATTTCACTGCTTTGTTAGAAATGTTGTCCATTCTGTTTACTCCTTCTTTCTGTATAAAGAAATATGTAGATAGTTTGGTGTCATGATTTAAAATCATCTACTTGCCTATTACCTGATTCAATTGTTGATATATATTACTGATTGTAAAAAATGTTTTTTATGAATGCTTCAAATATTCTGGCAAACTAATTTATTCTATTCCTATTTTTAGATTTAGATACTGTTACAAGCGATATGCTTATGAAGTCTGTATCCCTCCTTGCCTCACGCCCTGAATCTAAAAGTCGTTTTGAAATAACACCTACTGGGGAAGATTTTAGGTTAGAACGAATATCCTTATTACATTAATGTACATATTATTGTATTTTTGTAAATATATCTTCAAATATATTTTTCAGTGTAGTAAAACTTATGGCAAATGATGATGGGCCAGCCTTTGACCTGGTTGCTATCGTAGATCCAGTATCGAGTGGGGCACATATAGTTGGCTACCTACTTTCAACTCTACAGCAAGTTGTGAGAGCTGATATTAGAATTTTCTTGAATTGTGTAGAGAAGAACAGTGATATGCCTTTGAAAAGGTACATGTTTATTTTATATTTTTTTATGTTATAGGCCCACATTTCTTATTTATCAATAGATTTATTTCATCAATTTTTTTAGCACTTATGAATGCTTACTCTTGTTAAAACTTGCTAGCCTCTCATTTGCTGGTAGCGAGACATGGATATTCTTTTACCTTTATTTTTATAGTTGTCAGTGTTTCGCCCTCCTTTTTCCTTTCTCCATTTGCTTAAATTACTTTTTCTAATTTAGGATAATTACGTTTTCCTCTGCCTCGACTCTGATCAGTTTAGTACTAATAACATCAGTTCTAGCATAAAACTTTATTCTTTAAATGTATGCACTTATAATTTCAAAATGTACTTCTGTTTCTTCCCTAAGGAGCTTCTTTATGCCATCTTAAATATCCTAGTATGCATTAGTATTCAATTCAATGGCATACAAGCATCACTGAGTTCTGCTATCACATAGCAACCTCTTAGCCTGGAGCTCCATTTCAGCCTTGATGAGTTAATATCCTTCTTTATCCATGGTTGAGACCTTCTCTACTTTCCCTTCACCTTTTCAGTTCTTAATTAGATGAACCTATCAAAGGAAAAAAAAAAAAAAAACATGTTTTGCTAGTTTTTATTTATAAAGTACTGAGGTCCCTCATAATGAAAAGGAGTAGTTTTAAACTTAAGTTGCACGACTTCCAGGTTAGGTGTGGACTACTGCTCGAGAAGACATCTAAATTTGTAATAATTGTAGTTTAATTAGTGATTTCATGTAAAAATGAATATGCATGTTCATATTGTTAATTCAAAACCTTGTTATTTATTGTAGTTTTCAGTATTTATTTGTTATTATTTAAAACATGTCCAAAAACATATCTATATAAAGATAGGTAGGTATGCAGAAGACGATTTTTTTGTATGTAAGCATGGATACATAAAGGTAAGAAACAACTCCTATAAAGAAAACACTAAAAGGATAGTTCATTGCATAGAAAGTGTTACATTACAATTTTTTTTTTTTTAATATTACAAAAAAAATGTGTCAAACATTTGAAATCTTATTTTAATTAATGTATTTTTTTTTTTTTCAGTTTTTATCGTTATGTCCTGGAGCCATCATTACAGTTCACATCGAGTGGTAGTTTGGGTTCAGGCCCAGTAGCGAGGTTTTCCAACATGCCAGGTACTCCATTACTAACTCAGAACATGTTAGTGCCTGATAATTGGATGGTAGAAAATATTGCAAGTCCTCATGATCTTGATAACATCAAACTTGATCAAGTTGATTCCAATGTACACAGGTTTGTCTGTCTCTTTATTTTGTCAAAATAATGGATTTATTCTTATAATAATTATACATTGCATTTCTTGCACTCTTAGTAATATTATTTATTGTTATTAGATATCAAATTCACAATTGTCTTATATTTTTTTTTTTAGTCAGTTTGAATTAGAATATCTAATTGTGGAAGGACATTGCTTTGACTCAGTTCTTGGGTCTCCCCCAAGAGGACTTCAGATAACATTGGGAACTGACCGATCACCAACTGAATTTGACACTATTGTGATGGCTAACCTTGGTTACTTTCAGCTAAAGGTATTATTATTATTTTTTGCTATATTGAGTAGTTTTGTCAAATAATTATAAAACTTCTTTAAGTTGAGTATTTGTCTCGGTATTTTTTCCGAAGTTAGTATTTTTACTTTGAATAAGAAAGGTAGCTCCACTGACTGAAAACTACAGGCTAATAAGCTTATTTTCGGTGGCTTACAAACTATACTCCTCAATCTTAGATAGGAGACTAAGGGCCGCAGTCGAGAACCAAATAGAAGAAGAACAAGCAGGCTTTCGTCCAGAGAGGCAGATTCAGGACCACATCTTCATAATGAGAAAGTTTGAGACAGAGATAAGAACATATGTGACTTTCTTAGATCTCAAAGCAACGTTCGACTACATATTCCCCAGGAAAGAAAAGTGGGATGCTTTGAAAGCAAAAAATGTTCCAGGAGATCTTATCCCAGCTATTACATGGATTTATCAGGAAGCTAAAGGAGTTGTAAGCATAATGGAAGATAGTCCAAGCCTTTTCCCATAGAAAGATGTCTGAGACAGGTAGACAGCCTCAGTCCCCTCTTATTCATAAAATTTGTAAGTGCTGTACTGCTTGGACGATCATCGGTAAATGGAACATGAATGTGGTTCAAAGCTTAATGTATGCCGATGACATCGTACTGATAGCAGATACGAAAGACAAACTGCAACAAGCTCTTGTGGGATGGAAGGAAGAGCTTCTCCGCAAAGGAATTGCTATCAAGACCTCTAAGAGCAAGATCTTACTTCTTTCAAGAGAGGAACAAGACGACGTCTAGCTGATATGTAATGGTGAGGTATTTGAGGTTGTGCAGGAATTTATCTATTTGGGGACAGTCATAAGCAGTACGGGGAAGATTGACCCAGAAGTAGCAAATAGGATTTGCAAAGCCAACCAGATTTATTATCCTATCTATAACACCACGGTGGGACAAAGAGACGTTAGTAATGAAACAAAACGGCATATATTCAAGTCGGTATACCTACCAATCCTGACTTACGGAAGTAAAAGCTGGGTTTTGCTGGAAAAGCAGGCCAATTGGGTAACTAGTGTTGAGATGAAGTTCCTGCGGAGGGCCATTGGTAAGACCAGAAGGGACCGTTCCAGGAATGAACAGGTACAGAGGAGCTGGAGGTGGTAGAGCTTAAGACAATGCTTCAAAATCGACAACTGAAGTGGTTTGGCCATGTTTGTTGGATGTATGACGAAAGAGAACCTCAGAAAGTGATAGAAGCTCGACCCACTGGGAGGAGACCGCGAGGCCTACCCAGAATTTCCTACCAGGAGTACATTCAGCTGGTTGGAGAGAAGAGAGGAAAGACTCCAAGAGATTAGTCAGCTTGGCTGCATTGGATACTTATATATATATATACTTTCAGAGATATACTTTCAAATCTCTCTAGGCATATAATCTCTATATTCAACCCATAAATGATTATGGATTGTACGACTACTAGTTATTAAAGTTATATTTAGCATTTTTTCGTAACTCTTAACTATGAGAGGTAGTAAATAACTTTAAATAAACCAAATTAAAGGTACTTCAGTGGAAGACATGTTCAATATTGGGCATTTAGGGCATTTAAGCCCTGAAAGTGACATCGATGGGGATAAGTTCTAAATGATATTAAAGACCACTTAATTATATAATGATATACCGAGTTTAATCAAAATCTTCAGATCTGTTATTGAGAAAATTGCAAAAATGTGTATAACCATTGATATGAAGTGGCACTTCCAGTTAGCCGATTTTAAAGAAAAAGTTGCTGTAACATCCCAGCCATATACCTATCTTAAAAAATACGTAATATCAGTTTCGTAAAACTTTTCGTTTTTTACTTTAGGCTAATCCAGGCTTATGGAAGTTGAGACTACGTCATGGCAGATCAGAAGCTCTCTATGACATCACTGGTTATAGGTAAGGGAAATCTTAAGTCATAAGTTATTATATCATTTATATTGTAGTATAATTAGCAATATTGTAGTATAAATATTATATTGTAGTCAAATTTTTTTATTTCTTTTTTCATTTTTTATCTTAACTCATAAAAATATTTTAGATTGCTGCAAAAATAATAGTTGATAATATCAATATATTTGTGAAAGTTTCCCTTTTTATAATTTTTAATTTAAACATAAAAATATGTTGCTTATTAAACAATATCGATTTATTTAAATACTCACTAGTAATGAATTTCTTTAGTTTTGCAGGTGTTGAATATCCAGTAAATTCGTCTGAAATAAAAGTAGTCCTTAGCTCATTCCGAGCACACACTGTCAAACTGAAAGTGACAAAAAAACCTGATAAAAGTGGAATAGACTTATTGGGAGAAGATACTGAAGAGCAGTCAAGTTTGTGGGGATCTATTACCAAGTAAGAATATTTTAGTATTTTTGTCTGAGTATTGTATGAAATTAATGTAATTATTTGCAATTTTTTGTTGATCTACCCTGGAACCAGGAGATCCTCTCGGGGTATACCCAGCCTCTATAATTAATTAGATAATTAATTGATGAACAGATAAAACCTTGTGGTTGAGCATGATCTCGGTCCAATCGCCTCCCTATACAACTGTTGGCCTTGCAACAGTACTTCCTCTCATTGTACTGAACCCAAGACCCTTACCCTTCATGGGTTGTTAGTGGTGCAGGGATTTTTTTTTTCAATTAATACTATCCTATAGATAAAAAATAATAATATTTACTATTTGTGTCACTTTTTAATTTATAAACATTAAAAAGCTGAAGTTCAGAGTTAATTAAAAGGTAATCCAACAGATATAGTTATAAACATATAAACTTAATTAACGGCAAGAATGATCTACAGTTTTATGCCTTAACTCCATAACAACCAACCAAAAGCTAAGCTGAGATTTAACTATTTGTTTTCTCATTATTGGACTACTTTTTGAGCCTGTTGTATTTTAGTTTATATATAACTTATTGTTTTAATTATTACAGTACGTTTGGAGGTGGCAGTAAGGCAGATGCTGCTGAAGGAGAACAGGAACCAATAAATATATTCTCTCTTGCTTCAGGTCATCTATACGAACGTTTCTTGCGTATTATGATGTTAAGTGTACTTAAAAACACTAAGAGCCCTGTAAAATTTTGGTTTTTAAAAAATTATCTATCTCCTACTTTGAAGGTATGATTTTTATATCATGGAATTATCATGTTTTTAATACTATTATTTTTTAATTTAATGTTTTCATAATAGCGGTAAATATAAATTTTCTTCTAGTGGGTAAAATTATCAACTTTATCATACTGTATTTATATTATAATTTACTAGCCTACATATTCATTTCCCAAACTAAGGGAAGACTAAAAAAAAATGATCCTCCTATCAAGGATATTGTTGAGTTCCCGTTTTTACTTCTATGTATCAATGTTTTATTTCAGGATTTCCTTCCTAGAATGGCTAAGCATTATGGCTTCCAGTATGAACTTGTTCAGTACAAATGGCCTAGATGGCTTCATCAACAGACAGAAAAGCAGAGGATCATTTGGGGTTATAAAATTCTGTTTCTTGATGTTCTATTCCCTCTGGATGTAAAAAAAATAATATTTGTTGATGCAGACCAGGTAATTCTCCATAAAGTATCTTTTCTTTCACTAAAAATAAGAATTGTCTCATTTAATCTTGAAAGTTCAGAAATAATTAATATTATTTAATAATTACCTTTTAAAAAAGTTCCTGGTCATGACCCCATCGTACATTGTTACTCTGTAAGTTTAGGTTGTGAAGACTGTATTCCACTTTTCTGCATTTTCATCATGTGGTTACACTATATCATCAATCATTGTAGCGTGAACAGTACTACAGGATCACATTACAATTAATCCACTTCTACCTCACTGATAGAATCACCAAAGTAAATCGTAATCCATTTATTTTTCTCAAGTTTACTAATGTTCCTCAACTATGTGTTGACAAGTGTTTTGCCTAGAATCCTCTTGCAAGACTGAAACAACTAGAAACTGTTTGTAGATTCCAGTTGTTTCAATATTTACTTGGCAAACACCCTAAATCTCCTATATAATACAAAAAGCTTATCTACATTACCATTATCAGACCCATTGGGACATTAGACGTTTTGGAGCTCCACTAAACCATCAAATCCTTCAAAGAATACTTAATACTTCTTATATTTTCAAAAATAAAATTATTAATCAGGCTTCAATATTCTGTTTGTTGTAGCTTTTTTTGTGGGCGGGGTGGCCGAATGGGCTAACACGTGTGCACTGCACCGCCGTTGCCCAGCAACCTGATATATGACTCAGTGATATAAAATAGTCACAAGTTCGGGTCCCGTTGCCGGGGGAGTCTTTTAAATCCCCACTCATACCTCTTGGCTCGGGAAAACCCCGTATAGCCTTAACGGCGAGGAAGGGGAGGACCCAAAAAAAATTCTGTTTGTTGTAGATTTGTCCTAAAATAAATATACCTGTTTTAGTTATAATCTTCTTAGTCATTTTAATCCCCTTCTTAGTTCACAATCTTTCATCCCAAACTATTTTCAATGTCCCTCTGAGGCATCTGAAATCATAATGGTGCCGCCCCAGAGGACCTCCTAAATTTAAATAATTATTGAAGTGCTACCAATGGGTAATTGCTTCACAAGCTATTATTATCTTTTATATTCTTAAAGCAAATTTGCTTATTGTATTTTATTTATACAGTTGTAAATTAAAATAAAAAATATAAATTTGAAAATTACTCATGTTTTATAATTTATTTATCTAATGCAATATTTTAATTTATTGAACTTTCCTTTGCTTAGGTTGTGCGTGCAGACATGAAAGAATTAGTTGATCTTGACTTGGGTGGAGCACCATATGGGTATACCCCCTTCTGTGAAAGTAGGACAGAAATGGATGGTTTCAGGTAATATATGTCGATGACAAAGTATAAGTACTTTATTATAAGTTACTAAATTATTTGTTATGTATTTTTCAATTTGACTAAGAATTTGTTTTATCAAACCTACAGGGTATATGTTTTGAGTAAACAACTGTTATTTTTAACTCACAAAGTTTGTGAACAGTTATTAAAATTTTATACGATTAAAAATTCTGATGAATTATTTTAACCTCAAAATTTACAAATTAAAAAATGAGTCAAATAATAGCCTCTAGCTTTTTACTAACAAAGGGAGGTTATGGACGTGGGGTCACCAATTTCAATGAAACTTTTTTTGGTGATACTAGGGCAACAAATATTTGATCCGTGTCTGAGGTTTCTTGCCAATGTACCCTATTAGCAAAGAAAACATTTTTTTTATAAAATTGTATTGTTTTTTATGTTACTGTTTTCTAATTTTGCACTGCATGGATTTATAAGTTATTACATATCAATCGATTTGTTTTTTTGTATAAAGTAAGAAAAATATATTGCGAATTGTATTAAACGAATAATTACTAAAACCCATAGAGGCTTCCAGTAAAGTAGGCCAAATACATTTTCTTTCATAAAAAAACGAATCAGATTCGTTTTTAGGATCCACCAAAACTCTTAAATAGGAGTTTGTTTTGAAATTAAAAAATTTAAATTTTCGACGTACTTTTATGGGAAGGTTTTTTTTTGTTTTTTTTTAATGCCGTTCAGTAAAATATTCATAACTTCTCAGGTTTCTCTCCTATGTCAACGTTCCTACACCTGTTGGAAAGCTAAATTATTGCTCTTCAAAACTATATCGATAACTTTTACATTTCACGCCTTTATAAGGAATAAATAAATAAAAACTAAAATATATATTTAGAAATATAATATATATATATATATATATATATATATATATATATATATTATTTATATATAAAATTGTTTTGTTGAGAGTAAGCATGTTTTGTGGTTGTGGGTGAGAACCCCAGGATACTCCAGCTAAAGATTTTAATATGTTCAAGTTTTGCAGCGACTGTGTATGAATATTTTTTATATGAGTTTTGAAATTTAATTTACTATCTAATGTTACATCTAAAAAGTGTTCTTAACTTTTAAGTGTGTATTGTTCATTTGAAATCTCAAAAGCTTGTAAGTTTATCTTTCTTGTTCTAGAAAAAAGAGTAATGCTGCACTTGTTAGGATTAAATTTTAGGTTTATTATTGAAAACGCTTGTCTTAGGCTGTCCAGTGCTGAGCCAATTATGTCTTTGCCTTCTTATGCATATTTCGCTGCAGTATAAATTAAAAAGTCGTCTGCAAATTGGATGGTTTTACATTTATCTATTGTATTGTTAGTAATGTGTTTTGTGTAAAGATTGAAGAGGGTTGGACTCAAAGTATCTCCTTGAGGGAGACCATTGTACGTTTCAAAAGCTACTCGACCTTCCCAAATATCCAGAAAATATGTTCGATGTGTTAAGTAATTTATTATTCACTGAGTTAGTTTCGTAGGGATCTGCAGATGTTTTAATTTAGATAGTAGGGTTTATATTTATATATGGTCATATGCTTTGTCAATATTTATTGTTAATGCCACAAGGATCTTTCTTTCTCTGTAAGCATTGTAAATGTCATTGGTAACATTACCTTTATTAAACAAAAGAAACTATATAAACTAGTGGAAAAATTGTAACCTCTTAGACTACCATATTTTGAAGATACATAATTTGATTGTTGGAAACATATTGCTCACAATCTCTACAATCTTGTATTATTGATTTATTGGTTGATTTTATGAGAGAAAAAACAATGATAGAGCATTTAAATGTATATACATTAAGTTCATTCGGTCTTGTTGCTGTAATATAAAAGTATATAAAGTATACATTCATACTTTTCTCACATACACCTGACTATTGGAAGATTAACTAGAAATATGTACTTTTTATTCAAGCAAATGAATCTAATGTATTTACTTGTATAAGGAAAGAGATGGTCTAGGTACCAGTCAAGAAAGGAACCTAAAATAGTACAAACTATTTTTCAAACATCAGACATTCAATAAATAGTTTTTACTATTTGAGTTTTCTTAATTGACCACCATCGCGGACCATTTCTTTGCTTATTATGTATACTGTAAAATAATAAATATCCAGTTAACTTGTTTAGTAAATAATTTTTTTGCTATTGAGTTTTCTTTCTTAATCATCACAGACCATTTCTTCGCTTATTATGTTTACTATAAAATAGTATACATCCAGTTTACTTGTTTAGTTGTAGTAATAACACACTCTGTTAGTTTTATATAAAAATAGGATATTGGTTTTCATAGATTCTGGAAGAGTGGCTACTGGAGGAACCACTTACAAGGACGGAAGTATCACATTAGTGCTCTATATGTGGTAGATCTGAAAAGATTTAGGAGAATAGCTGCGGGTGATAGACTCAGGGGGCAGTATCAAGCTCTTAGCCAAGATCCTAACAGCTTGTCCAACCTTGATCAGGTATTTTATCTTCTCTAAATTAAATGTTTTATTTAAAATTAGAGTAAATTAATTTTTAAATTAGAAGTATTTCCACCTTATCGGATATAAGACATCCATAGTGAGATAACCATATTTAATCTGATATTAGATGGTGTGCTCATGCCCTCTGGTATTATACAATATTGGAGAATATTTCATATGACCGGGTGCCCTTTTCTTGTGTAGATAAAAAAAAAAAAAAATCAGGTTCGGGAATATTAGTGAATTATATAACCTGAATGATGTTAAATCTTTATATTTTAATTAAACTGATTTCCCTGAAGATGCTATCGCTTGTTAAAGGTGTTTGTTTACTGAACTTACAACATACAATAATTAGTGGGGGATCGGTCTCATGCCTTTAGATTATGCCTGTTTTCTCGTAGACCACTACTCCCGCCTCATTGCCACGTTCAGAGAGGTGAAGCTGATGGGCTGATTTGTGACTCCTCTCTAATCGTCAGTGTGTGAGGTCAGGCTCATAGCTGTTCGCTGATAAAGGCAGCCGGGGCGTTCAGAGGGTACTTATCAGGCACTTGAACTTGAAACTTTGCTGTCAGTGAGAGGGAGTGAAACAAACTGAAACTGGTGGCCCGTGCGTAGTGTATACAATTGAATATTAATTAATAATAAATAAAAGAACTAAATTACTAGGATGTAAATCTGACAAGTATATTTAAGAATGTACTACTTCCTACATCTCAGGAAGTGGGATATTTGGGACTTCAATTGGACTATTATGCAGGTTACTTGATCCAGACATTCCAAATTACTGTAAAGAACAGACTCCTACTATAAACTAATTCAATCTTTATTGACATTCGCGATGGAGCTGTGGAATCTGCGAAAATCTTAAATATCCAAAGAATTCTGGGTTGCGATCTTAACTAACTTGTAACACAAACCCTTTACCATAAATAATTAGATGGTGACTTTCAAAGTGGTAGCCAAAAGACTTTCTAAAGTAACCATCGTTCATTGCAAAAACATAGCCTCCTACGGAGTGGGAAGGTCAAGATCCATTCATTGGATCCACAACATAATACAACCAACCCACTAGACTTGAGGTTGCTAAGTTAATGACACCTAATTTCTCTCGGCTGCCGCAGACTCGCATATTTTCTATGGATAAAAAGTTAAATATACTTATAGATAAAAATACTTTTTAATACAGAAAACACAGTGAATAAAGTTGTTTTAATATTCTATCAACCCTATCCATGGCCTAATAACTTCCGCTAAATTACATACTTAGTGCATTGTATGTTTTAATTAAATTCAAATAAATACCTTAATAACAATCTAAGTTAAGTTGTATTATGTATATCTTCTCTTTTATTTATGGCCATTTTAGAAATTATTAATTGAAATATAAGTTCAATCTAAAAGTCACATTATATACTTTTTTTTTTAATATATCCCTAGAAAACAATTTCATATAAGAATGGTCCTTAAAAAATCGAGACAATGTATTATTATTTTTTTTGTAGATTATTAGGTTTACTTATAATTATTATTTTTTTCACCAGGATCTACCCAATAATATGATACACCAAGTAGCAATTAAATCACTTCCTCAAGAATGGCTGTGGTGTGAGACTTGGTGTGATGATTCCTCCAAGAAGAGAGCAAAGACAATTGATCTAGTGAGTGTCCACTTTTTGCATTTCAAGAAATTCAGTTCAAATATTCATGAAACAGTAACTGTAAAACGTTCATATGTTGTAGTGCAACAACCCGATGACCAAAGAAGCTAAGCTGACTGCAGCTATGAGGATAGTTGGAGAGTGGAAAGACTATGACAATGAAATTAAAAGACTGCAGTTGCAACTTGGAGAAACTGAAGATCATGAGGAAGAAGCTATTGTTCCACCAGTACAAGGTATTTAATTATTATAGTTTTTTAGTTAATTATTTTCAATAATCAACCTTTGTATGATTAGTGAGTTATCCTTAAGGTTGTTGTAATATTTTTGAATGTGGTGTAAAAAAGAAAAAAAAAGATGTAATACCATAAGGGTTGTAATTAGTGACCGGATTTCATGTTATTGCACATTTTATTTTCTTGCATGTGAAAACTATAAACCCGTTTATCTATCTGTTTTACAATCTTTAGAATAACTTTGAAATTTGATGTTTTTCCTTTTTCGTTATAAATTACACAATTTTGATTTTTGTTGCATCAAATTGAACTTTTTGAGCTGAATTAGATGATTTATAATATATATATGTTTAAATATTTACTGTTATATTTTACTATCTCGTTCATATCAAATTTATGATTTTAAAAAGAAAAGTATGAAGAAGGTAAATAATTCTGTGACTAGCAACAGTTCGAATTTAACGTTACAAAAGGAAGAAGTTAACATAAGTGGAGAATATTCTTGGAATAGAACTTGCTTAAAATATTGGGAAACAATAAAAAAGTGTCTTCATAGAATAGAATAAACTGTTAAGTTAGAAAGACATTTATCGTTATTGTTTTGATTTGAATTTTCACTCATTGAAGTGAATTATAGGAATTTCTTAATTATTAAAAATTAAATAATGCGAAAACAAAAGTAGTTTGATTAGAAATCACAGGTAGACAAACAGTCATTGTAGAACAGGTAAGAAAAGATATTCCAATTAAAGAAATACATTTTTTTTTAAAGAGCATAAGTCCCAAAAATATTTTTTTAAGTGATTTAGAAAAATAGCTTCAACACTAATAACTGAATGCTTGAAAATCTCAAGTATTACAGTCTACTTATACAGTTTCTTTTAAATTCTTAAGAATTTCATTTTCAATGTTGCATTGTTAATTTTAAATTAAATTTTTTTTTCTCATGGCACATTGTCTGAATTAAAGTGCACAACACAAGGTTTGGTTAGATTTCAATGTATCTATATAATAAATTAAACTAAATTGATGAGTTTTGTTCGTTGTTAGGTGTTAATTAACAATTTTACATATTTTTATTTCTTACTGCACAAAGATCCGGTCTGTAGTAATAATGTTTTTTATACAGAGATGACTCAATTTGTATGAGATTCTTCCCTCAAAACAAACAAAGTTTAAATTAAATTAAAATTAAAAATAATCAACCTTGTAATCAACCAAATAAAAGTTAACTCCCCTCTCAAAATTTGAGGTTTTGCGTTTTAAGATACAGAGAATCTGAAATTCACATTAAAAAAATCCATCCGTACGCCGTCCGCGGCTTTTCGATTGTTTACTGGATCGATTGTTTTGAGATTTGACAATGTCAAAGGATACTTGAAGATGATCCTTGGAACTCGCCATTATCATCTCCCCTTTCTATCAAGATGGTGTGTCGCTGCAAACTGTAATGCCTACAGTTATAGACTGATTTCAATGAAACTTAGCCAAAGTTTTCTCCAAAAAGTACTTTCATTCCCAAAAAACCTGCACTGTTTACACTTGTGCCTGAATGAATGTACCAATTTCAATGAAACTTAGCTAAAGTATTTTCCTTTGAAGCCTTTTAAATTTATCTATATAGTATACTTTATCAAAAAGCATACACTTTTTTTATGAATGTTGTACTGGTCATTTAAAAGTTAAAGAAATTTAAAAAAAAAAAAAACACAATAAGAATTGTTGAAATCGAAGGATTTGTTGTATAGATATGTTGTTCTAAATATTTCTCACATGTTCTGCTGCAAAGTTATATTCTTTGGATAGTCTCACATCAACTGAAGCAATCCGGATTGTTATCTATATTTCTTAGAAAATTACTGATGATGAAAACAAAAAATTATTTAGGCCAATATTAGGGATTCACTTTTATTTATTTTCCTGTATTTGACTAGGAAAGCAATGTTACATTTGAAATGTAACTATTTGAAAATAAAACCATTGTGTAATAATTTGCAACCTTTTTTATATGTGTATGTGTTTTTGAAAAGTCATTATTTAAAGAAAAATAATTAAATCCCTTCGCTATTTATTACATAACCTTACACTAAATGAACAGAGATCACCCTCTTCCTTGAATCATCCTATGCAATCATCGATACACATATGCTTAAGGATCAGATAATGTTATAAATAAAAAATTTTATGTTTGCAATAGCTGCAAATGTCAAATACTTCAAAAGGAAAATAAAATCGTCCTCCCTCCTGACCATTGGGTGAAGGGAAAGGGTTCTCCATTAATTATATACCTCTTGAGTTAATTATACAAAACTTTTTACTACTCTCTTATCAGCCAACTGAAGTTATGTAGGAATTTTTTAACCCTTATAATTATACAAACCACAAGGACATCTGAATGGCTGCATGGTGATTGAGGTTTTTTTATCATGTTATTATTAATTTTAGTAATTAATTTATACACATGTTTATCATTGACAGTTATGTAATACTTATAATTAAGTAATACTTATAATAGTAATAAATCAAAACTTCTGCTTGAGGGATAAATCAAAACTCGACTACACTTTTTTACAACTTCCATTTTTAATGAAATGTGCCATAGTTTCTGTTAGGTTACTAATGATTATTTAAAATCAAGCCCCAGTCTTCTTTTCTATAAAATATTATTCCATAATTACACATAATTTCTTATTCGTTCCTTATAAAAATAGAGAACTGTAATTTTAAAGGTATAGTTAAGTATAAAAGCCAATGATACTTATATATTAAAATTGTTATTTTAAAATGTTTAATGTGAATATTATTTAAAAATTTATTTAGTTTAGACCATAGACAAGGAACCTTTTTACCATCAGAGGTCACGTTAAGGTTAGGCAGTGATTGTAAATTTATTTATATTTCATATATAAACTTTAATTTTAAAGATATATATAAACTTTAATATATATTATTAAATATTAATTGATGAGACAGCAAGTTCCTCGCCTATAGTTTGAACTTTTTCATATTCCAGCTACAATAGGGTGAAAACATTTGTTAATATTTATTTTGTATTTTAGTGCCAGAAGTACATGAGCATTCCGAGCTCTAAAAGAAACAAATCTTCACTGTGATTTTTTTCATCATCACTCACATCAAGCCTAATTGTGCCAGTAAAAGACTTAATTGTACAGCTGTTTAATATAATTCTCTTGTGACATATAAAAACATAATATGTTGTAAGTATTTGTAATTTATAAATAAATTGTTTGTTTTTTTGTTTTTTAAAAATCATTTCTTCTACCCTTTTTAAAATTGTCTATTTTTTTTTTAAGTTTTAGTTTTTAAAGTAATTATAATAATGAAGAGAGTAAAAGTAGGAAAAATTAATGTTTTGGGACTCATTGTTTTTATTACTTTTTTAATAAGTTAATTATCATTTTATTGGTAATTACGTCTTTATAACAACTCTAGATTATTTTTAGGTGTTTTGAGAGTTTTCTGGTGATTGTAAACTCATGTTGATATCAAAATATAAAGAACTTTTTCTAACTTTCTGAGTGGATAACATTCAAGGGCTCGAAATAAATTTAATATTTTAATTAATTAAATGCTTTGGAAATATCTATGTGTATGCGTAATAACATGCAGTAATACTGAATATTGAGTAATTAAATGAAGTTAATTAATGGCCATTTAACGGTATACATATATTGTGATCAAGTCTATTGTTAATCTAGTACAATATGAGTGATTACTAATTAAGGGGAAATGGCTGCTTGCTACTAATAAGTGAAATATTTTTGTTTTATTTAACATAAAATTACAATTTATGTACAGTTAGGATTTATAATTTATAATGTTTTATTTACAACATATTGTTCTTTGGAGAATATTTTGATCTTTGTTATTGTGAAGCGTCGCCCTCTTTGATATGAAGGGACTTTTGGATTCTTTTAAGAGCCCTGATTGTCGCGTTCTCTTCATGCTCACAAATGTATCTTGTACGATGACCGCAGTCGACCCCCTGGTATTGATACAACTTGGACTTGTTAAGCGCTAGAGAAAGGCAGCGACCACTTCCAACAACAGTTTCTTCTGGGCGGTTACTGGGCTTCTTAGGTAGCACTGGGCGTGCACTGTTGGCCCATATCCACAGCAGTCCTGGGTTTAAGCCACCAGTCCAAAATTCATATCCTGTTGTAAGATTTAATGATTAACTAAATATAAAATCATACTGATTACTTTAACTATTTATTTGTATTTCATTTATAATATTAGACATATTGTTTAAAAAAAAAAAAATGGTGATTTAAATTTTAATGTGTTTACACTTGAGTTTAAATCACCACTATAAATTAAAATTGATTTGAATTGTAAATTTTAATAATTTATCACATGTCTATTTTCGGCCAAAGGTCACCAAAAAAACACAGTGTTGTTATCTCCTGTCTGCTTTATTCAACGTTTCGGCTTCAGGAGCCATTTTCAAGAACCTGCAAAACATGCACCGCGCCATAAAATTTTTCATTGCGATATGATTCGTCCTAATTCATTCTTTTATTTCAAAGAATGAATTAGGACGAATCATATCGCAATGATAAATTTTAAAAATTTTATGGCGCGGTGCATGTTTTGCAGGTTCTTGAAAATGGCTCCTGAAGCCGAAACGTTGAATAAAGCATACAGGAGATAACAACACTGTTTTTTTGGTGACCTTTGGCCTAAAATAGACATATGATAAATTATGAGAAAATGGCACCAAACACGAATGATGTGACTAGAAAAGTAAATTTTAAATAAAAGAATATTTTTTTTTATTTAAAGTTATTAAATGCTATGTGAGTCAGAAACAGAACATTGCATCTTAAGAATATTTAGACAATATTATTCAATAATGTTTCATGTAACAGTTGTCTCATATTTTGTATTTGGTAGTCTAAAATTACGCAAGAATTTTTATTTAGTGTTTGTGCTCTCATTCTCCCTGCTATAGGTATTCCCATGACTATTATAACTTCTCATCATTTCTTGTGTATGTGGAGGAATCTGTTAAGTTTTATAGGATTATTTAATTATAAGCAATATGTTTATTAATAGGATTGTGTTATTTACATTTAGATGCCTACTTTTTACATCCATAAGTAATAGAATAAGTGATATTAATATTGCTGTAAACCATGTTTTTAGAATAATGGCCAATTTCCATTGGACTGCCTTTTTAGGGAATAAAGAAAAGTTATTAACATGTAACTGAAAATAGACGTTAACATTCTTTAGTCCGTCCATACTATTCCAGAATGATCGCAAAATTTATGTTATTGCCATTGTTATTTGTAAACAGAATTATATTAACATTTACTATTAATGGAATAAAATTTTAGTAAAAGCTGAAGATATTTGTTAGGGCAAATAGTAGAAAAATATTAATAACTCTTATTTTATTATCATAGTTAACCCTGCTATAAACCCACCTTTAGAGTTTTAAGTTAGGGACATGTATAGGATAAGGTGAGATTCAGTCTAGTGTAAGGGCAATCAAAGAGGTATAAGATCTGATTTATATCTTTTGTAGACTAATCATGTGTAATAATGATTAGTCTACAAAAAATAGTTGGCTGCCCATAAAGTGATGGCTCATAATAAAGAATTTTGTGGTTTTCTTTCTTAGAGTAAATGTACTAGTAATAGACTAGTTTTCAACTCATTAAAATGTAATAAGCTTTTCATACACCCAAAAGAGAGTGCAAATACGATTATAGATTTGAAACTAGAATACTTAGGAAGGTGATACCGGAACCTCAGGTGATATGCCATAGTAGCCGATTGATTTTTCAATGGAGCAAGGCTGGTTGTTTGCTTCAGTGGACTTTCCTTATCATTCTTTATGAGATAGGTTTGAATTTTGTATTTATTCATCTGTAGTTTGCCATTATCTTGTTTAAAACTAGAGAATTTATTTTTAATTATATAAAAAAAATATGTTGACCCCAAAACCCAATTGTCTATTACTGCTACAAAATACGCTGTCAGAATTTTCTAAGTTTTTCATGAATAATAAACTCATATACTTTATAGAAAAACAAAATTGGTAAAATACTAAATTTGCTGTCAACTACATCCATTCACAAAGATCCACTGTCAAAACGTAAGTTGTGATTCACATTAATGTCGAAAAATTCTCTTAAAGTGTCTCTTACCGGTACATTTACCTTATTACTTTTTTCTTTTACTTAAGCTTCTACAATTTCTAACATAGTTGTTAAGGAAAATTAATTTATTGGCAGTTAATGTTATGCCCACCATAGGGGTTTAACTTATGGGGAGGACACAGAACCAAATTTGTTTCTTGATGTCAAAGACATAAAACGTTGGAAATCTATTCCAATTACAAAGTTGTTTTCTCTTGCTATATGAAAATAAAGGCGAAGAAGAAAAAACAAATAGATACTATTTGGTTACATTTAACAATAACAAAATGTTCTACAGTAGGTGTATCTCCATATTTAAAGGAAACAAAAAGTTTTTTTTATCAGTAAACTTTACACTCATTTTCTCTTTATTAGAAACAGTTAATCTGCTTTTTTTTGTTCTAAAGAATAGTCAAATATTTATTTTAAAAACATTCAATTCATTTTATCTAAAGCAACCTCGATGATTTGAAGATAAGAATTTTATGGTTTAAGGTAAATTTCCATTTAAAGTGATGATGGGAAAAATGTACCTCCTTAAATTTATAAAATATATTTTTCATTTTCTCCAAAAATAAAGTGTTTATAATCAATAAAAACCAACAAAACAATTTTTTTTTATAACTCACCCTGCGATTTCGAGTGGCAAAGTTCTTCCAAATGTTTGTGTTTTCATGAATTCTAGACCAACTAATTTGATTTGAAGGTGATAATGAAAGAACCAGACATTTCAGACTCAAAAGTTTTGGACTCAGTCATCTTCAAAAGGTGATCCCCACCTCCGTCCTTACCTTAATTCCGTAATTCGGGGTCCCAAACTTTTGTATGAATTATATTTTTAGAATATGTATTTATATATTTATTTTCTAAAAAAATAAGTGTAAAAGAATTAGTAAACAAAACTCCTGCAGTTTATTCGAGGCATTGGTTTTAATGGATTTAAGCTAAGCAGGTTTACTCAAAATCTACTTTCTTAAAATTTAAATTGACCTAAATCTCCAACTCGATTCTCAATTCAAGAATGCACGTTTTGTAATTGAATACATATATAATTAACTTTATATGTTTATTTTCTTTTAAATAGATTTAGGTTATTGGTCTTTCAGAGTTGAATTAGAATCAGGTTTTTTTCTGAAGTTACTGAACGTTATAGCTAACTTCAATTGTTGCTGCAACACTATAGTAAATAAATATTTCTTACATTAATATTGAAAACTATGAATTTTGCATGGCATATTCACAATTTTACATTTCGGGTTTTTACTGCACTACACTAGTGGATCCAGGATTTAATTTTGGAGGGCGCTTCAGCCCGAAAGTTTTTTTTTTTCATAAAAATAACGATAATTACTTTGGGATAAAAAAGAAAGAAACTAACTACCTGTATGAAATGGTATTTAAGTGATCCCTAAAGCCTTTTTAAATGTAATTGCACGAACAAAAATACTTTAAGAGATGCTTTTTAAATATTTTTTTCGATAAAACATGATTATATTTTACCATTTTGGGAGGGAGGCTTCAGCCGGAAAGCCCCCCCTCCTCGTAGATCCATCCGTGCTGCACTAAATTAGTATAGGGCGGGAAGCATGGCGCTTTTACCAAGCTCGAAGTAATATAAATTTATGAAGAAAAGAAAGAATTAATAAAATCATCTTATTTATTTTATTTTTCCATGAGTGCACCGCTATGTTTTGGTACAAATACCTTCTGTCAAATGTAAATGTATCGCCATTTTAACGTTAAAATAACGAATGAGAATCAATCCATTTCTCTAATTAATTTTCCAATATTATTTTTGCAATACAAAAAAATTATGAGCACTAATCCGGAACCCAAAAAAATTAATAAACCCTGTGATGAAAAACAAAGAAATCGAGAACTTATAAGTAAAACGTTAAGTGTGTTTTTGGTCTCTACAGAAGTAACGAGTTTTTTTTTTATTCCCCCTACCAGTCATTTCTGGCACACGGGATTTAAGCAACTACGAGCTAAGCTATAATTCACCTTCGTTACTTAAACGTGGTGCTTCTTATAATATTTATAATTATTACGTTTTCACAATAACAAAAATTCTACCAGTATCCTCCCTCAATGTTCCTTTATTAACATTTATATATTGAATAATACTTTGTTAAAACCATATTCCTAATTTACTTGTTAATTTAATCCTTTCTATTTATTTGTTTAACTATAAAACAACCATTTGGCCTTAACCTACTTTCTCAATTACCTCTGAGATGGTTTGTCGCTTGAATGAACGTAACAACCTCCATGAACTCGTCTCGGGATTCTATCTCCAAGAGGTTCGAACCCAGGCTCTTGCACATGGAAGCTGCCGATTTCCAGTTGTATTCTCTATCACTGAAGTGGTAGCAGTTCCTAGCCACTCTCGTGAAATTGGCTGGGCAGGCATCTAAACACCATGTTAACATTTTCACGCATTTACGTTAAAATCATTTACCTTATTTCTTGATTAACCATTAACTGATAGTACCTTGTCTCTTAATGTTGGATCCTTCCATTACATGGAATATTAATTCTTCAGTCCTTCGCACTCGTTTCTCTAAAGCTTCGAATTTATAAGCCAACTTTTCTATTGCATTCAGTAAATACATGTCAGTTTCTGTTACCTGTGGGAAGGAATGAAAATAATTTTTATTATTACTATCTAATCGATAGTAAAAAAAAAACTATGATATTATAATTAAATTAATTACTTAACACCACTTCCCAAATTAATTATGTTTTTCGAGTTTAATGAACCTTCCATGAAAATTAAATTTATTAAAACTATTGTCAGGCTTGATTTTATTTTAATAGCGTCATTAGTGGTCTATTAATGATAAAACAGATTAAGACCTCAACAAAAGATTAAGGCCTGAATAGGTGTCCTAATTTCTAATTATTGTTTGTAGCCAGTTTCGACCTCAATAAATAAATAACAATGTTTAAGATGACTAGGACATATTGTGGTCAAAGGAGTAAACAGTTTTATTTTCACAACATTTTTTTTACAAATAAATAAACTTTTATCGAATTATAATGTTATCAGGTGGAAATATGGTTTAAAAAAAGACGAGTATTAAAAATTTGTTCCTAAGCCGTCTGCCAATACAGCTTGCTCAATTCGGTGATTTATATGGAATTTAATAAATTAATAAAAAAAATTGAGGATAAAATAAAAAATATGAGCAATTTTTAAAATGTCAGCATATTAAGAAAAATCCGTTTGTGCACTCTTAAGGAGAGTGGTATACACAATTTAATAAAATTGATATGGAACCATCTAGGTTCTAATTCGTTCAATTTTATCCGATTCACAATAGTAAGTGTAATTTTTAAAATAAATATATTTATTGAAATTTACAACTGAATTAACTAAAAATACAACAAGTGAATATGAACTGTTATAATGAAGGTACTTGTAGAGAAATTAGCCTTTGATAGCACTCCAATTAGAGTTCTATAGTAGAAGGTACCGATGACATGTTTTGACACGCCTAGGAGCATTGTCAGGAATCGAAGAGGATGCAAGATTAGAAACTTGTGGATTTAGATGGACCTGGAGTTTATTATGGAAGGAAAGGTATCTGGATTACAGAGCCCTTTTCATTAAGTTATTAATATCCACCTAAAATTTCGTGAAAGGCTTCATTTTATCATATCGTACAAAATTTTTATTTGCGAAAATTCTCAGGAATGGGGCATTTTATTTAAAATTAATAAACTTAAAGAGCTACTAAAATCTCATAAATACACATTGGCTTTTCTCTTGAATCGAAAGATAATTTGACCACCAAATCGTGAGAAAAAAAAATGGTGGTATACAAAAATATTACGCCGTTTGCCCTATATAGTCTCGTTATTTTGACATGTTGAAGATGGAGTTCACGCTAAACTGCTAAATATCTTTGTAGGCCACCTTTTTTCTCGATTTTGTGATCAAATTATCTTACGATTCAAACGGAAAGCAAATGAGTGTTCATAAGTTTTTAGTACCTGATTAAATAGACAAAGTTTGCCTATCTCCAGATCGAAAATGCCCCAATTCCGAGAATTATCGTAAATAAAAAAGTTGGAGGTTACAATGAGATGAAGATTTCAGGAAGTTTTAGGCGGATGTTAATAATTTGATAAAAAGGTGTCTGTACCATGGACTATTATGGATAATTTTATTTGTAATAAAATAAGAAGCATAGAGCATTTTGGGAAGGATTTTGGATTGTAAGGACTATATACGAGAGGAATTTGACGGTTCAATTAAGTGCAATTTAAAAAAACTCATTTTATAACAACAATAAAATTATTACCTCTTTATTCGATGTCCCCTCTTTTGAAGGCTTGTTGACGACATATTTTGTTGAGGCATATATCGTACTAGATGGACCCTTCATTACTTTATCTGCCCGCATCTCTTCAAAGTAAAGGGATGGTATCCAAGGGCCCGTATCCGGAAAATCTGGGTCATCTTCTAGTGGTGAGCTGCTCTCTAAGTCACTATCGCCTTAAATGTAAAATATAATACCAACATCTGCTTTTTAGTATGATTACAAATTAAATTGATAACAGTAGTTTGACCAAAATTGAATCGATTATCAATTAGTGAAAGGCACTAGCGAATCTAGGATTTAATTTTTTTGGGGGAGAGGGGAGGGGAGCTTCAGCCCGAAATATTTTTTTTCATATATATATAACGATAATTACTTTGGGAAAAAAAGAAAGACACTAACTACTTAAATTAGCAAAATTCCTTAACTCAGCCTTAAACAATTTGAACAACGATAATGGATATGATGTAAATAATGCAATGCAAGTAAAAGAGAAAATTAATTGTATAAATAAGATAGATAAAAGAGAAAAATTAGTAAGCTATGATACTGAATCCTTATTTACGAATGTTCCACTTAATGAAATATACAAAATATTGGAAAAAAATGGGATGAAATTGAACCGTACACTGATATTAAAGATAAATATGTTTTTATGGAAGGTATTAAATTAATTTGTGAAAATGGCTATTTCTCCTATAATAATAAATATTACAAAATGAAAAATGGTCTACCGATGGGCGGATGTATGTCAATCAATCTTTCGGGCATATATCTTAATAATTTAACAGATAATGCTATAAGTAAATTGGAAATAAAACCGACGCTTATTATAAAATACGTGGATGACATACTTGCAATAATAAATAAAAATGAATCGGTTAATTTTCTTGATAAACTAAATGATATATCAGATAAACTTAAATTCACAATGGAAAGTGAGAATAACAACAAAATAAGATATCTTGATATGTATATTGACAGAAGCGAAAGTGGCGATCTTAGTACGTCATGGTGCAAAAAAACCCACTGTTGTTTAATCCAACTTAATTGGCACAGCAACCACAAAAAACATATAATAATTAATACAGCTAAAAATTTAATAGACAAAGCAAAATTAATAACCGATAAAAATCATATGAAAGAAATCAAAACACAAATATATGAAATGCTATTAGAAAACTGGTACCCCATTCGATTAATAAATAAATTGTGGTATAAAAACAAAAAGTTGGTTAAAAATGACAATAGTAACAAAGCGATAAAAGATATTAGGGATGATAAAAGCGAGAATGAAAACCAAAATAACAAAATTAATAAAGAACCGAATTTAATAACAAATTATTTTAAAACCGAAAATGCAGTAAAACAAAAACCTTCCATAAACGATATACATGACATTAAAACACAAAATGAAAAATATAATAAAAACAAACAACCTAAAAAATATTTTAGCGTCACATATATTAGAAATTTAACGGACAAAATAGAAAGAACATTTAAACAATATGATGTAAATTAAATTAAATTTGCAATCAAACCTATTAATAAAATAGATATAATTTATTCCAAAACTAAAGATAAAATACCCACCGATAAATTAACGAATATTATTTATAAAATAAATTGTAAAAATTGCAACAACAAACCATATATTGGACAGACATCACAATGGTTTGAAAAAAGACTTAAACAGCACAAACAAAATTGTAATTCAAAAAATACAAAAATTAAATTAGTTACTGGGCTCTCTCAGCACACTATGCAAACAAAACATGAATTTGATTTCAATATCGCCAAAATCCTACATAATGAAAGTAATATGAATACACGTAGAATAAAAGAAGCAATATACATAGCTCAAAGTTTAAAAAAACTCTGTAAATGATCATACAGATGTGGATAATATGAATACCTTTTACGCGAGTTCGATTGAAAAAATAAAAATATGAAATGAATTAGCTAATTTTACTTAAAATAAATCCATATATAATATTGGGAAACATCATTGTATATGTTTAAAATAAATAGTCTTCCCCTACTCCTTTAAGAATAACCAGTCACGAAACTGAAATGAGGCTGATGAGATGTCGGTGACACATTATAAGGTAATTTTAACTTATTTGAATCATTTAATAATAAATAATTGAGTAATAATAATGTTATAAAATAATTAAAGGTGGACATGACAAAAATAATTTTTTTTTACATGAGTAGACGCATGCAATTCGCATAAGTTGAAAAGGACAGGTACATGATTGGTAGTTTAGGTATATAAAAAGAATCTCTATATGTTGAAGTATGTAATGTTTTAAATATGACTGTAAATTGTAAAAAATGTTTAGACTTGAAAATGGCTCAACGATGGCCGAAACGTCGTAATCAGATGTGTAGTCATTAAGTTGACAAAAAATTTTGAAAATTGGTGTAAAATGGCTGAAAATAAATAAACTTGAAGATACTAACTACCTATTTGAAATGGTGTTTAATTGATTTTTATTAAAGAATCCTTATTAATGTAATTACACGAACAATAATACTTTAACAGATAATTTTTTCCATGTAACATGGTTACATTTTACCATTTTGGATAGATTCGGCCCGAAAGCCTCTCCCCTCCCTCCCCGTAGAACCGCCTGTGGTTAAAGGCTTATAAAAGTGTTTTTCCTTGTATTGTTTATTAAATTTTAATTGCATGCTGATAGGGAAGATATTCACCAGAAAAAAATTAAATTGGGAAGAAATGTTTTTAAATCTTTTTTTTTTAGAGGTTGTCCTTTTTTTACTGTAATATACAGTAAGGGAAAGTTTTGCGGTCGTGAAAATTTTCGAATCTGAATAAAACGTTTTGAGGTCCCCTGAGTCCAAATAACCAAATCCCGCAAAATGGATTGTGTGTATGTATGTTAACAGCTCAAAAACGAAAAGTCGTACGAAACTGATATTACGTATTTAAGATAGGTATGTGGCTAGGATGTTAGAGAAACTTTCTTAAAATTGGCTAACCGGAAGTATAACAATGGTGAAAAACCTTTTTACAATTTTCTCAAAAACGACTCCAACGATGTTGATTAAACTCGGTGTATTATTGTATAATTAAGTGGCCTTCTTTAATATCATTTAGGCCTTATCCCCATTGATGTCACTTTACAGGGCTTAAATGCCCAATGTCAACATTTCTTCCTCTAAAGTACCTTTAATTATGTTTATTTTGAATAATTGACTATCTCTCATTATTAGGAGATACGAATAAATAATACATATAACTTTTGAAATACTTTGATAGTTGAATAATGGAGAAAAAAATGAAAAATACTTATCCAGATAGAAAACGAATCTCGGGAAATAATAGTCAGAAGATATACTACAATATATCGTTGGAAAGCGGAGAATAAAAAAAAAAATAATACCAAATAAATAAAGTTGCAGAAGGTAACGGAGAATGACGAAAAAAAATATAAATAATAATTTCAGAAAACCAACATTATTTAACGTAAATCACATGTTTCCAAGGAAATTAAATTAAATTTTCTTACTCAATGTAAAATTAATTTATTTTTTTTGAAGTTTGGTAAAAGTATTTAAAATTCACCAAATCAATGCAATGACATTGTTTAAAATACTATTTCATTGTACTTGTGTGAAAGAAGAAGTGAAATATACGAATATTTCATGAATATGTTTATAACCTTAAATACATTTACTGTAGTTTAATAACTCTAGATATGATATGATATTTAAATAGTTGGGTATATATCGGCCGTTTATTCCGACAAATCATCAAGTAACCTTTTAGAAAATTAAATTAGTGAATAATTTGATAAATTTTCCCTTTGTGAAATCCTAACCTTATCCTCTTACAATTAGTGTGGCAACTTTTGAACTGTCTATGGCAGGCAATGGAAATCTCGTAATTTTATTTTTATAAACTATAATCGAAAATAAAAGTTTAATAACTAATAGTCTTACAATCCATAATCATTTATAGGTTAAATATTCAGATGTACTTTCAAATCTCTCTAGCCATATATGATTCTTTCAGTTGACAAAATGACTAACTCCTGCTTCAACATTCTTTATTATTAATTTTAGTAATGTTTCTAGTTTAATCACAGTTCTGTATTTCAACACTGCAATCACCTACTCCCACAGGCGGATTTACGGGGAGGGGAGGGGCTTACGGGCTTAAGCCCCCCAAAATGGTAAAATATAACCATGTTTTATAGGAAAAAATATTAAAAACTGTCTCTTAAACTATTACTGTTCGTGTAATTACATTTAATAGGACTTCAAGAATCCCTAAAACACCATTTCATATGGGTAGTTAGTTTCTTTTTTTTTTCAAATTAATTATCGTTATATACATATATAAAAAAAAAATAAAGAAGCCCCCCCCCAAAAAAAAAATTAAATCCTGACTCCGCTAGTGCCTACTCCAGAATCAACTTACTCACTGTCTGTATCGATATAACTTTTCCAACTAGAAATATCACTAAAATGACATTACTCAAAAATGTCAAATTGGAGATAGTCATTCTGGCAACTGAAAGGCTCAGAGACTGAAGTGGTAACTAGAGTTCTATTGCCGCCGTCGATATAATAAGTAAAGTTTTTGTAATTTTAATGGTATTAATGATTTGTTATCTGTAAGCTTTAAGCTTCAGCTCCGTTTAAAATCCACTTAAAAAATGTTATAATATCCAAACATTGCCTGAATATTATTCATATTAAAATTAGAGCGGTAAGTGAAAATTGTGTGTTGCGGGCATCAGACTTTTTTATTCAGAATAAATAATTATCTGCTAAAATTGGACTAGAACTCGTTTCTAGGACATAATAGCACAGTGTCTGAATTGAAAAAAAAGTTTCTTTGATCCTATTAGGTGTTTAAAGATAGTTCGTTCAATAATTTCTGAAAACAAATACTTCCATGCATATTTTGTTTTGGTAAACTTATTTCTTACCTTTAAAAAAAAATTATTTTTTGAAACATCAAAAAGAAAAAAATGGGGCAATATGCATGTGTATAAATATGACCAAATTCCTAAACTCAGTGCTGGACGCATCGATGACATCTTTTCGCCCAGTTTATAACGATGAATTCAGCACTGAATTAAGGAACTTGCCCCATGCATTGTTAAAATTATTATATTTTTACCACATTACAAGTATTAAT